CTGAATGTGTAGTCATCTGACTCATTGCACGTCACTCAAAATCAGAAAAGCCCTTCAAGGCACTTCTCCCTCTGTGGTGTGAAAACAAGGAACGAGAGTCTCACAAAGGCAGCACAAGGGGATGGAGAAAGGGGAAGCAACTGTGGGTGTGTTGGCCTCCAGGGATGAACCATGTGTTCTGGGTGGAGGGGAGGGTGATGGGCTAGGCGTCTGGGTGGAGCAAACTAAGATGCCGGGGGTGGTTGAAGAATACTGGCTTTGATGAATAAAACATCCCCATGAATGAAGGGGTGGTGTGAATTTATTAAGACAGGCATAGAAGAAGAAGGAAAACACAAGGAGAAAGAAAGGGAGGGAGATGAAGAGAAAAGATGAGAGCAAAGTGTGGAAAGTATAAAGAGAGAGATGTAAAAGTACAATAGAAAAGGAAGGAGGAGGAGGGGAACAACATAGCAAAGCAACACAGGCTACAAGAAAGCAGAGTTAGAAGTTTTGGAGCTTGAAATTTGTCTTTAGAGTCTGTGTTGGGTGGGAAGCATGGAGTGTGTTCTGGGTTGTGAGCACAATGACTGGAGTTGTCTTTATGTGTGTGTGTGTGTGTGTGTGTGTGTGTGTGTGTGTGTGTGTGTGTGTGTGTGTGTCTGCAGAATGGATTCATATTCCTGATGTAACTAAATTGAGCTCAATGTAAAAGTAAAAGTGCTCATCGCGAAAATCGGCCCCGTAGAGTCTAACAGGAATGTGTAATGTACAAAGCTCTGTTCAACTTAATATGCAGTCTGAGGCATTTGTGTGATGTAACCTGAGCCATTCATCACACGAAACCATTACGTATTCACAGAACCTGACCTCTTTTTCTTCCAGATTTATTGTAAATGTGATTTTCAGGCTCTGAACAAACGCTACTAAAGGAACACGATAACTCCAGAAATGTTTCTCATGATTAACATTTTATGGGCTATGTAGTTTAGAAGTTACTATAAAACATAATTGTTGGTTGTATTCCTGGTTTTGAAACAGTTTTAGAGGTTTGTAGAAAATGTACCTGTTACTTTCCTCTAATGGTGTGGATGATATGTCCCACTGCCTGTGTGTGTGTGGGTGTGTGTGTTTGTGTGCTTCTTTGTTTGACTTCATGTATGTATTAAATACCATCTTGTCTGTGGGTGTGTGTGCATTTCCATTCTGGTGTGCTCATTAAAAACCATCTGTGCATGTAGCTGAAGGAGCCATTTGTGGGAAGGGCTTTCTTGCTATGTCACTCCCAATATTTAGTATTACTTGACCTTTGTGTCCATTTCAGTCGGAAGTGCAAAAAAAAAAAATAGCCACATGAGGAATTCATTCTCTCCGTTCAAATTCAGCTGTGTGTCCTCTTACTGAGGATCAGTGTAAGTGCCTCGCTGAAGTGGACATCTTCAAAGGAAGAGGAAAAGAATTAAAGAGGCTCTCCCTAAGTTAGTGTGAGATTATACTGTATCTGCTCAGCTGTTCTTTCTGTAATTACTGTGTACATGTTTGTGTGTGTGCAGGCTTTTATCACTCCTCTTTTCTTATGTGGGGCACTGTATGTAGAGATAGTTTCTCTCTTTGTCTTCCTTGTCTATTTATGTCCTTCCAGACTGTCAACATGGGGGTAACTTGGTCTGCATAATGAACCAGCGTGTGTGGAAGTGTGTTTGTGCATGCATGTTTGCAGGTGTCTCGGTTTAAGTCTCGACCTGCGCATAATTCATGAGTTTTAATGTCTGTTTATTTATTTTAATATTAATGAGTGGGCCTATACGCATGAGTAGCTGCAGCAGACAAAGGCAGGGATAGGGCGCCGGGTTTGTGTGAGCGTACGTGTGCTTTTTTGTGGCATCTCGTTTTAATTGGTTCCCTGTTGTGTGCCCTTACATCGCAGTGTATGCTCAACATAAGAGGTGTGAGAGGATGAGAGTAAGCTAAACGCGGACAGACAGATGTGATAATTTGAATGTCCTTGGGCTATTGTAAACGGAGCTGGGGGTGTGACTCGCTGTATGTGAGTGTGTGAGCCCACAAGGTTTTGTAGAGGCGTGAGGGTGTGTTTGTCAGGCAAATCTGGAAGATGGACGTGGCTCTGTGCCTTATGGAAGGAGGTGGTGTGGGGGAATCAATACAGACAGATGAATAAATGATAGCGCAGCAGGATGATGCATGGACACATTAAATGTTGGAAAAATAGAGAACCAAAAAAAAAAAAGTAAGATGAAAAAAAAGCCCAAGTCAGCAAAACTTTAAAACTATGTCATATTGTGCGTTTGAGTTCGTGCTGTTAGTGTCACATAGGATCAGTATCAACACTTCCATCAGACCTGACGGTGGGTTTTTAGGGCTTTTCTCTCAGTGTGTTCCTGTGTATGACTGTGAGCGCAGTACCCTGTGTGGTCATGACTCAACCTCAAGTGTGTGTGTGTTTGTTTTAATAGTGTGCGCACATATCTGGTGTGTGTCAGATGATATTTGTATCCAGATGAACATGAGGAAAGGTGAAGACCTTTATTGACTCATAGCTGCAGTGCCCTATGTGTGTGTGTGTGTGTGTGTGTGTGTGTGTGTGTGTGTGTGTGCCAGTGGGCTCTCTGGCATCTAAAAGAAGTGCAAACAAAGTGCCGGCAGAGGCAGTTACACGATCAAACCCGACAGCCTGGAGGGCAGGGGCAACAATCCATGTGTTTTTGTCTGTGAATGTCTGTGAAAGTGAGAAACATGATACTGAGTGTGTCTTTGTTGGTCTGTTGGATAAAAAAAAAAACTGCTTTGCATTTTTTTTGTTTTATTGATGGATTAAATATTTTTTGGTTTGTTTATTATTTGTGTCTGTGTTCTCTTGCGTCTGTGTGTTTTTAAGGCCGTCAGCAGGTTTTAAAGTGGGTCCTTAAGGAGTCATCTGTCTCAAGGCTAGTTTCAAACCCCGTCTGCTCTGCTTACAGGAGGGCACCGGGTGTGGGTGTTCTCTGTGCGCAGCTGCTAAATGTCAGACGATGTGTGTGTCCAAATATGCTCAAGGAAAGGTGAAAAGAGAAAATGAACGGGGATACCTACACACCTCTTTTTTTTGTTGTGCGTTTGTGAGTGTGTGTGTTGAGTGGGTGGTTGAGCCTCTTGAGATGCTCCAGACTGGAGCTAGTTTGACAGGCAGCCAAATCCGTGCTATTCTCATCTGCAGATTTTCAGCTCTCATTGTTTTTGTTTTTCCACCCAGTTCTGAAGAAACAGCCTTGAAGTCAGGAGGAACACCCATTTTATTTCCTTTTTTTCCTGCTGAGAGTCGCTTACTGTGTTGTGGCTGTCAGGTGAAAATTTGCAACAGCGGTTTGGCTTTTTATTTATCGTCTCCCTTTCTTTGTGGGATAGTAAACGTCAGCTGTGTGCAACAATTGTTCTTACTAAGGCTCTTCAGGAACCCAGCACCCCGCTGCTTCCACCTTCAAATCAAGGAGTCATTTACATCTTAAGCGTGCAGCGAGAGCCGTGCACTTGAAAGGAAGGAAAAGCAGGAGAAACCTGTTAAACCTCTGGCACAGAGAAAGAGCCACTCATTCATGTGGTAGAAAGGCGGATTTTAAAGACCCTCGTGTCAAGCAGCTTCCTTTAGAGCCAACAGAAGGTTCTCAAGTGACACACAGCCTTTGCGGAGTGTGCCGATGGTTCTCAGAACAGCAGTGACTGTGAAAAACTGCTCGATTTTTCTTTTTTTTGTTTGAGAATAAGTTCAAGCAAAGAAGACAGGATTCAGCTTCTTAGCTCAATTTAACCCAAAGCAGCAGATGCGTCATTCCACCTTTCAAACCTGGAGCAGCACATACATCTTATCAAAGTCTAATAGGGGGAGACGTTTTCTCTTTTGACTTTTAAAAAGTATTGATATACCTGAGGGCACAGTCTGTGGCTTACAAAAAAATCTGAAGGTTTTCCAGAAAAATGACGCTTTTGATTGAAGATGATTGGAAAAACTTTACAAACATGTCTTTGTAATTGATGGCTTTTGTGAAAAAAGATTAAAATACTTCTGTTGATGCTAGTCTGAGTGAAACATGGCCCCCGGTTTTTCTTTTTGTTAAATAACAAAATAACTGATTGAATATCACCTTGACAGACAGCTGAACATTTAAAAGTGGTTTCCTGTTAGAAATGCCTGTCTGTGTCTTCAAAGAAGCCTGCAATTTCAATAAAATTCAAATGAGATGCCGTGCACTATGGGTGCAACAAAACAAACATCAAGTCCTTAATCCGAGAAATGTTTCAAGGGAGTGTTTTAAATTCTACTGGAATACCTCTAAAGCAATTCTAAATGTTGCTTTTTCTAAACTTCCTTGCTGTTAAATTGCAATGTAAGCTGCTGTAACTTGATTTAACTTTGCGCCAGTACAAGCCAATTAGCGATTTCTCTGTAGCAACACTTAAGTCTTGTAATGTCTCTAAAACAGCAATAAACGAGTTGAATAGAAAAGAGAAAAGCATCAAATAAATTACTATCATTAATTTTGAAAAATGTATAACTGTGTAACTAACAGTTAATCACTACTAAGTGCATGTTTGTGGCAACATGCACTTAGTGGCAACTAAGATCCATTTATCCTACATAAAGACAGGCAGACATTTTCCACACAGACATTGTCTGGTGCATATCTAACGCATCATTTTGCTGACAGTATTTGACCAAATCAGCAGTGTGTTCAGGTCAAAATGTAATGTCGGTCATTAAACCGTATCAGTCTGGCTTAGAGACAACACGGTCTAAAGCTCAGATGGTTCGAATAATGGCTGGCTGCACAGCATCTGTTTGTTTCGATGGACCTGCCAACAAGTGCTTTGAGGTCAGTGAATATGTGAATATTAATTACCTGCTATCCCTTTGAAAAAGACTTCAAATTGAAAAATCTGTCCAGATGCTGTGTTAACTGTCGCTGAGTCACCACTATCATTATCTTATGATGGTTTTGTAACTGTTTGGACTTGAAAGAGATGGTTAGCTGATTTTTTTCTTGTGTTTCTTTGCTCCAGGTGACCGATGTGAGTTTGACCGGCGGCAGGGCAGGTGCATGCCTGGCGTGTGCCGCAACGGAGGGACCTGCCGGGAACTGTCCGGCGGGGGGTTCCGGTGTGAGTGCCCCGCAGGAGGCTACGAGCATCCATACTGCACCGTCACCGCCCGCTCCTTCCAGCCCAAGTCCTTCGTCATGTTCAGGGGCCTCAGGCAGAGATTCCACCTCTCCCTCTCATTAACGTGAGCAGATTATGCATTTGTCTTTTATGGAGGCAGTTGTTCAACCTAAATGTGTATCCATGACTTTTAAAATGTCATTTTTACATGCCTCCATCCTCCCTTTCTCCTTCCTCTCAACTTTCATCTTTCATCATCGAGCCTCACTCAGACAGAGATCCATAACCACTCCTCTCCAGTTCTCTTTGAGAGTCTTTCTCCTCTTTACTTTAATCTCTTTATTTCATCTCTGTCTGAAATCATGCTTTCTCCCTTTGCTGCTGCCACCTATCTCCAGCAAGAAGTGTGGTTTCTCTACTCTCCTCTTTTATCTGTCAATTTCCTGGCTGCAGTAACATCTTCTTGGCATTCACTCGTTCCACTTTGTCTTCTTATCTTACATACGATTCTACTTTCAGTCTCAGTAGTTTTATTAAAGACTCCAAAAGAGTGTGACCTCATGTGTTTTATGTCAAAAGGTCAGAACTCTTATCTACCAGACATTTGCTAACAAATGCTTTTGATGGATTCGACTCAGTTGTTGCATTTGGTTTTAATAATCAACCTAACCTATCAGTTTATTCAAATTTTCATGATTACATTTGACCAGGTAAGTGCCGAACAGGGATCTTCTTTAAACTTGCTTTGGTTATGACTTGGGTTCAGTCACTAAGCTTGATTGTTTCTGGGAATCCCGGAGCTGCTAATCTAACGGCTGTCCCACATCGAGACTTTTGGATTGCTCATTGTCCATTGCTGTTTTTCTGCGGCTCTTTTGCCTCTTGATACACCACGTGTTCAACTAAAGGAGAACTCAAGTGGGCCCGAAGAGCGGACAGGCAGCTTTGCGGGATGGTCGCCATGGGTGATGTCATTTTATGGTGGTTACTAAGGTGATGTAGCCCGTGGGGTTGTTGCTAGGCTGTCGTGGCAGCTGTGAGGGATTATGGTCATATTGTTTCTGTAAAACAAGCACTGTTGTTTCCCTGGTACACTATGTCTGACTTGTCCTATTGATTTTCAGCCACCATTTGTACAGTGACAGTAATTAAAAGAGTGAAGGGGGAAGGAGAAAGAATTTACTTTGAACACAAGCTTATAGAGTAAGGTTTATAGATCTGTGATCTGTGTCCTTCTCCTCGGACAGAGGACTATGCAGGGAAAAGCTGGCACAGAAAAAGGTTCATGCAAGGTTAAAATCCTGAAAGTGGTTGGGTTCTTTTGGGTTCTCCATCCTCATAAATATTGCATTCAAGATCTCCTTGAGAAAGGCAGGGGTATTATTTTTGAAAAAAGCTTTAAGTTGTGTTTTAAGGCTGCATTGAAAACACATTCACAACTGAAACGTCATCCTTTTGGCCCTGTGGTAGAAAATCACACAGAAAAAATGAATATTTAATGGATCAAGTCAGGGTTATGTCATCGGAGGGTGAGAGTATGAGTTGTATCTGAAAACAGGGACTTCTTTGATTGATGGATTTTAGTTCTAACTTAAGCTTCTCAAAACGCGTGTTATATTGCTCTGCTGTGTAGGACTACAGCTATAAAGGTGACATTTTATTGGTTGGTTGTAGATCCTGTAGGCAATTTGCACTATATTTGTAACTATATTGTAGGTAATATTGCATTTTTCAGATCTTCTTACAATTCTTCGGAAGGAGTTTGCAAACATGTCCATTATACATTCCTTTATGTCATTTAATTGTTTTTGGGTACAAGTCATGCCACGTGAATTTCACATCAGTCATCACACAAAAAGGAACTGGCCTTGAAAACATGGTGTTTTGCTTCCATGTCCTCTGTCTGCCTCTCTGCGTCTCTTTGCTCCTCCATTCATTTCACTAACAAAGCTCAGGCCGTGGTGTTTTCAGCTATCTCTGGTGGACCATAGAGATAAGATATCTTGGCACTTGGATAGGAATCTAAAGTGTTGTTGTAACTACAGCACAGCTACAGCACACAGTGATGTAATGTTGTCCAGTGAAGAAGACGGAGCTCACTATAGACCATTCTGTTATCTCTATGCCATGCCATGACTCATTGCTATGTGACTCATCATAGCCTGCCCTTTTCCACTGTACTTTACTGGATCTATACCATCACATCAAAGTTTAAGTGGTTAAATGAAAAATTCAGAAGTCCATATCTGCATTTTTTTGCACAGCAGGGATCAGTACAGATGGATCTCTGTGGACCTAATGCAGATAATTCAGCAGACATTAATTATCTCGTAGCTTGAGGGCTTTTGTTCTGTTGCTGAACCTGACCTCTAACATCTGTGTTCCTTTGGATTTATTTCTAGCCCTCTGGAGAATTGGCTTGCATCCGTTTAACCTTACTAATGGAAGCGAAACCTAAAAAAAATTAGCATTACCTCACAAATGTCAAGGATCAAGACACTTACTAATGCAAGGGAATAGTCTAATCTTTACTGTTTTAGAAATGTAAAAAAAAAAACCTGACCAGTATCTTAACGGAATTTTTTTGTTTAGTTTTTGTGGTTTGAACATTTGTGTATTTTTACAATCTGGTCTATAGTCTGATGTTATATGATCTTTAAAAGATCTTATAAGATCTTGATATGTGTGTGTGGATGTTTGTGTGCTTATACATATATATATGATGTTTTCTTTGCCTGCACGGATGTTTCATCAGCCAAAAAAGTGTCATCTAATAATGTAACTTTATTTGTATATGTGTGTTGTATTAAATTTGTATCTGTGCGTCTGTCTACCTAGTTTTGCCACACTGGAGAGCAGCGGTCTCCTCTTCTATAATGGACGCTTCAATGAGAAACATGATTTCATCGCCTTAGAGATCCAAGAGGGACAAGTTGTGTTTAAATATTCAACAGGTACTGGATCTGTATGTTTTAGTGCCCATGCCACTACTTTAAAAGAAATGGAGATTATTTATTCTTCTGATACAGTTTTAGGTTTTTCTTTCTTTTTTTGTGTTATGATTTGCACATAAAAATGCATTTTTCATTTGAGACAATGCTGATTCATGATAAGGTTTTTAAAACGTACCTTGTGTTTGAAAAAACTGTTGCCGATTAATATGACAATTATGATGATTTGTGATTCGTGAAATCTGGAGATTGAATTGCAACTTCATGGCAGTTTAAAAAAATATATATATTTTTTTTGTACGAGAGTTGTTACAAGAGTTGTAACAAAGCATACAGTCACATTTGGACTATCATCAGCTGACACAAGCTTCATCAATGTGCTTATAGGTGAATCATCGACCCAGGTGAGCCCCTTCCTGCCTGGTGGTGTGAGCGATGGAAACTGGCACACGGTTCACATTCATTACTACAACAAGGTGTGTTCACATCACCGCATCATACACATTTTTTTCAACTTACATTAAACCTGTTGTTTTTGGCTGATACGATGTCTTTGGACATATTTGTGTTGATTCTTGGAGAATTGTATGGATTTCACTCCTTATTTGCTTTTTTAATCTGTTGGCAGGGGGGTTTTCATGCAGACAGGGTTGTCTGAATCGTAATGATGTCTTTGAATGTGGGCGTTTGCTTGTAGCCATTTTACTCATGCATATTCGCTGCACATCTCCTTTAATTTTCTTTATGTTTTTTTTTTCATTTTCCTCAGCCCGCTACACGCTATGTGAGTATGAGTGTGTGTCAGATTGCACATGCACTTGCTTAGTTCCTTCTCTTCGCTCTTTTTCCCCCACTGTCTCTCTTTCAGCAGAAAAACTAATAGATGAGTGAATGTGTTGTCCGTCTGCTTTGAATCCAGTTTTTCAACCTTTCTTTAGTGTTTGTTGTTCTTAAAGACCTCAGTCAAATTTCCTCCCTTTTCTTCCTAACACAAGCAAATTAGAATCTCATCTGATTTGTGGAAACTGTTGTCTTTGGTTTGAAGTGATCTTCCCTCCAATTTCCGACTAAATCCAGTTGTATATCTTGCATGTTGACATGTCTCAAGCTGTCTCAAGTTTTCTGCTTCTTTGGACCATGTATTCAATATTGTGTGTGTGTGTGTGTGTGTGTGTGTTTAGCCCAAGCGCAGTATGATAGGTGAAGCCCAGGGTCCGTCGGATGAGAAGATAGCGGTGGTGAGCGTTGATGACTGTGACACGGCCTTGTCGCTTCGCTTTGGGACGCAGCTGGGGAACTATAGCTGTGCCGCACAGGGCAAACAGACCAGCAGCAAAAAGTGAGTTTCCCTTCCTTCTGACTGTCTCTGTGTTGTCATTTTTGTTCTGTGGGACCACAAGTTTGAAAAAATGTCCATAACACATCTGACAGAATACATGTTTGCGTGTAATTGCTGTAAATACAGATATGTCAGAGAACTGTTACTCACAAGTTTAGAAAATATACCTTACATACCTTCAGCATGAACTCAGAACATTTAGTTTTCATAATACTAAGCCGCCAACCAATGCTGCCCTGTTTGGAAAGAATATATTCATCTTAATTCCTGTCAGTAAATTGATTCAATAAGTCAGTTTTATATTCAGCGCACCCACGGAAAGCCTCTGAGCAGTCATTAGCCATTGACTGTAGGTGGTATCAGCCCAGGTTGTGACTGCAGCTTTTCTAAGGAACTTACATTAAACATCAGCTATGACTTATCGCAGGCTTCACAGGTAATTAGAGTCAATTTTCTCTAAGACGAAAACTAATAAAACTGATAAGGTTGCAAAGCCAGCTATCAATATGCACTGTGCAGTGTATTTACCACTCAGTTGCCGTCACTACTTAGTGTATTAAGCGTATGAGTGTATTATTTGGTTGATTAATCACACGGAGAGACCAAATATACATCTCTATATGTATCTCTCTGTCCTACATATATATATATCTCTATATATGAGTGTATATATATGTACGTGTGTGATTTAATGGAAAATTCAAGCAGTGTAATCTGTTGAAAACATTGAGAGGATTTTCAGGTAATCACAGCTGAGGTGACAGCAAAGGAAAGCTGTAATGAGACCCGACTCGTGCTTTTTCATGTCTGCGTACATCTCCCTGATGATATTCTTACTCCTCGGCTCATGCTGTTGTGTAATGCAATTAATTTCTTTTCATTACTTTCTGTATGTTGGCCCTGCTCTGTTCTGTTGACCCTGTCATGGCTGCATAATCCTCTTTTCTGGTTAATAACTGTCACGAGTATGCAGTAAAGAAATGCATCCAGATACACCAACATGTGTGTAACATGCAGTCCACACACGGATGCTCAAAAGCAGCCTGCCATAGTGTTGATGTCTGGCATCCCTAAACTGTGATCATCTGGCAGCGTCCTGTCATGTCAGAGTGATGCCAAGAAAAAAGAAGGCAGATAAAAGACGAAGGCCAAAGACTAACGTGCTGTTCGGCCTTCAAAAATCTGCTCCCTTATTGTCTGTTTCTATCCTGTAGCTGTTATTTGCCTTGTATTATCCCTCTATGTATTTTCTTTTGTGATTTTCTGTAATTCTCACTTTGTCTTAAATTTGTTCTTCTGCCTCCTAAATTTAATCCTCTGGGTTATTTTATTGTTGCTATTTTTCTTTTGTGCATTATTTTCCTCCCCATTGTCTCCTAACTTCTATCCTCCCTCTGTTTTGTTCTTCTGCCTTCCACCTTTATGTCATCTCTCCAGATATTTGCTAGAACTCATTTAATCTCCTGTGTATTTATCTCCATCTGTCATGTTTTCTTTCTGTTTTTTCTTCAGTGTCTCTCTTCCTCTGCTTGTGCCACTTTTACTCAGTAAAAGATAATTTCCTAATTCTAACTGAACTTCTACCGTTACTCTCTGGTTCTTGTTCTTTTCAACGTTTACCTTTGATGACACATTAAATCTCTCTATCTATTTGGTTGCTTTGTTTCTGTTTTACTTGTGACCTCCTCTCATCTTTTTAATTTTCTTTGGCTCCTCTCTTTCATCCTCCTCCCTTATCATTGAGGGATAATCCTACATCTCTCTTTTAACTTCTTCCCTCTTCTTTCTTGACTGTTCTTCCTCTCTATGGTTGTGTGTCTTAGATCTCTGGATCTGACTGGTCCGTTATTTCTGGGTGGCGTTCCAAATGTGCCCGACAACTTTCCCTTTGGTGCCAGGGAGTTTATCGGCTGTATGAAGGAGCTGCACATTGACAACAAGGCATTGGATCTTGCTGGATTTATTGCTAACAATGGAACACTCCCTGGTCAGCGTTGTTAAGCATTCTTTATTGTGCTTTAACCATGAATGATTACACATATTCATCATTTGGCGCTGTTTGAACTGCCCCTCTCCCTTGTTCGGTTAAATCAACAGATACAAATTATTTAAATGGAATACATCTCAAATTTAATCACAAGATATGAAACAGTAATAGAATTGAGATATTTTGGATTCTGAGTTTTTTTTTAATCTGGATTATATAAACCCTTATATGAAGCAAGTAAATTCTTCTGAAAATCCAAAAGCCCTCAAACAGCCCTAATTATAACCTCATGCAGGAACACACTGATATGAAAGATCATTCCATCCATCTGAAAGTGCTGCCATCGTGATATGTCAGTTACTTTGTGGTTGATTATGTGCACCGTCTCTGTTACAGGCTGCAGCGCCAAACTCCCCTTCTGTAAATCCAACCCATGTCAGAATGGGGGCACCTGCAGGGTGAGCTGGGAGACTTTCTCCTGCGACTGTCCCATCGGATATGGAGGGAAGGACTGCAGCCACGGTGAGAGTCTCCGTTTTCATTCATGTTCATGTTGCATTAGTGAACTCCGGTACGTCGTAAAGGCTGAGACCAGAAACAGGAGTCATTTTGAAATGCAGACGAATTTGTAATTTTGTTGATGTCATTCGGTTAACACCTTTGACCTTTGCTCTTTCTTATTCACAATGTGGATCAAATACAGCAGACTTGAGTTTTGGTTTCTCGGCACTTTAAATAGGGCTGTGTCATTCATCCTTTCAAGCATTCCTCTCCAATGCACCTCGCCATTATTACCTTCCCACCTAATGCTCAACCTTCACAGCTGAAAGCTTTTAGAGTATATGGGTGAGGAAACCAGTTTAAAGGAGGGTGATTTCCTACTGTGTAGATGTGATAACAGATGAAAGCAGGAAATGTTGTAAGACTGCTCTTACCAATATAATGCAAGCAGACTAATTAGTGAGACACACAGTGGTTCCCGGCTTGACTTCCTTTGATTATTTAGACCCTGATAAACATTGATTGAGTGAACATTCTGTCACCAGTGTGGATTCAAACAAGGTTTTGCTAATTTATTCTTACTGACACTTTTTTATTGCAAGTACAGACATCCAACTCTGAGGGGAAATCATTTCTCAATACGAGCTTGTGGGTGGATTTCTTTTTTTTTTTTTTTTTTGTTCCCCTCGATGATATAGGTTCATAAGTTCAGGTATTTTTTAATAGTGTGACCCTCGTGTCAATCAACCACATGTCTGCTGCTATTTGATGAGAAATTCTGCATTAAAACTGCGTGACTTTATGCTTATTTGGATCACTTGAGGTACATTTCTTTGTCTTTACTTAATGCTGGAACCAGTTCTCATTTTGTTTTGCCCAGACAGAATTTTGTTGCATCCCAAATCACAACAGTGTCCTCATATATGATCATTTTTCATAATGGAGTGGAGATGAGGAAGATTGCCTTTGGTTAAACCACAGGTTTTACATCTCTAAATCCTTGTAGGTCTATCCAACTGCCTCTAGAGGCATTTTGGCTTCTGCTTAATAAAAACATAACATTGAAAATGAAATGATTTCAGATTGACTCAATTCCTTATACTTGGCTACCCATGTGCAAACCCCAGTGCTTTAAGTTATGTAAAATAATATTTTAACCGTAGTGGTCATGACTGCAACTACATGGTGTGGAAATTAAAACCTTGTGGGAAATGGTGCCATTAAAAAAGACAATTTTCAAAATAATTTGGATTTCTAACCTCAAACAAGCAAGAGAAAAATGTGTGTAATTTTTGTGTGTTTTTTTTCTGTGATCACAAATTACTCAATGCGCTGGTTGGAGCTATGCTATCCAACTCTTCTCCTACGGAAAATTTGGTGACTTTTAAAATTAAAGTCATATTCTTTTCCTGCAGCTTAAAATGGCTGATTGAATGGAATCAACAAGCAACCAATATGGTAATTCTGAGTGCAAACTGGGAATTAAATGGTTCATGTTCGATTTTCCGCTGACGGGCAGCTTGGTTTGTACCAAAATCTCTGAGCAACCAGCGTTTGTAAAATCTCCCATCCTCAAAAAGTTTGATTGAAGAGCTCTGAAGAAGCGACGTCCCAGGGGTGTTTCTTGAAAAAGCATTATTTTTTATTCAATTTTCCCCTGTCTTGAACCGTAGTGATGCCACACCCACACCGCTTCCTGGGAAACGGTGCCCTCTGGTGGGACCTAAAGAACGACGTGACCATCTCCACGCCATGGTACCTTGGCCTTGTGTTCAGAACGAGAGCACGAGAGGGGACGCTGCTGCAGGCGCAGGCTGGACAGTACACCAGTCTGCTGTTCCAGGTGGGCACGCATCAGCATTTGCAAAAAGCCACAGGCCCGCTTCATTACGAATAACCAATTCTACAAATTCAGCTTTTCAAATGTATTTGTGGCCTATGAAGCTTCTGAACACACGTGTTTGTTTGGTGGATGGATTTTTGCTTCTGGAGAAAAAGACAAAGTGTTTAAAAAGGCATTTCACATTCAGCTGCATTTATGCAAAAATGTAAATGTCAACCAAACATTCTTCCACTGTACCCGGAACAGTTTGGTCTTTGTTTTAAATCTGTGTCGTCTATTTTAAGAATCTCATCAGGGAACATGTGATATTAGACATTGTGCCATGGAAGCTAAATGTGTTCGTAACACTTGCTCACATAGTGAAAATTACATATACTTTTTTTGCCATTTCGGCCTTTGCGCCACATATTGTAGGAGAGCTTTGAACATGCTGGACTGCCAGTGACTGCTTTAAACTCAATGAACACTGCTGGAATTGTAACAAATGGGATTTTGTGCTCCCACATACACACTCGTGTAGACATATGCAGAACATGCATTTTTTGTGTTTTAGCCGTGCACATATTCCTCCTTCTCTTACAGGTGGTAAATGGTCAGCTGGTGTTCTCGGTAACCCGTGGTTCGACCAGACACGTCCGTTTGCGGCTGGATCAGGTTCAAGTGGCAGATGGCCGATGGCACGACCTCCAACTGGAGCTGCGAGACGTTCGCAGCGGTCGGGAGACGCGCTACGTCGCCACTCTGCGGCTTGACTTTGGGCTGTTTCAGGTAATTTCATATGGAAACAAATAGGATCATACAGTTCAGGAGTACGGTTGAAATTCAGCAGGTAATTTCCATCCAATGAAGACAATAAATCAGACTTTTATTTTAATTTTAAAATCTTGAAACCAGCGCTTTCTTTTCCAACCGATGTCATTCAGACAGTTCTACATTTTTGCATGTTTTGGACCTGAAACTGGATAAAGCTCAAACAAATACACATACAAATGTTTGTACATACACAGTTTCTTTATATCCCTACGTATCATCAGACTCTCAAAGATGTGGGCCACTAATCCTTGTTTCCCTAATCTCCAGTGGATTATTTTGTCAGATTGCACTTCATGATGTCTGTTTGATGTGTGTGTGCTCGACTTTGTATGAGTTATGTGCCGCATATATGCAACACTCTGCACACAGGAAAGCACACGCTTTAGCGTTTTTGGCTTGCTTGAAGAAAAAAAATAAACATTTTTGTTTTCATGCTGTTTTAATTCTTAAATCATCCGCCAGCCCTAATGTCTTTCATCTGTGTGTTGCTGTTCACCAGACTATTCTTCAAAGTGCATCACGCAACACACTAAATAAATGGAGCATAAAGCATTTGTAGATATGAAAATATTAAACATCACAGCTGAAAATTAAACACTAACAACCTCTGAAAGGGTTTGGCATGTGTGCAACTACACTCTGACATACCCCCCCCCTCCTTTTTAGGATCTCCCACTGCTGCTTAAATGATAATGAATGGGGATCATTGATTTTTTAGCCCCTTCTTCATATGAGCTAAGCTGCCTGTCAACATGGCTGCTTTATTCTGTCAGTGTTATCCCCTTCCACCCCGATTGCATATTTTATCAAACACCATCAGAACAATCAATGATGTTTTCAGAGAAAGCTTTTTTCTATCAGTTATTTTGTTTAATGTAAGATCAAAATGAACTTGTGAAAACTTTTGCTGTTGTTCTTTCGTTTCTACCTTTTCTTCCAGAGGTGTTTTACATGGTCATTTAGTGGCATTCAAGGTCCCTCCTGTGTATTTGTTTTCTCATAGAGTTTGTATGAGACTATTAATAATAAGAATGATGAGAATCCTAATTTTTGCCCTCCTTCCTTCATCTGTCCCCCACCTTTCTGCCTGTCTTTCCCCATTAGGGAACTGTGATAGTGGGGAATGAGATTCATGGTCTGAAGGTGAAACATCTGCATGTAGGCGGAGTGCTGGGCTCTGGAGAGGTTCAGAACGGTATTAAAGGATGCATACAGGTGAGGTTGAACTGAATTCTAAGTATTGTGTTAGGTAGATGGAAGTATTGAAATAAGGAATGGAGACAAAAGTGCTGTGGATATGTAGATTAACTTAGATTTTATTTATTTTTTTGCTATTTCTTACCTAATGGTCCTCTTTTTTTTTTACAGGGCGTTCGTCTGGGTGTACGTCCAGATGCCCCCGCCCTGCCTCGCCCTTCTAGGGCGGTCAAAGTGGAGACTGGCTGTAATGTTGCCAACCCCTGCCTCTCATCCCCCTGTCCTCCTCACAGCCGCTGCAGTGACCTATGGGAGCGGCACGCCTGCATATGTGAACCTGGTGAGGATTCACTCCGATGTCAATAGCTTCCCTGCATGAAGTTTGGTTTGTGGGAGCAACATAGATTGGCCCCCTGTTGTGAATGTGATATTTTGAAGGTGCCTCCAGCTCGAGAAAGGAGGTGGGAGGAACTTTCTGTTCCGGAAATCTAATTTTCAACTGCATGACTCAACAGCAAGAATTCAGCAGAGGGTTGCATGAGGTTGATAGTATAGATTGAAACCTATCGAATGCCCACTAATGTTAAAGCTGGCTCTGAAAGAACACATTTTAGTTTTGTATTTGCACAGAACACTTTATATGAAGAATTTTACTTTTGAATATCGTAGTGTTTGAATACATTACTTTGGCAATAATCCCATTCACACTAACACAAACTGGTATCTCATTTTCATGGGTTTTTATAGCTCCTGGCATAGCTCTTATCATCCCAATAAAAAAAAGTCTTCCACAGTATGCAGAGAGGAGCAAATATTGCGGAAATGTATACTAATTATGTCAAAAACAAGCAGTTCACACATGCCGCCAAAATGTAGAAATTATCAAATCCCATCACATTTCAGATGACAGACGTAAAGCCAGGTTGGTGACAGACAGGCTGCCCAACACAATCTGTCACATTCATCTATAAAGCAGATTATGTGAAAAACTAAGACCAACCCCTAACATGTATGCTTCTCTACTGTGAGCACATGCAGCTCTTATCTGGGACATGGTGAAAGTTTTTTCTTTCTTTTTTTTAACAACGGTTGGAACAGGAGATCACCAAGGTGTAGATATTCAGTCTCAGTCACATTTCATCATGCTGGTAATTCCAGTATTCTGTTTGACAGCAGAGTGATGGTTCGGCCCTGAAAACAAACTGAAAAAAGCAACATTAAGTTGTTTGTCTCAGGGAAAGTCACAAAACAGTAAAAAGTTGGCAGCACAGAGTTGTGGACCGTTGCATCATTGTTAGGTCAAAATTGTTGCACCCCGAAGGTCTGTTTTCTGATGACATAATCAAATGTCTCTTTGCCAATTCATGCAAGTGAACGGCCGAGGGCTTCACTAAAAATGTCGTTTTCCACTGTAGATATGTGAGATATTCTCATTTCTGCGCCAACAATTTCATCCTAATAATTTTACCACTGATATTATGAGGACTTGACAGTGGGATGTAATGTCAAGGAAGGAAACTGATTTACAAAGAGGAAAGGAATGATTGTGCGTCCATATCTGTGTAGTTGGCTGCCAACACTCTAACTGGGTTAAACTGATATTTGGGTTTTGTATAATGAGTCCCCGTCCACCTGAGACCAAGAGGGAGGCAGACCTCAGGCTAACTTCCAAGTCTCTTTAGTAAGGTGAATATAATGAGGCAGAATTAATGCGGAGGGGTAGAGAAATGCAGGAGGGCTGAAAGAGAGATGAGAGAAAATATCATGTTTACACAGAGTTGGAAAAAGAAAGAAAACAGCAGAAAGATAAAAAGCGCAGGAGGAACAAAAGGATTGAAATGTTAATGATTAATGAGCTGAAAAAGGAAAGTGTCAAAATCTGTGAAATATAACACAAAAGTTTTGAAGCAGGAGGAAAGAAGATGAAAAGAGGGCATGAGAATTCATCTCAAAAACTCCTTTTACACGTTTGGGAACATGTGTACACAGCGACGTGCACAGGAGCGTGTGAAAATGAACATGACAGCTGCACACATAAAGAGCAAGAAAGCAGAAGGGAGGATGAACAGCGACATCTGACATTAATTTGGAGTGTTATTTGGAGCTTCTTGCAGTTGAGCTCTTCAGGTAACGATTGAACATGCAAGACCAACTGAGCAGAGATGTCGAGGGGAGATAATTTGTATTTATGATTAAAGGAGTGAGGAAACAGGGGATCTTGTGGCAAATTAGGAGGAAAAAGAAAGACATGAAAGAGCAGAGCTTTAGGGAAACGGGGGGCAACAAATCCAATTTTCGCATTGGTTTGTCAGGTTGTTGATGCAGCTTTTCTCTGCATCCGCAGCCTCCCTCTGCATTTCAAACAGGTCTCAGCAGCATAGCCTTCCAACTTTTCCTGTACTATCAATGTCATCAAAAATGCATGTACAGTTAAACAGTCGCTGTACTCAAAATATCTGATGACAGTCCAGTGATATGCTTCATCCCAATTCATCAGATATGTCCAATGGAAGAAACAGAATTAAACCACAGTGGAAAACAGATGGCTCTCTGGGCTTGTGTCAGTCTTGGCTTGTAAGGAGTTGTTTGGACAATAGGTATACATTTTTCCACCAAAACTGTACAGATAAACATTTCCAGACTTTTTTCTTATGATGGTGTAGCGGTAAAGCCTCTACAAACCAAACAACGTGTGACTAAGGTCATTTGGCTTTACAAAATGAAACTTTGCTGACAGTTGGATCTGTTTATCACATGTCAGCATGTCTTTGCTGGTGAACTGACCAGGTTGGAAGGAGCACTAAATCTTTTTCTGTAGGTAAAGTCCTCTGTGCCATTCTTTGTGCTTAGATTGAAAAATAAATTGTTATGTGGGATGCGACAAGCACTTCTGTATGTTTGAGGAGCGTCCGCTGACCGTGGTGGAAGCCCTTCTTTGGTAATGATCGATCGTCCTGTGATCATATTCAGCTGCCTCGCAAGGTCATCGCTTCATCCCAATTCATCAGATATGGCCATTTTCCCAAATCTAATGGCGCCTGAACAAAGGTGTGAGGTGTCCCTGGGTGCCATTGCTGTGACACAGTGGTGCTCCAAAGTGTGATGATGGACTGCCAGGCTTGAACTTTGGCACTTTTTCTCCTGAAAACCGGTCGATAGTCTGAGTCAACCAATAGTTTATCTTACTCTTTATTTCAAGTGTTTTATATCAGGTTCAGCTTGTCTGATTCACGCTTGTGAGTAAAAGAAATGGATGTAAAAAAAACGTTGCTTTCACCTGACAACATCAGGCCCATGAGCAATGGGTAAGTGGCAACACATAAACAACACCGAAAAAGCACTCATACATTCAGGAGTGTTCCCACGTGTTGAGAAAAAATTGCTCAACCAGCTGTAATCTGTCAAAAAATAAGCGGTGGACAGATGTGGACCCTGAGGAGAATTTTAAAATGCATCCTACTTGAGCATAGCAACTGTCAACTGACTCAAAACACTAAGCAGAACTAACAAAGTGTCCAGTTTTAATCTGAGACTATATTTCCTTAAATGAACAAACTGTCATTTAAAACCACACTTAATCAGAAGAGGTTTAAGAGTGCAGCGTGATGTGCACAGTGCAGAACAGACAGGCCATGAAACCTTTTCATCTCTTAACACTGAAACTTCCCCTGCACTGTTCTAAAAGGCGGTTGGAGTAGTGAAAAATATTTTAAAATACTTCATATTATCCCCCTGCCGTTGCTGTTCGTTAAGTTAGCTCACATTTTTGTGATGGAAAAAGAAAGCCAGACTCATCCCGTGCACAGGAAGCCACCGCCGCACGAGCCCTCGCAAAGTACAACCTAAAAGGAAGTTGTCCAACAATCAGAGGTTGATCAAAGCTAAAGCCTACGATCAAAGCAAAGGTGGAGGGAGCGATAGAGGAAAGTCTATCACAAATAGTGTTAAAGGGAGAGAGCCTTGGGCCTGAAAGCGTGGGGAGGAAGCACAGAGGCGCTGCTATCCCTTTAGTTTCCTCCAGCAGCCCGCAAGCGAACGCTAACACCTTGACTCATTAACATGGCGCACGCAGACACAGATGGCTTCACGGTAACGCTGAATTACACACTTATTTACTGTAAACACGCACGCAAGATCGGTGCTCTCATTAACATTAAATTTCATCAGTGCAATGAGCATTAAAAATGAAAGTTGTTACACAATGAATGCCTCTGAGAGACAAATCAAACTTTAATAAAAGCGCAGAATGAAAAGCATGTGGAGGTACCCTCTGAATAATTCCCTTTCATTTGTGTGTTTGTGTTTCTGTCCTGGTGCTGAAACTCGCTTTAATGGGCCTCATGCAGCTGACAGCACCTCTGATTTTTTTGCGCTACATCCTCCTACAGCTGGCCTCTCACTCTAACATATGTACTCAAAGTTACTTCAACACACTCACGCTAAAGCAAGGTTCTGCATGACGTGAGCTCAGAGGTAAGACTCCTCAACTCCTCACTGTGCGTTGCGTGTCTGTCAGCGGACCGTTTTCACGCCGATGCGTGCTTACTGTACGAGACAGCTGCAGCCAGCTGCTGAAGGCCAATTCCCTGCTGTGACCAACTGAACTTAATATGAAAAATCACAGCCATGTTTATGTCCACTTGAGTTCCCTGTGCTATTTAAAAAACAACACAATCCAAATGAGGAAAAATGAATAGCTACATAATTGCTCTTTAACTCCTTGAGATAAAAAAAGGTTCACACATTTGCAAAGATGTCAATGATTCAAAACAACAATAAAGTGAATGAATATTCACTCGAAAACGAGTTTGTCAGAGAAGTACAGATTCTGGGGTTATTTATTTTGAGTTTGCAGCTGCTTTGTGCCTTTGGGAGTAAGAGAAAGATGTATGAGTTTCCAGCTGCTTTCCCTGGGTTCTGACCTACAGTAGTTGCCAGCTATCCTCAAGTAGCTGAATCAGATGAAAATTCTTCCGGTGACAAATGACTTCACAGCTTGGAGGTCATTTATTGACCAAGTATGACATAAAAAATTAAAAATGTTCGGGACAAAGCTGATACTCCTCACAATCACCTTGCTCTATCTGGGACAGAGATTTGATTAAGCTTGAAAGATGTATGACTTAAAAATCATACCTGCTAGCACAACAGGTACTGTCCTCTCAGACGTCAAACAGAAGTCCAATATTATTCACCGATATCTGTATGAGATGTAATATCATGAGTCAGTGTTCTGTGTGGTGCCTTAACATTTTTGGGCTACTTAATTATGACTTAAACATCATACATTTTTCATACAAGGCTGCAGAATAGAATATTACACTCAATAATTTATCAGGGAAATTATACCATTTAACATTTTTTATTTAATCATTCTATTTTAATTTAGGGGCAATTTCAAGTTTCAGCTAGCAATATGTAAGTTTGTATGTGCCTGTTTTGAGGCATCTTGCTTGGGACAGCTTGTCATCTCAAAACGAGCAATGAACTCTTCAAATTCTGTATCAAATGGGCAGAAAGTTTTCCATTAGTGAAAGCCCACAACAGAGATAACAGTTTATTTTTTAATGAATGCAAAAGAGGACTTAAGTTTGTGTGTTTTGCAACCTAAAGTTATATGATATTTAATTATATTGGTTTAAATGGGTTCTAATTTTTTCATTGTTTTGTATAAAGCTGTTTCTGTTCATAGCCCTGAAGTATTTACAAGAATTCATGGTCTTTTAAGCATTACTGTATTTATATTTGCAGATCCAACAAATTGAGCAGCCTACTAAACTGCAAACCAGCGGACATAATATTTTAACATTTGAAAAAGGGCATAGTTTGGTGAACAGATGCCCCATTTGTCCACTGATTGCGCTCATGCGGATGCATCATGCGTTGTTTACTGCAAAGTCAGACAGGAAACACTGAGCTGCGTTGGGTGTGTACAACACTCAGTGGTCATAACTTTTTTTTATCTAACTCCTGGGCCCTGACTGTGGCATGCAAAAACAGATGATTTATTGGTCTTTGTTCTTTCGAGCTCCAGCTTCTCCCTTTGTCTCTTTGTCACATATTGCCGTGGCAAGGCCGTTCACTTTACAAGCAACTGAAAGCAGTCAAGGCCGCCGTTGCCTCACTCAGTTGGTTGCCATGGTGAAAGTGTAAAGATGTATGTGGCTGACACAAGACGATTGAGTGTGTGTTTTTTAACAGAACGTGGTCTTGAGTTAGAAACAAAGAGTAGAGGATCAATAAGAACAATAAGGGGATCAGTGTCACGTTCCTCTTCATGAGTTTGCTTTTATACCAGTTATGGTACACGTGTATAATCATGTGTGAACACTAGCTGTAAATATCTGAACCCTTTCGTTTGTGTGAGTCCTGAAATGCTATGAGCAAAACATATTTTTAAAAAGCACAAAAGACAAACTGTTATTTCAATAGATTCTGTATAAAGATGGGACAAAGAACAAGGCCAGCCTGGTTTAAAACAGCTGTAAGCATCATTGTGTGGTTCCATGTAGAATGGTAAGAGCTTCAGACCGAGGTATTCAAAGAAAATAAGTCATTGTGAGTCTGTAGTCATGGCCAAAAGCCCTGAATTGTTCATAGACAAATATGTGCAAGCTGTGTTCATACACCTTTGTGAGCTCCACAGGGACGAGTCCAGACCTCAGCAGGCTGCACACACGTCTGTCACTCCTAAATCTATTAAGACAGCCCTCTGCATTCCCACTAAATTAAAAAGGTGCCATAGAGCTGAACCTTACTTCTGAAAGCAGATTTTTTTACTGACCAGTATGATGTCTTAATTTGAACAAATGCTTCATCGTATTTGAGTCTTTTAATCTTCCTTAACATGGCAGTTTAAATGAGTTCAATTCCAATCACTTATGAACTTCAGCAATCAAAATTAAAGCAACTTGTCAAGCTGGGTAATTTCAGTTAAAGATGGAACTATTAAATGAATATGTTCATTTTTGTGCATGTGATTAAATTTGGTGATTTTCTCCAAATTGGTCCAATTTAAAAGTGATGTGGTGTGCACGTGCAATGATTGCCATGTCCCCGAAAAGCACACAGAGAGCCCAATTAACGGCCCATTCAACAGGTCTCAGTAAGAGGTATTTTCGATTCATGGTAAATACACCTGAAAGTGTGTATGAAGTACTCTCCTTTAGTCATTAAATTAAAGAGGGGCTTTTGTGCGCTGGCCTGTATTAGCACACGAGAGACGGGAATGTTTGTGTGAAGCGTGGACCGCGATGAAGTGAACGACGGCCTCGCTCATCACACTTCACAGGTGCATACTGAAGTGAACGGTGGGGGTGCGTTCCGTACGTCAGGTCGCGGAAGAGACTGTGTGGAAGTGCGCTGCGCTCCATTTCACTGCGACAGATGCATGTGAGATTCAGAGTGACGTTTAAGCTTTTTGTTGTTTTGTTCCATTAATTCTTAACAGAAATCCAGGGGTCTCCATGGAGAAGAATCGATGCTCTTTGTTCTGACGTCTCAGTGTTTCATTCACATTCCACTTTTCTCTTTATCTATCTCAGCTTATTTATCATTTGCCGAATAAAAAGTTTTTTGTTCAAAGTCGGCACGTGTCAGTAGACAAGAATGTAAAACAGCAAAGAGCAGAAAAAAACATTGAGAGAAGTAATCATCTACAACATATGGAGAAAAAACAAGAGTGTGTAGATTTCACTTTAAATCTAGACTATCAAATATATACAAATATAAATCCCTATCAAGTTCTCATCTGAATGGTTCGGAACATTCCATCTGAACGCTGATATATCCTACAGAGCTGATATTTGTGTGGTTAGAGATGCCAAATAAGCTTTAATATACATAAAAAATGTTTTGTTTGTGTTAAATGAAAATGGATGGATGGATGTTTTGTTTGTCTTAACAAAATGAATTTTACATTTGCTGCTATTTTGTCTCAGAATGAAAAAGAATGAAATTGAGGTGAAATTGGAAATTGACCAATCTCTGTCTGACTTCTGCAGGTTATTATGGGAAAAGCTGCGCTAACGCATGCCATCTGAACCCGTGTGAAAACGAGGCTCAGTGTCACAGGAAGCCCAGCTCCTCTCACGGCTACAGCTGCGACTGCGGAGACAACCACTACGGCCAGTACTGCCAGCACAGGTGTGCACACCGACGCATGACTCACACACGGCTCTCTGCAGTCTGAAGCCCTCTAAACTCACTTCAGCTGGTGTGTCCTGATTGCCCCATGTCTCCATCCTTCCACATAACACGCTGTGGGAGTGGGGAAGGCAGACTATCCATGTGTGTGTGTCTCATTTATTTGCTACGTTTGTGACCCTGACCTGACACCGTGCTCCTTACCTGCCTGTGAAATCCTCACAGCTTTAGACTGATCTCATGATGTACTGCTTGTGTGAGCGTGTGCCTGTTTCTTTGACAAAGTAAGTCCATGTGGGATTCCCAAAGACCCACATTGTCAGCCACTGATGAAGTATATATCCTTTTTTTTTTTTAATTTCCTCTGATGTTGCTCCTTTCTTCTCTGCGAGGCTTTTATTATTCATTATCCCTCCTCTTAACAAGCTGAATTTAGAGGTTTGTCTCATTAATCTTCTTCAGCTTGGATATTATCAGGGTATCTCTATGGTATTTTATAAAGCTGACACCCACATTAATTATATGATTATATGAGCCAATTAGTTAATGGGAGGAAAACGATAATGTCAGAAATTGAAAAAAATCTGGGATTCGTTCATTACCTGAACTTTAGAATTTGACTAATTTCTTCACTGTAAGTGAACTGAACTCTAAAATCATTACATTCACATTGATATATAAATATATATATATATATATGTATATACCCTCCTGCAACAACGCTAGAGTTAAGCGGTATGGACACCCTGATGGTCTTCCCTTTGATTTATTCATCTGATTGTCCTCTCCGCTCCAGTTTTATTCCTTTTTCTGTTCATCATTACTGTGAGTGTGTGTCTTTGTATGTTTTTGTAGGATTGATCACCAGTGTCCCAGGGGTTGGTGGGGCTCTCCAACCTGTGGGCCGTGTAACTGTGACACCAATAAAGGCTTTGACCCCGACTGCAACAAGACCATTGGACATTGTCATTGCAAGGTAATCAGAGGAAACACATCAACAGTTGGCCAGTGAAGCTTTCAGGAATGGTTTGAACAGTCATTACTTTTCAGAGATCATTAAAAATGCACGAGTGGAAAATATCAATGTTAAGATTGAGGTCTATGAAGAAAGGAATCTTGGACTTCATTATTAATGAGTCAGCTGATCCAGCATCAGATCTATGTTGCTTTTTTGAAAATGAAAGTCTTATTGTATTGTAGAGCTAATGCAGCTGTTCACATTCCTGTTGAATAGACCCGTATTAGAAACTTAAGTGTTTGACGTATCGTGTCAATAGTCTGAGATCAAACCACAGGCACTGTAAGCCACTGCCAGCATAAATGAAACAATCCTGTATAGTTCTAATTCTTATTCCTTGTTTCCAACTGTGGCTCAAAGGGGAAGTCTGTCCACTGTTTGCCTTTCAGCTAAATACATAGTTTCATAAAAGGACTAAGCCCTTTTGTATGTGCTGGATTCTTCATGTTTCATTATACCCTCATTCTTGCCTGGCTGTGTTTGTGTTTGGCTAACTATGTTCTAGAAAGAAATCATACATTTGCTTTTCCGAGTTTGATCTGTGGAACCAATTCTGAACATCTCTGTGTGCTCAGGAGTTTCACTACCGTCCTCGAAGCTCTGATACCTGTCTGCCATGCGACTGCTACCCAGTGGGCTCGTTCTCGCGGTCATGTGACCCCGAGACGGGCCAGTGTCAATGCAGGCCCGGTGTGATTGGTCGACAGTGCAACGCATGTGACAACCCCTTTGCTGAGGTCACAAATTCAGGATGTGAAGGTGAACTAAACAGTAGAATTTCTTCATTTGTTAAGTTCTTGGAGCTTCTTGGTTTCCCAGTATGATATTCTTTGAAAGGTCCCATCAGAGGTTTGTTGTTCATTTTATTGTCATCAGCGTCATTATTTTCTAATAATAATCTTACTGTTGCGTGTCAAAATTGTGTTGGTTTATACTGTAGGGGGAAGATTATTTGTTGATTAACTTCTTCTGCATTCAGCCCACATCTCCATCACTGTAAAACTCCACACTGATAGTACTCTGCTTAGCAGACCCCACAACAGATAACACATATTTAAGTTGAGGAAGAGATGGAATCTTTAGTTTACTCTAATTAAGGCGTACAAGTTGTTGATGTCTTGTCATTTTATTTACACTTCCTGGCATAAATGAAAAGATACAAATGTATGTGTGTTGAATTTCTTACTATAAATACAAAAACAAGCTGTGCAAAAAAAACCCCACATTTTTCATGTTTGTTTTTTTAATGGAAGGATTCATTAAACTGATAAGTCTGTTCTGTCTGCAGTCATTTATGATGGCTGTCCAAAGACCATCACTCAGGGGATATGGTGGCCTCGGACCAAGTTTAACCTGCCTGTTGCAGTACCCTGCCCCAAAGGATCCGTCGGTGTGTGCACACTGCCATGGGCACAGTCTTTTTCTACTCCCCCCGTTTTTGTCGACAGCTGTTGAACTCGTTACATTTTCCTCATTACAGGAGCAGCCATCAGACACTGTGATGTGGAGAGAGGGTGGCTGGAACCAGACCTTTACAACTGCACCTCCCCCCCATTTGTGGAGCTCAGCATTGCTGTATGTTGGCCTAAGCTGACACTTACACCACTTAGCACTCGTCTTTGTTCCTAAGGCTGTGCCTGAGTTGAAAAGTGTTAATGTAAAAAAGAAAGCAAAGTATATCGAATCAGTTATTTAAAAAGAAGGGATACAACTGGTCCCATCCAACTGACTCTTAGCCAAAAGGGAATTAAATTGTTTGGCCACTTGTTTCTGTGTCCTTCCCTGATGAAGTGCGGCTTTGGAATATCCTCAGTAGTGGTGTTTTTTTTTTGTGTGTAAACCCTCCAAAATGCAGCCTGATTAATGCTTTGTTAATGTTAATGCTTTTTCTTCCATGTTTTTCTTGTGTAGCTTGATTCCCTGGAGCGTAATGAGACAGAGCTGAACACCATCATGGAGAAGAAGCTTGCTCACCAGCTCCGTGATGTTACCGAGGCGACCACCCGCCTCTACGGCAACGACTTGCAGATAGCTGAGCGACTGCTTTCTCGCCTCCTGGCATTTGAGACCCAGCAGAGTGGGTTTGGACTCACTGCAACCCAGGACGCACACTTCAATGAGGTAGAAACCCCATCTTCAATTTTCCGAGATGATCACCTGCTAGACTAATATCAAACACAGTCCCCGTGGCTGTTCTGTACTTTGACATTTAGGTAGAAAGGGGAGAGATATGAGATCGGAGTGGATGCAGGTGGGGAAATAGATGAAGACACATTTGCCATTTACTAGGCTTGGTTTGGTTGTTATTATTCACCTTGATGAATTAGTCCAAGTGACATTTTGGGGATAATGAAAGAATTCATACGAGATGTGGGGATTTGGGGTAAAATTAAGTGCAGAGAAGAATATCTTCAGTATATCTTTAATGAAACTACTTCTTCACCACCCTGTTACAGTAGCAGACAGCTTTATCCCAAAATGCTGATGTAATTTTTTAAAAATTAAATGACAAAGAGACTCCCACCATAATATTTTTGAGGTAGGTGCTGTCACAAAATTGTATTTAGTCTTTAGAGAGTTTCAACCTGAATATCCAGGGCTACTCCAGTATTCCTGTTTTTAGCAGCTATAGATATTCACAGAATCCACCAGAAGACCGCGGATGGGATTGGTAGACTGTACCAGTATGAAATAAAGACTTGGTGACTAAATCTTACAATGAGATGTCATCTGTGTGAATTGGGAGGTAACGTTGCTATGGCAATGTTCTGCCAATAACTCTTGAGATATTGCAGCATGTCAGTGTTCCCACATAAAGTGACAGAAACTCATTTTACCTGGTTGGATGCTGTCAGCTGGTCATTTTAACATAATGCTCTAGATATAGTGTTATGTGTCTGACATAAACTAACCAATTTTTCATTTAGCTATTTAGTGATGGTTGGTTTATATGTAAAATGAGTTAACAGATAGCTGTGTAACACCTCCTCTGTCATCTCAGTCTGCTGGCTGTCAGTAATCTAGATATTGGTTGGATATGGAAGCCTCCGATTTTTCATATTTGCTGTATTTGCATTCCTAAAGAGAAAATTGTAATCTTAATTATAATTTCTGTTTTCACCCTGTCATTCAAAAACATAGCTTGTCACAGCAGTTCAAAGAATTGTTTTCTAACACTGCCAGTAGTGGAAATTGCCGTAATTGTGGTAATCTTGTCTATTATCTCAGTCAGAAGTGAAGGTTGTTCATGCTTGTGAATAGAAAATCCTATAATATTTGACGCTTTGCCTCTCTGTTTTTATCTCATGATAATCCGGGGAGTGACTAATTCTCAATGATACCAAACTGTAGGCTTTTTTCTTTTGTTTTTTTTCACCAATGACAACAATGACAATGGATCGGTCCACCTCCTGTTAAAAAGGCAGGTTTTGACAGTTACAGCAATAGTAGCCAAACCCTGCAGACTCAGCGGTTTTAGGTTGTTGTTCTGAAGTTGTTTAGATTATTTTTTCCTGCATTCACACGTTTATTACAGAAGTTTCAGAGTGAGGATTAGAAGTTGGAATATAAAAGTCTTTCTGGCATTGTTTTCCCTGTACTGTGAATTGTACAGCTCCAATCTAAAAGGGTTACAGATTGGAGAACAGCAAACTAAAAGGCACACACATTTATCAGATGCAATACACACTTGTTGCTGTCTTTTTGCCTTTGTCTCAGGTATTGTCGAATCTGGTTCTCCTCCATTGGTTTTGTAGATGCCGGTTTTGTTTTTCGGAGATGTCTTCAGTTGTGTGTGTTTTGTCATTGATCGCTGTGTTACCATCTGTTCCCTACACTGATTACTCAGCTACAAATGGAGTATCAGTATAAATGCTCGTTAGCTTCCATTGTTATTTGCCACATCCTTTGGGTGGGATCCCCATGTCTGGCAGGCTTGTTCATTTTTGTTCTGTCTAGTTTCTTGTTTTATCCTTTTTTTTACTGAAACACCTGCCAACACACTTGGGCATTATTTCACAGTTTCATTATCTTACCGTTTGTAAAACTAAAAAATAAATATTTCTATCTTGGCCATCATGGCAAACACAGAACACTGCTCTTTGTCAGAAATACACAAGAATAGTTGCCATGGTAACAGTCGCATAATTTATGCCCATTTCTGAGTTAAATGAAAAAATCATCTCTGGCCTATCGTTTTGCTTAACCTGTCTGTGAATTTCAATGCTTAACGTTAGCTGGCTTATAGTGATAAGGCTGTTCTGTGTTCGTAAAATATATTTTTTATTGACACCTTGATCATTTTGAAAGAAAAACCTCCACCCACCTGACATGCATCCTAATTCCTAATCTGTAAAACCTTTATGCTGTCTTTGCTGTGTCAGTTCAGTTTCATGGAGCTGCACTGCTGACGCTTTTGACAGATTTTTTTGTCGTCAAAAAATTGTTGGAATACATTTCTGTGATAAAACATGTCACCTCATTTTAAACAGCAGCTTTTAGGTTAGAGTGACGAACAGGTTTTGTAGAACACAGTTACTATAGTAACCCTGTAGTGGCAAAGGAGCCATGTCGCTACAAGAGCGATGAGCAGATATGTGGAGGTTAATGAAAGAAGATGAAAATCTTTCATATTCAAGCTGCGATCAAATCCGTCTGGATACTTATGAACTAATGGGCAGCACACAGACCTCACATCTTTAAAAAAAAAAAAGGAATAAAAAAAACTGCACCACATAGGTCTTAACAGGTGAGTCATGTAAAATTGCCATATTTAATCATATAATCGTTTTATTCGTGTCCTCTAACATGGACTGTTCTTTTTATTTAGTCTACTGACTGGTTTTGCGATCTATTCCAACAACATCCTGTTTTGACTGAGAAAAACCAAGTTTTCCACATGTAGTAAAAAACATAATCTAGAAAAAAATGACCAGAGAATACCGTAGAGCTGCATATTTTAATGACAGTGTCTACATGAATATAGATAACAGTGAGAAGCTCATATCCACAAATAGTTGAAAAACCCACCAACAAAACACCACCCAAAAATTTCAAATGACAAATATTGATTTTTTTTTCTTTTTGTGGTCCCCAAAAAAATCAAAGTAGCTCAGAATGTTTTCTTTTGTTCCGTGCCTCCAACTCTGAGTGGCACCTCTCTAACGTTTGCCTCTAAGGACCCCCCTTATTTTTTATTTCTGTCTTCTTTCCCCTCATTCTTCTGTGGATGATAAAAAAAGAATTACTTTCTTTTGTCAGTCCATCCTCAGTTCGCTGCTTCTTTACTGTGCTGTGTTTGCTTTTCCTTATTTGTCTGTTTTTCCCGGTGTATTATATGACATTGCAGTGCTGTTATTGGCTGCGGTGCTGTCTGACTGCAAGGAACCGTAAAGCCCAGATATTACTCTTTGTTCAAAGCATTTTGTAAGGCTATGCACCCAAAACCGGTTTTAACAGGCTTCCTTCCAGGGTCACAAGTTCTCCATGAAAAGAAATGACAGGCAGCACAGACAGTGGCGATTCTTGCTCTAATTGGGATCAGGACTCGTCTGGTTGTACGTTTAGATTAAAATTTTTCTTCTGTGGTCCTGGTCAAAGCAGCTGAGCAAAAGGCTACCCGGCTCAATCAAGTTCTGCCCTTTTTTGCCCTTTTTGTTTGCCTCTACTGTCTGAATAGAGCTTTTCTCAGACATCCCCAAATATCTATTCTCTGGAAATGGATTACAAAATGCTTTTCACACGAATCCCTCTCAGTCACACAAAACAGAACAGCCGAAAAGGAAAAAGATTGAATTGTCAGGAAGCAAGGTGAAAGCACTCTGCTGTGCTCTCTTGGTCTTCCCAGTGTAAATCAGTGTAAATAAGTAATTAAAATGGGTGAGAGCGTGACACTGTGGAAGCGACCATGATTTGTTTTTCCATTTGCTGGGATGACAGCCACCGCTGAGAAAAACAAACATTGACAGAAACCAACACTTTTAAATCACATATTCATAAATGATATTCATAAAAAAAACATGGTAAGAAATAGTTCTGCTGAAAAAAGATCTGGGCAGTGGCAGATCCGTGATAAGTAAATACTTCAACAGATTCTTTTCTTTTGACTGAGAAAAACACATTTTGACTAATTCTCCGTCCTCTTCCTGGCACCAGAACATCCTGCGTGGCTGCAGCGTGCTGTTGGGTCCCAGTACCTCTGGGCTGTGGCGGGCTCTCGCTCAGAGTCAGAGCCACAACTTGGGCGGCGGTCCGGGCGAGCTGACGGAGCTGCTGGAACAGTACGCCCAGAATCTGGCCCAGAACATGAAGCTCACCTACCTCAACCCCGTGGCCTTGGTCTCCCCCAACATCGGTGAGTTTCCAATGATCCCACTGAGGCAGACACGTTATCTCTAGTGAAAATGCAGTAATGAAATCTTAATCTTTCCAGTTATTTGCTTTGCTTCTGCTCATAATGTTTTAAATCTCTACTGTGAAATCAGCTAGATTGACTTAAAGTAAAGCTGGAGATGAGCACGTCTGGTGCAAATGAGGATGGCACAGCCCAAAGGCTGGCAGCGGTACAAACCGCTGAATTTCACACTCCCCCACACACGGAGCAGTTAAGGCTTTTATGCACATGCACGAAAAAAAACTGAAACGCGGTGGCACCGACCAACATGCACAGTTTACATCTACAGAAGCCAAAAGGGAGAAAAAACCACTCTCACAGTAAGACACGATATACAAGTGCAGACACGCACTCGGACAGACTCGAGTTTCATCAAGCAAGTGCATTTACAGTCGTGGCCATGTACCGTCTCTGGCCTGGCGTCATTTTCATTAAAAATATTAATCTCCAACACGTGCTGCAGAGATAGAGATACATGGTGTTGAAACAGCTGCAGCTTTCACAGGGATGAAGCCAGTGACCATTAACTTTATGCCCAGTTAATGCGCCTGATGACGTGGTCTCTCGATGTGGTCTTTGACTAAATTCCTTCACCCCATCACCATCTATCTCTCCAATAAAATACATCTTAGTTACCTGCCGCTGTGTCCTCCCTTGTGACCCACAAGGTGTGAGGAAAATATAGAATATCTTTCCTGCCATTACCAGTATTAATGGGCTCCTTTAGTTTCTCTCCTCTCCATCATATCTCTCTTGATTAATTGCATTTGCCAATCCCCTTTGGAATTCTCCTGTGATGCAGTTAAGTAACCTTAAACCGAAGCGTGATGAAGATTCCCAGATGGTGAGCATATAATTAGCATCACAAGTGAAAACAGAAGGAATAATAAATATGACTGACACAAAATTTCACACTCCTACACAGAAAGACTGACATTTTAAAGCCCTTATCCAAAGCCAATAAGTTGAATAACATTTTGAAGGACATGGGTGGACACAAACCCCTTAGTTTGCTTCGAGTTGGAGATCATAGTAATGTTTTTTTAAACTCTTCCTATTCTTTTGAATGATTAATGTGCATTTTTGGTGTTTTTTTATCTTCAGCAATAAACCATGAACTTGTGTTGAGTTTATATTTGTTCACAGCATGCAGAAGCCTAAATTTGGGTGTTTTGTCACATTATGACACCCTCACATCAGTGGGGCTTTTTGTTATAAGTGGAGGTTAAGTGAAACAAACCAATAGAGATCCAAGTAAAGAATTTACGAACTGAATTGCGTTAGTTGGTAAAACCCAAAAGCGTTCCGGTGATATTGTGTGCACCTTAAATGTTCTCTACAATAATATAAAGTCATTTGCCGCATCTGAGATTTGTGACTTTGATCAATTTCCTTAAAAACGCAAATTTTTTTCTGATTTTCTGTTTTTTTTTCTCCCTATTTGATGTCCTCTAAATCATCCATGTGGGATACAACAACACACATATACAGTTGGAGCAATAACACTGAGTGAAACGAAATACCTGTCACCATGGAAACTGTGGAAATTTATTGCTGTGAAAATTTACAATTCATTCGTGGCCTTGACATTTTTCTCGACACCCTGTAATAGCAGCGTGTGCCACACACTTAAGTTTCATACTTGAGAAATCCAAAGGTGGTTTGTGCTTATGGTTTATAGTCCTAAGTGATTCACATGTTCACCCTTGCAAATGTATTGTGTGATAAGGAGTTGTCCTTGTTGTGTATCAGTCATGAACCTGGACCGTGTGGAGAACCACACCCACGTGCGGCGCCGTTTCCCGCGCTACCACACCACCCTGTTCCGTGGACAGGCTCTGTGGGATCCCTACACCCATGTGATAGTGCCTCCTGCTGCCCTGGTGCCACAACGACAGCAGCAGAACTACTGGAAGGAGAAAGAGCGCACAGAAAAAGAACGTAAGACCAGACATACAAACAGAAATCAAGCAAAAACATCAGCCATTAAAGGTATAGAACCTATAACAATTCAGAGTTCTCTGTCTCAGCTTCAGCCCCTCAGAGCGCCGGCTCCGCCCCCGTCAGTATCTTTGCCAATCAGACCGGAGAATACACGGCAGCCAAACGCAGCGTTTCCCTGCCCGAGCCACCCATCACCATCGTCATCATGTTGATCTATCGAAGCCTGGGCGCTGCCCTTCCTCCCAAGTACCACGCAGACCGGAGAGGAGTGAGGTGGGCGATCAGTCACTCTGAGAACAATAAAGACGTTATTACATTAGATCGCTGAACCTTTAGTGAACTGTGATGTATACAGGGATGGTAAACAGCCACAGACAGTTGTGTTCAGACTTACAGCAGCATCGCGTTGATAAAAAAGAATGACGTTGAAAATATCTTTCGTTTTTCGCTTTTATTTCTTCTAACATGATGGGAAAAGTTGGTTATGTGAATTGTTCGCAACTGAACAAATAGTCACACAAAATCGGATTTAAAAGTCAGTATCTTATCACCTCACTTGAAATCTGTTCTTTTCTTAGTCTTCTTCACAGTTGTCTGTCCCCTCAAATGTTTCACACATCTCCTCTGGGCTTCATTACAAATTAACAGCCTGTCCAGTTTTTATTCATCATCAATAAAGACCAATTTCTTTCTATATTAAATTGGAAATCTTACTCCTCTTTCATCTGGCAGCGCCTTTGCCTTTTGCTGTTCTTTTTTTAATACTTAACCACAGGATATCGAACGCCGTCTGATCAAATGGATGCTTTTTGTCCCCCAGGCTTCCCAGACATCCAGTAATGAACTCTCCAGTGGTCACTATCTCTGTTTACAACAACCAGACATTTGTGGGTGGTCATTTGGACCAACCCATCCTTCTGGAGTTCAAGCTGCTGGAGACAGCCAATCGCAGCAAGCCTCTGTGTGTGCAGTGGAATCACAGCAGCCCGTGAGTGCAGCTCCATGTTACACACACTGGCTTTAATGCTTCACACTGTGCTGATGCTCTTGATTAAATGGAGATGAAAACCAAACACTGTTCATAATTCAACAAAATTGTCTCTGATAATAGCCCGATTCCAGGCAGCACTTAATAGATGATAAGTTTAGAGTTCAGAACACTTTATGCCATTTCATTCTTTTTCTTATCGCATAGTAATGCGATAAATGCAAAGATTATCAAACTGAAAAATTGTCATTCGGTCCATTTGGTGCTGATGACTAACATATAAAGCAAGCGTGCAACTCTTTTCTTGTGTCTTTGTGTTTGCACAAAAATCATCTTTATCCAATGTAATCCTTCATTGTAAAACCTCCCTCTGCAGGCATGAGATAGGGGGCTGCTGGACGGTGAAAGACTGCATCGTGGTCTACAGGAACACCTCTCATGTCCGCTGCCAGTGCCAGAGACTGGGAACCTTTGGTGTGCTGATGGACAGCTCACAGCGAGAGGTTAGCCATCAGTCAGTCGAGATCTGTCTGTTTTAATGTTAATCCTTTTCCTTAGAAGAAGGCGTGTAATGGAATCCCCATTTTACAAAGCTTTATCCGTGAAGTTGCATTTCACACCGCATTCATGTGCCTTTTCATGTCAGCCCAACATCTGCTGTGGTGATTGCTGGATGTTTTTGGTGTAAAAATTCAATCCCGCAGACAGAATTTCTGACAAATGCTCAAAAGAAAGTCTTGTTACAGCTACAGGAGATTTTGACAGATTAAGGCAAGCCTCCTTAACCATCAGTCTCCAGCATATTAAGTCTGTGATACGTATCAGATATTCGGCCACCAGACTCACGGAATCAAATAAATCATGTCTACATCTGTCCAGTCTCAAGATCAAGCTTGCAGCTTATAAAATGTTTTGTACAATCACACCATGAGAGGGGACAAGGCCGTAGACATTCCAAACATTAGATTCTGTCGGTGCGTTCTTTGTTTCCTGAGAACAAGTGCACACAGAGGCAACAAGGCCTCCGACACTCGGCAGATTGACTCATCCACATGTTCGGCTCATTTACTTGCTTTCCAAATCATTTATAATCTCCGAATCAGACATTGTCAGGAACACAGTGGAGGCTGGCAGATGGTGACCTACTCTGATATAGCAGCTTTTCAGGGTGTTGGAATGACTCAGTTATATCTATTCACCTTATTTTTGCTTTAATGTTTCCCCATATTTCAGTCCTGGAGCCCTGTTATGCTATTTCCCCCCACACGTTTCCTTCTGATTTCTCCTTTCTCAACTATGAACCACTCTTCCATTCAACTGCACTTCCTCCTCTTCTCTTTTTCTCTTGTCTTGATGAGTAGCAGCTGGAAGGGGATCTGGAGACGCTGGCCCTGGTCACCTACTCCTCCCTGTGCTTGTCCATGCTGGCCCTGCTGCTGACCGTGCTGGTGCTGTCCTGCCTCCGGGGCCTGAAGTCCAACACCAGGAGCATCCACTCCAACACGGCAGCGGCCATGTTTTTGTCGGAGCTGGTGTTCTTGCTTGGCGTCAATCAGACCGAACAACAGGTAGTGGATTCGTGTTCCCGGAGCTGTCGTGGTCCTGTTTTACATTTAGCCTTGATGTAGTCCTTTATTTTTTTCTTATCATGTCTATCCATCAGTAGTTTCTCCCTGTATTTGTGAGTACATAATTCACTCACTTTTTCACTTTAATGTATCAAACTTTATGAGTCAGCTTCAATATATATGAAGAGTGACTGTTTTGGGTTTTTTGAGGTGGGTGATTGAATCTAATGGGGATCTTAATGGCTCAACTCATTTTCTAGATTTAGAGCTGCATTTCCTAATTCCCACATCGTTGGTCTTATACCTGCTTCTAATTAGGTTTATCTCTCCTGATCACTGTGGCTCAGTGTTTCTTTCAGAACACGTGTACATGTGTTTGAGTGTGTTTAAAGACCAGTGAATCTTGCAGAGAGGTTGCAGCAAATATGTGCTCACTCAGCATGAAATCCAATTAATTAAGCTGTATCCCCTACAAAGTCGACTGTACGCTTCTTACAGTGCGACTGGTTTCTCCCAGCTGAACAATATGTTCTCTAATTTATGTGCATCGTGCTTGGGAGAGCATGTTAGCACTCGCAGTGGTTCTCTGTGTTACTTTTTATGCTTAGCGTTTGTGTGTGTGACTGAAAAATATGAGCATGCTTGTGTTAGTGTGTGGGAGTGTGAAATTCATCATCTGGCTGCAAGAGTGACCAGGTTGCAGCTAATGTTTTTTTTCCATCTCTGGCTGTTGCTGTTTTTTTTCCATCTCTGGCTGTTGCCAGGAATTTGTGCTGAGCTTCTTTCGACCTTACAGTCTGAGCCTAAATCTCATGGGTGTAAAGATCACAGACGGTGCAGTTCAACTGAGACATGTGTGCTTAAATGAAAATATGACTGCGTAATAGTCATATATACATTATTTTTCTTTTTATACCAGAAAAATTAGTTTAGGTCTATGACTCTATGTGTTTTATTTATAGAATTCAACCTTAAACCTGAAGAAAAAATCTGACGCAACCATTACTGATGAGAGCATGGACGAACAGAGTATTTAGTCTGACTTGATAACTTGATTGTTGATTGTTTGTATATATCAGTATACAAAGCTTAAGATGAAGAACTAATAGTCATTTTCTCTTTGCATGTCTTTAAATTTCATATACGTTCATGTAAAGTCCATCAAGTTCCCCCAGCTCACAAACTCGTGCATTCTCAGTTTGTTTTTCTTGAGGTTTTCTTGTTAGATTCTTTCCTCTGACAAACAGCTTCCTTGTTCTCTTTGAGGATGGTGACATTTGTGGGAGTTGTAATACTCAACTTGTGTGTGACTGGATGCCTTCACACCTGGTCAAACAAACAAGACAGACGGAAGGCTCAAGAGTTCAAATAAACCACAGCTGACATTCTTGAAAGCCGCCTGAGGGTATCCTCTGTGGAAGCCAAAATGCCTTTGCCTTGCATTATTTAGGAAGAAATTTAGCTTTACTGTCAAACAAATGGCAGCTCTTTATGAAAGTGACTGTCAAACTTATGCAGAGCCTTGACAAGAGCAATTTGAATCATTCCTGATGATGTTACATTTAACCCGTGATATTGGTTAAACAGCATCCCAGTATCACTTATGCGGCATCGTGATAATGGCAAAAAAATACATTTATGAAGATAAAAAGGAACTTTTGATACTTTATTGGATGTTGTTCCAGATGTATTGTGCAAATGATTTTTTTTTTATTGTAAGTCTTGAAATATTAGTTGTGGAATCAATTATTTGAACCATTTGGGTATTAATAGGTTAAGTTTTTGTACCATTTTTCCAGGATTGGGCATATTTATAGTCAGTGGGACACAGAGCTGCTATGAAAACAAGTTTACCTCCAAGGGTGTTCTTTTCTTTATGTACCCTGCACGACAGATGGTTTTCACAGCCATGCCCATAATCACATTTAAAAGGCACTCCTGAGTTTTACTGCTTTAAATCAGCACTTTTACAAGACTTATAAATTAATACCAGGAATTCTTTCTTTCCTTGAGATTTACTGGAACGCAGTTCCGTAAACCGTTCAGCAGTTATTGAATAATGAACTCCGTTTAGTTCATAGCTGACACCTGCTCTGCTGTAATGGCAACTTGTTGGTCGCTTTCCAGGAAATCTGCTCTGCAATTGTTCAGCAATTGTTATGAAGGATTCAGTCTTTTATCTTCACTCCTGTACTTGTTTTTTAAACTCTTTTTTTGCTAAAAAAAATGCTGTTTCATTTTCCAAGTCTCCCTTTGCTCATTCCCCTTCTGTTTCTTCTTTCTTTAACCTCATCCTGTTCGATGTGTTTCAGCATTTTTACATTGCTCTTGGTTTAACTTCTCCTTTAATCTCATTTTGTCTCCTTGCAGTTCCTTTGCACGGTTGTTGCCATCCTGCTGCATTACTTTTTCATGTCCACTTTTGCCTGGATGTTTGTGGAGGGTCTTCATATCTATCGGATGCAGACGGAGCAGCGCAACATCAACTATGGAGCCATGAGGTTCTACTATGCCATCGGCTGGGGCGTGCCTGCTATTATCACAGGTACACGGAAACATGCCTGCGCATCACTGTCAACACAGATGGCCCTCTCCACGGCCAAATATTTATGACAGAATGCTGTCACATGCAATATGTGCACTGTCATCACTGTGCATGTACACAGCAGGCCTGGCTGAGCAGATAAGGGTCTGTACTGACACCTGCTTTCAAAAGGTTTCGGTGGCATTTTAATATAAAAATGGTAAAGCAGAGATACACATGCAAGCAATTACTATCATGACACAGTTTGGGCAAAAGTAATTTCGCTTCCTTTACGCACAGACAAACACACGGGCTTGCGGTTTCCACCCAGACTCATAACATGCTGTCAGCTCGGTTCAATCTGTTGCTGATTCTGTCACTGTCACACACAGCTTGTCGTCTCCCCCTTTCCCTCGAGAAAGGATCCCCCACCGTCTCACAGGCGCACACACATAAACGTCAGCACAAGACTCTTGCTTGAGGCTCGGAGATGTGTTTATGTCTGTCTTCATTTAGGTTATTCCTGTCTCTATTACTCTTTCAATTCATCTTAAATAAATTATTTTTTGACCAAGACTGTCAAAATCTCGATGGCGTTGCCTAAACAAGAATGTTTTCCGAATGAAGACATCAGCAGTCAGAAATCCCTCCGAGCAGCCATGTCATTCACCAGCGTGAATGCATGATTAAACAGATATCTGCAGGTTTAGGTGTCGGTGTGACGGGCAAGTCTACTCTCACGTCAGCAAAAAGCTCAAAACAGCACATTTAACGATTTGTTCGTTAAAATTATATCTAGTTTTTGAAGTTGCATTGATATAATTAATCATTTACAGACTTTTTTAAAGGGAAGGAGAAGGCCTCTGTGGTGTCCGTTCTGTCACCCGAAGGAATGATTTGAATTGCAGAATGATGGCTTAAGTGTGGCTTGAATCATTCTCAGTCTGTGCTGCTTGTGCCTTGACTGACAGCAGAGGACATCACGCAGTCGATTTCAATGCCTTATCTGACCCCGTGTGGTTTTTTTTCTGCAGGCCTGGCAGTTGGTTTGGACCCAGAGGGTTATGGGAACCCGGATTTCTGTTGGATCTCGATCTATGATAAGCTCATCTGGAGCTTTGCCGGTCCTATCGCCATCGTCATTCTGGTAACCCTCTGTCTACAAACTATACTACAAATGTCAAATAAAACAATTTTTCTGATGTGACAGGGAATAAGATTTCCCGCCTTTGAATTCTGACAGTGATTCTTTTTTCAGAAAAACATTAACAAGACTTTCTTGGTCCCCTGTTACAAGGTGACATAATCAAATGACAGGGAACAGTTAACATGCCTACTAAGATCGGTAACACCCAGTGGAATAATCCTTTTTGAATAACAATATGTACAAACCCGAATCTGGAATACATTTACCTGGCAGTGAACCTCTTTCTTGGAGATGCCTCTAAAATTAGCAGAATACTTACACCAGTCATAAGTGGCCAGACTCTAAATGAATTTCAATGAGACAACTCACTTGAACTTGACTAGCCCATCACTTTAATTGCTTCCCTCATCATACAAACACTTGTCTTTTTTTGCATATCACTTCAACAACAAATTTTCTAAGCTCCAGATGTTCAATCAAGACTTTACTCTGAGAGATATGGGTGGCTTATTCTATAATACATTTCTCCCTTTTGCTTGTAGACTTAAGTATTTCATCCACATTGATTTTTGGTCCTCCGTTAATCATGGTCCCAGATGTTCTTAACAGCCAAATTGGATTTTTTTAAATGCAATTACAATTGAGCCTTATTGATCTTCATTTGTCCAGATGAATGGAGGGATTTTCATGATTGTGGCCAAGATGTCCTGTAACCCGTCTCAGAAGGAGACCAAGAAACTTCCTGTCATGTAAGTGCCTGCCTCTGGACTTTTCTCATTTCCAGCACTGCACAATATGCTGTTATACTCAGGATATTTCAACCTTTAAAGGGACATGTATTAAAGTTTTTCTCAAAAAATTGGGTAGAAGCACTCCAATTTAGTGTTTAATTCATCCTTTTAACCTTTTCAGCTGTTTAAATGCTGTTATGAATTACCCAAAATCAGACATGACATTTATCCAAAAATATACCAGAAATGAACAAAATGACCAGTGAAAGGTGCATGAGTGTCCAACTATTTACACTGAATCCTACTCATGGAGTAATGCAAAGACACAAGTAGACATTGCAAACCTCAGAGATTCTGTCTTCTCAATTCTTTGTTTTCCTAATCATGACACTGGCAGTGTAATGACCACGTTGGTAAAGTGTCAATTTTTATTGATTTAATTCACTATAATTGTGAGATTTGTTTTTCTCTTTATTGTGATAGCACACTGTTGTATTTCCCTTATTACCTTCTTTATTGTGGCTGAAAAAACTGGATTGTGATCCAATCCAACTTCACACTCTGCTCTCTGTCTAGCCTTTCCAATCGGTTGGGATATATCAGGAAAATTAAATCCTGGTCATTTTGTGGCTCGAGCAGTCTGTCTTGTCCTTTTAACTTTCCCAGCTTTAAACCTGCTTCGCCTCTCTGTCACCATTTTAGTACGAAGGAGGAAAAAAATGTAAATGTTTATGTTGGCAGGCAGTAGCTAAAGATTTCTCCCTGTGGTGCTTTTGAACATCTAAGGTGCATGTACAGAAATGTGTGGCAAGAGTTTTGAAATTTGATTTGCATGCCTGTGCAGATCTTCAACAAAGGCCGTCGTTCCCTCATTGCTTCTGTTGAATTCAGGTCTCTCTTCACTGTGTTTCTCTCCAGTGCTACTATCCGGAACGCCTTCTTGCTGTTGCTGGTGGCCACCTCTACCTGGCTCTGTGGCTTGATGGCTGTAAACAACAGTATCCTGGCTTTCTACTACATATTCAATGTCCTCTGCCTTGTGCAGGTAAACCAAGTCTGAAATCGATTTGGTTTTTGCAGCTGGATTGGCTGATTGACTCCTCAAACCATCTTCTGTTTGGAATCTCTTTTCCTAACTGGTCCTCACTGCTATCTCCTTCAGGGTCTGTCGGTGATGCTGGTCTTCACTGTGTTCAACTCAGAGGTTCAGGAGGCCTGGAGAGTCGCTTGTTTGGGGAAGAAGAGCCCCGGAGAAGACCCCCCACGGCCCCCGCAGAACACAGTGAGTTCCTAACGCATTTTTATCTCAATACATTTTATATTGCAGAATCTTAACACGCAGCGGATACTGTTATTGTTTGTCCTAAAGTGGCCTCGGCTTGGTGTGTATTAATTTGCGCAGCACATTGGAAATAAGAAGCTTAATGAATGGAAATAATTTAAATGAACTGTAGTACCACAAAGGGATCGTCAGTGCTGCACAATAATGACTTGCACAGTCCTGATGTGAAACCATAAATCATTTCTCTACTTGATCTCAAAGGCTATTAGTAGGTTTTATCACACTGTATTCTCTTCTAGACCCACATTCTCACTGTGCCCATTACTAGACAGCACAGACTGCCCTCCATTTCTCCTTCCCTCAGTCCATCCATCCATCAATCTCTCCTGCTCTCCCCTGCTTCGCTCCTTGTGGCCCCGGGGTTTGTTGCTGACCCACATGAAACGAAACACCAGCCCGTGGAAGGCTGCTTGCTCTTTAGCCTCTTAAACAAAAAGAACTGTGCAGTTTCCATTTAGTGGCTGTGTTTGTGTGTGAGTGAAGTCCCATCCTATTTCCACATCCCGCCTCGACTCTCTCTTCTGTCTTGTGCGTGTGTTCATTAGTTCGGCTCGCTGCACATTAGCCGCTGTTTTCTTCAGCCGCTCTCTTTTGAAAAACAAAGTGTTGTCTCTCCCTGTGCGTGTGTGTGTGTGTGAGAGCCAATCATTTGTTTCATATTTATGTGCGGTTTAAATGTCCTCCTCTATGTGCTGAATGCCAAATATAGGGCGTGTGAGTGCCTGTGTACATATATGTGGATGTGCATGAATGAGTGTTTAAGTGAGTGTGTTTCAGCCCCCATCTCCTTCAAAGCTCTTCCTCTCCATCACAGTCATCAGGGGTAAAAAAACTGAATCTATTATTAGACACGCACTTTGCTGTTTTTCCCTTGATGGGCAGAATGCATAAATGGCTACCTAGTCTGTGAGTATTTGCCTGTCTGACTCAGATTGCTCTGTGTTATTTATGACTTATGTGAACAATAAACTTCAGAGCACAATTCCTGTCTTGTGAGCTTCCGCCTCACTTGTTCCATGTTTGTTTCTTCTTTTTTAAGAACACACACAGCACCTATAATAGCAAAAACCGCCCAGGGCGACAGGAAAATACAATAGATACGATATGTGATATTAAATATTTGTGAAATAGGGCTCATAAAGATCACAGTGATTGAAAGCATCCCTTGGGGAGTCATCAGATTTTTTTTTGCTCCTTGGCTCCCCCCAAAGTTGTAGGCTTTACCACCAGCATTTGTTAAAAAAAAAATCTGGAGAGTCCCCAAAACCAAAGTCGTGAGCTGGAGTGTTTCATACTCCGAAGCGCATAGTTTCACGGTTCTAAAATGTAAATATTGTCTCTTTAACAGTCATCACGATCCCTATACAAAGCTAGAAAACTCATTTAAAGACTCAAAAGATGTCTAATCTAATCCTTTTACAGATATATATATATTTAATTCTCAACTCTCTTGTGTTTCCACAGGCTCAGAACCCCTATCACAACCCATCTCTGCTGGAGCAGAGCGGGCTGCACCGCATCACCCTGGGAACCTCCACCATCTCCTCTGTCAGCTCAGCCAGGTATCCGGACACGCTGTCTCAAACAGCCACTCGTCACCGACAAACCAGAAATGAATTTGGATGTAAAACTCATGCAACATTGCTGCCAGAGGAGAAAAAAACGCAGCAGGGTTGTTTTTGTGTTCAAGATCAAGTTTCCTAGCAACTGTGGTTAAATGATAAATTACTGTTGACTTTAAATGACAAAGAATATCTGCAGATAAGTCATCATTCAACTAGTGCATCAGGTTAGATTGTTATACTCTACAGCTTTATGATTGTGGATTAAGTTGCCTCAGGGAGGAAATTCCCCCGCTGATAAACTCAACGTCCTGTGCTTTTTGGGTTAGTGGGGCAAAGATGAACAAGATTGGATAGAACATTGTTCTGTGCTCTTTGTGGAGTGAAGCTAATGTACACTGAAAGAGGCTGCTGATGTTTCCAGGACTCATTGATAGTCATTCTTATCGAGTGTATGTCGAGAATATGACTGAACGTTTCTGTGTGATCATTTCAATTTGTTCTGGCCTGTGTGTGTGTACCATGTGTAAAATTTGCTCGTATCTTCTCTCTTTGCTCTCCATTAGGGAAAATCTTTTGGCTCGTCAGACCCTGGAACAAAACATTGTCCATACAGGGGCAACAGACCTGGATGTCGCCATGTTTCATAGAGATGGAGGTGCATTTGCAAACACACACTGGGACGTGCAGACACTATTTTATGCACACTTTCATTTTCTGCAATTCCTGTTATTTTATCACTCTTTGACCTAAAGCACACACTAGAGATCCATGAAAGAGAGTAACAGGACCATCTCTTTCCTTATGTCTCCTCTCTTGGCACCTTCAGGCGAGGATTCGGACTCAGACTCGGACCTCTCCATGGAGGAAGAGCGGAGTCTTTCCATCCCCTCGTCTGAGAGCGAGGATAACGTGCGTCTCCGTGGACGCATCCAGCGTAGATTCAAACGCTCCAATCACAGCGAGCGTCTGCTCACAGAACCGACTAACAACGGCACCAAAGGTAAGCCCGTAAATGGATTGTTTCCACATTTTTACGCTCAATAAGAGCTTAGCTCCTTACACCAGAGATAAAGCCTGCAGAAAGGGTGAGACAGCAACAGTTAGAAGGACACAGTTTAAATGCCAGGCAACCTATTCATGTCTGCCAGTGATCTCTATGTTCGGTGTGTCCCGCATACTCAGACTTTCTTCAGCAACAACCGAGTAGACCATTTGAATTGTGTGTTAGTGCTGCCTCACAGCAAAAGAGATCTGATGTCATTTGAAGTGATGTGAAATAACATGGCTTCACAGTGGTGTGGTGGTTAGCACTGTCGCCTCACAGCAAGACGGTTCCCGGTTTGAGTCCCCGGGGGAACCAGGATCTTTCTGTCTGGAGTTTGCATGTTCTTTCTATGTCTGCGTGGGTTCTTTTCAGATACCGTACTTCCGGCTTCCTCCCACCGTCCAAAAACATACGTTAGGTTTACTGGACACTCCAAATTGCCCCTAGGAGGGAGTGTTCTTTTTTTTGTCTCTGTGTGGCCCTGCGATGGACTGGCGACCTGTCCAGGGTGTTTTACCGCCTCTCGCCTGTTGTCAGCTGGGATAGGATCCTGCCCCCCCGTGACCCCATTTGGATAAACCGTATAGAAATTGGATGGATGGATGAAGAAATATTTGGCATGCGTTGACAGGAGGAACTGGCAGTGGTCATCAATCAATATCTTTCTTTTTCTGTTGATCATTAACTCATTTCATGAATATTATATGAGTTCATACTCTCCAAAATATTTGATAGAAATGTCATTCTAACGTAGTTTTTGTGAAAGGCTTCACTTTGACGAAAGGCCAGTTATGTGAAAATCTATAAATCCATGGAAAGGATCAATTCCTGTCCTCCATTCAGCGGCAAACCAAATGATGGCTTGAACAGTTGAATCAATACGTCAGTTCAGTCAAACTGAGGAACAATGCTGAAAGGTCAAAGTGTGAACGGTTCCTGTGGGCTGTGACAGAGCATTAACGCTTCAAGGCCTGGATTGTTTTTGGAACTCACACAATCAGAAATACATTTAGACCCCCAGAAAACATGCTTTTTAAAATCTTTACTGGGAGCCTTTTACAGTAGGAAATCATAGTATATGAATTGTAAAATTACAATAAATTGTTTCTAAGTAAGCTTCCCACAAGACAAAGTTATTTCAAGATCTTATACAATTATATATGAATAAAAAAATGGAATATAATCCGCAATAATTTGTCTATAGATATTGATCATTGAATCATCGACCAAACAACAAGCAAAGCATTCTGTAATTCCACAAGCTCACAGTCATTCCTATGCACATGTCAAAAACATGAGCGGTGTCTGTTTGTTGGTCATTTGTAGCACTCTGAAACATAATATGTAGTGCTTTGAATTAGGTTTGGCTTTGTTTTTCTAGATTGCGGGAATGTGGGAATCTAAAAAATGCCTAATGTGAAAGATTCTGAGAAATTGGCTCTTTAGAGATGGTCTTTATTGACTGTCAAAAGACAAAGAAAGAAGAGGGGTTTTGTTTTTGAAATTGGAAGTAATCAAAGAGCTCTTTTTTTGTGTGTGCAGCAGACCTGGATGGCAATGATCTTTTGTCCTACTGGCCCGCTTTAGAGGAGTGTGACACACACACCTTGCAGAAGTGGGGCTCGGAGCGCCCCCTGGGGTCAGATTACAGCAAGGATGCTGCCAATAACAACCAGCTAGATGCAGCGCTAACCAGCGGGGATGAGAATGGCCTCACTCAGCCACACAGACATCGCAAGGGTGAGAGCGACATAAAAACAAGGAGAATATCTCATTTCCATGAGGGCGAACATTAGGTGTTATCAGTTTTTGGTCCGGCATCTGTGGATATTAGTATCTGGCCGTGGTACCGTCAATCTTTTATCTGTCTTATCGTTCTGCCGGAAAAAATTGTATGAAAATTTGGTATTCCTGCGGAAGAAAGCTTGGAATGAATCACCAAAGTAGTCATTTGAACTTAGCTGTGTGGAATATTTACTGAAGTCAAGTGGTAATTTTGTGAGACAGCAGTTTGTGGAGCTTGACTTGTGGACTTGATATAGTCCCTAAGGGCACAACTATCACTTTTAAATGCAAAGGGCAGCATTTACACTCGGGGCTGATATGAAGATGCTTTCTGCATGCACACACACACACACACACACAGTGCCACACAACAAGTGAGAGAGGACAACAGAGGAACACAGAGTTGGAAATTCAACATGACGCCTGAAAGCATAAATGACATTTTAAGGTGAAAAAATACACAACTCAAAAGTCTATGCAACTACACATGCGCACAAGTGACCATGCTCATCCAGTGGTTAAAAGCAAAAAAGCGCTGCTTTGCTTTAATGACTCATCTTAAAGCTGCCTCAGGATGTCCATGTCCTACAAAGAGAACTATTATGATTCACTGTATGTTAACAATGACCAAAGACAGATTTAGAAAATTCCTACTTGTGTGCATTTCATCCTTTTCACATCTTTCCTCATAGGCCTTCAACTTCCTGGTGTAGGCTGATGTGATTCTATGAGCTTTTTACTCTCCTGCTCTCTCTCCCTCTCTAATCTATAGAGTTATTTTTCTCCTCAGTCTCTTCCATTTGTCATTGGCTTTCTCATTCTTAAATTCTTACTCTCATGTTCCAGGTATCCTGAAGAATCGACTTGGCTGTCCTCCAACGCTCCAGGGAATTTCCACCATGGGACGAGTCCCCAGTGAGCTCAACTGGTACCGAACCTCCACTCTTGGCCACAGAGGCGTTCCAGCAGCCTCTTATGGCCGGATGTACTCTGCCACAGCCGCCGCCAGTGGTGGCTCCGGCTCTCTTTCCCAGCCGGCATCGCGCTACTCCTCCAGGGAGCACCTGGACTCACTGGCCAGGAGGCAGTTTTCCAGGGATCCACTGGGAAGGCAGACTGTTGGGGGTTCGAGGGACCGGCTAGACTCTCGGGGTTCCAGGGACAACCTGGATCTCTTACCCAGGAGGAGAGAGCTGGGACTGGGGCAAGGGGTGGGGCTCGGGGGCCTCGATCACCAGCGGATCTCCTCATCCAGGGAGAACTTGTCGGGATCCAGGGACAGATTGGACAACCACCATGTCAGCAGTTTTCACGCCTCAAGGGAGGATTTAAGTGGAAATGGGGGCGCTATCGGAATGGAGGGCTACCTCAGCGGGTCGAGGTCGCAGCTGAACACGCTGACCCGGCGACAGGCCTCGTCCCGTGAGCACCTCGGGGGGGCGCTGATGAGCAGTCGGTCCCGGGAGCATTTGGAGCCCAACGGTTTGGGAGCTGGGGCTCAGCCGTGCCGGGAGTGGCTCCGCACCCTGCCGCCTCGGCAGCCCTCCCACCCGGACCAGCCTCCGTCCGCCTCCCCCCCTCCCCCGATCTCCGAGGAGCCCCAGCAGGAGCAGCTACCTCCTCCGTCTCACATCAGGGGTCGCCTGGACTCCGCACCTTCGTGTAGGTATCCCGGTCAGACTGTCCCTCAGGTGGCGGGCTCGAGTCCGAACCCCCTGGGTCGACAGCCCTCCAGTGAACACCTGGACATTCTGTCCTCCATCCTGGCGTCCTTCAACCCCTCAGTCCTTACTCCTCCCCCCGCCGCCTCCAACCCCGGTCCCAACGGCTCCATCCACGGACCCTCCCCCTCCCCGCCTCAGTCCGCTACGTCCTACAGCATATCTGAAGTCTCCCCTGACTCAGAGTAAGACCTTCTGTGAGATTTACCCTCAACTAACCTTCCGCACGTCGCCCTGTATCATGTTTTCTCTTCTGTCCTCTCTGCCTATCCTCATTTCCGACCTGTGCCTTTTTCCGTTTCTTGTTGTTTTCATCTCCACTCGTCTCATCTTTTGTCAGATGTTTTTTCAGCCCCTTTATGTTAATTCCTGGTGTCTCCTTCCCCTGTATTTGGCTGTCTGAAATAGTTCATTTCCATTCCACCATCATCATAATGTGGAACTCACACGTAAACCCTACTGATGATTCATTTCTTTTCCCCCTCACCTCAGAGCCAACAGAAGCGAGGGACAGTCTTGATGACAGCCTCCATGCCTCTCAATGTATCTCTTCAGTGATGGGCAAAGAAAGGACGAACTTAAAGGTTGCGGATGGCTCAGCACTGCTGGGACAAACTGGGACATTAAAGGACTTAAAACAAAATGGGTCAGAGGAGACATAGATAAGGTCTTACTGAGAGAAAAACTTACAGATAAAACCGATGGTGATAAAAGGTGATGTTTTTGGGCTGGTTGTGCCCAGAGGCAAACAGATCAACCAACCACCTCTACTACCTAAAAACTGTTACAGAAAGACAAAAAAAAGAAGAAGAAAAAAAAAAACTCAAATTCAAACACACATTAGCCTGAAACCAGAAGAGACCCATGAAAAAAAGGGAAAAAAAACGTTACTGTAAATAACATTTTTTATACATTTTGTATCTTTTTCATTGGAGATGAAGAAGAAATCTCTTGTGATGTTTCTCTTTTTTTTAAGCAGTTGTGTCCGTGTGAGGCTGTGAGTGAGGCTGATGCGAGTGCAGTCTTTTTGCGTTGCTGAGAGAAGAGTTTACCTTTACCATGAAAAAAAAAAAAAAGAACCCACCAATTTTCCCCCAAAAATGTTTTCCTCCATAACATTTCCTCACACCCATCATCTGTATGTGTATCAACAGGGGTCCGGCAATAGTATCTGATGAGATTATTTAAACCACAGGTTGTGGTGGGAAGATATCCAAACGTCAGGAAGTGATTGTACATAGGAGAGTGGGGTAACTATAAGAGAAGGCATTCGATGGAACTAAATGATTGTGCAAAGAAAGGTTTCTAACAAAAACAATTGAAAGATGGTGGTTCAACTATGAAAACTCAGTCCACAGGTGTCAAAGTCTCATCTCTTTTAGGAGATTGTGCTATTTTGTGATCAAATGTATATGAAAGTGACCTTGTCATCTGTCTGTGTCTCTGTGCCGAGGGGGCGGCTGCCAGAACCAGATCGTATCAGTCCACCGAAATAACAAGACCATATCTTCATAGCTGTGGAGACCGTGTGGGTGTGGGTTGATCTCTCTGTCTGCCTCTGTGCACGAGGCTGTATCATGTACCAGCCGTTTAAAAAAAACCCTCAAGGTGTTTTTTTGTACTTTGATGCACCACGACTCGACCTGCCTCAAGGGACGCCACAGGAGCAGCTGAACCTCCCTGGTAGCATCCGGAAAGTTTGGGAAGAAAGGCTTCTCGAGCAGAAGCTCTGTGCTGAACTAAACCAAAGGGGACTTAAAATCAGTATCAAACCATTATAGTTTCCAACTGTCTGCGTTAAAAATGGCTCTGTGCATGGTGAGAAAGCCGTAGATGTGTTTCACTTTTGTTTTAACCATGATCATAAACAGCCATGCCACTGATAGAAGTCTAAAATGAAAATGTGTTTCTATAAATGAGGCCTTAGATCTACACTACAACGCGACCTACTGTGTTTGGTATTTTATTTGGCTGCATACTGTGGAAGCTAGTGGATCTTGATTAGGAAAGAAGGGGAAAAAACGGATTAGAGGGAAGAAATGCATCATATCTCAGTGTGCTCAGATATTTGTTTGGAACCATGAAACACTCCAAAAGCAGCATGGGATGTGCCTGAACGCCACAACTGATGTTTTTCGCAGATGACACTCTAAACCTGATCATTCATTTCTAATCTCCTACGTTGAAATCACCAATCTTTAGAGAAATTGAAAAGAAAATAGGCATGTACTCCAAATCTGAAAACATTCAACATGAGGTCTGGCTTAAGACTGAAACAGTTGTTTTCTTTTACCTGCCATTTGTGAAGTTATACAATATTGTATCTTCCAAAATCAGGCAGAGCTTCTCCAGCAGCACAGCAGGAGAAATGTCTAAAAGCTAAAAGCTTCTCAGTGGTATCAGAAAGTACGGCTTTCCATGGGCAGCTGAATCCTTTGCCACAGATGTTTCGACCTTATAGCAAAAGCATGCACATTTCTTCTTTCCTTCTGTGGCAAAACATTTGATTGATGGAAAATCCATGAAAAAGAGGTTGCAAAAACATGCAAGTTGCAGCCCGAATTCTGTCTGCCTGCTGTGAGCAAAAGGAATGGCAGCAGTTAGTCAGAAGATACTTTGCTCCCACAAGACAAGATGGTTAAAAAATATGAAAACTAAAATTCGGCTAAATGGAGAGTAGCCTAAACAAAAAACACAAAACCAGACACAGTTGGAGGGAAGACAAATTGGGTCAGAAACCATGACTGTGTGCAAAACGTGGCCACAGGCACTCATGGATGCAACTCATTACAGAGTAAGATAAAAAAAAAACACAGAGATGAGTGTGGGCAATGCAAATTAAGGGGAAAAATGCATATCTTTCTGCTCTGTCAGCCCTGTGTCCCTCGGAAATTACTTCCACACCTGCTTTTGACAGTATTATGGCCAAAAAAAAAAGATTTAAAAATGGTTCATTCAGGGGACAGTAACCTGCCGATCTGTTAAAGGGGTAGTACAACTAAATGGATCCAGATTTCTTTTCCCCGTGTTTTTTTTTTTTCACAGATTATAACTCTATTCTTCACAGACATGAAATCTATTTTATTTATTGATAATTTATTACATCTTTATGAATTATTTTTTCTTGCCATTTTGTATGAGAGGCTATTTTGTAAAGGAATGTTTTTCTTTTGTTTCCATTTTTCTGTCCAAAGGTTCCTTTTCTAAATTTCTTTTGACATATAACGTTTGATATGATTGCAGTCTCAAGGCAACAGATGAAGGACAGGAGAAGAGGCAAATGTGAGGTCAAAGTCTCTCTTTAAACTTAAGAGTGAAACTAAAAGACAAGGCTGTGCTTATTCAATATTTAAATTGGATTAAGTATCTAATTATGAGGCTATAAACTGGAAAACCAAATAAGCATACATTTAAACCAGTTAAGGTTACATTTATCACATCTTAATGGCACGTTACCATAACATCCTGATATAAGATGTAATACAGGGTGTAAATATTGCAGTTTTACCTCAAATTTCTACACTTCAACGTGTAACTTATCTTTGATAATTGACAGCAGTCTGCTAGCAACTGGGATATATTCGAAACCTTTATGATAAAGGTTTGGATCAATAAGAGCCACATATGAGGGCAGACGAGATGACCGAGGTGAGACTGTGTGCTTTGAAAAAAGAAAAAAGTGGGACTATTAACAGAGGGAATGAAACAACGAGGCAGGGTAAGGAGGGAGAGGGTTGACGGGGATTGTCTTTGTTGGCTTGTGTGTTGATAATAAGATACCTTCCATCCTGCCGTTGGGATGGAGACAGCTGTTCCCCTGTTACTGCGGAAACAAGATGTCGGACATTAAAAAAATGACTCCTTCCTACGAGGTCTTGTGTGTGATTTAATTTTTTATTCTTTCCGTCAACGAAAAGAGCTTGGCAATGTCACATTCATGAGAACAGACATGTTCAGGAGTGAAACAGCGAAAATGGGAAACATCCTGACAGGGAGACATGTTTGTTTTTCTAGAAGCTTTCTCTGATTCGTTTCGACTCTCTAAGTATTCTGTCACATTCAGAGGCATGCTCAGCTGCCAAGCTGATAAAGTCACCTCACAGCAGCGGCACCCAGCTGGCAGAGCATTGCCTGTCCTTTCACAAACGTTACACTTCAACCTCTCACAAAAAATGTGCAACTCATCTGTTAGATTAGTGCAGCCGTATGGCCTCAGGTAAAAAAACAAAAATAAGGTACGAAAAATGGGAAATGCATTCGAAAACACAGATATGCTCCAACTGAGAGGAATAGAGCCTTTTTTTTTCAGACAAGCTATCCTCAGAACCAGCAGGTTGGTCAAACTATTACTGCTAGCTTTTAAGAACTTCTCTGGTTATGAAAATGAGGTGACATTTGCCTTTCTGTGTTGATATTGCTATGACGATACCACTCGCAATATATCAGCAAATACTTAAATTTATGGAGCTAATCTAAAGGGCAGCACTCATTCTCAGAGGTGCGGAGGTAAAAGCAGCCCTCATTCTTACATTCTAACCTATTTCAAGTCCAAAAGGCCTTTTGCTGTAAAGAATCTTTGTTATATTATGCAGAAAAACAAAAAAGGCCACTTATGAACAGTCCCTCCTTACTTATATTCTTTCATGTATAGAGTTTTCTTATATGCAACAACATAAAGCATGCTTAAAAACGGTCCCAGTTTGGGTAAAATGTACACAAACATATACAAATACAATAGCTTCCCCATCTATTCTGAAAAGAGGTTGACTGATTCGCACAGAGCTCTGAGCTTCACCCAGTCCAACGACTGTTGCGTTACTCAGTGCCAGAAAAAAAAAAGTTAGCATTTCCCACGTGTGCGAATGAGAGAAATTCCCCTTAGCTAGCGTTCAGGCAGAGACATGTACAACGGTTTATTCAAGCCTCTAAGAAGGATTGAAAACAACCATGTGTGGATTAAAGGTGTCAACCTACTAATTGTGGAGGTTGGAGGTCAGGTTTTGTCTTTTATCTATCTTCAGCTGTTTGAAACATGCACAATGAATCATGAATTGAAAACAGCTTCAGTATCCATCCATTTTTTTTTCATGGCTTATTCTCAATGGGGTCGCTGGGGGACTGGCATCGGGTGAGAGGCGGGGTCCATCCACAGCTAAAGTATGCACTGCTAAAATGAGTTAAAAAAATTAGCCATTTCAGGAAGTCCTTTCTTCCTCTTAGGTAACTCCTGCATATTCTATTTAAAAAAACAGAGTACGGATTTACTTTCAAAGAAAATATGACTCAAAAGATGTAGTGAAATAAAAAGAAATGATAAATTACAGATAAAAGAGTCAAAGTTAGGAGTACATTCAGTAAAAGATTCCCTCTTTTGTAATTTCATCAAAGGCAACCAGAGACTCAGTCAGGTTCTAGCCAACCTGTGCATTAGGCCGGGTTTTTTCCCCCACAGGTTTAGCATAGGCCAACTAATCCCAGAGAGGAGTCCCGTTTGGAGCAGACTGGCCCTCAGGGGAGCAAATTTCAGCCCTCTATGAAGACGCTGAAATGTGCCACCAGAAGGTTCTGAGTGAGACAAACTCTCAGGACTACAAATTGAACAGAAATCTCTTAGGAACACAGTCCATTCCATATTACTAAACAAACAAGAGTTAAGTAAGCCCTGAAAAAGAGGTTAAACTCGATCAGCCAGTCAGATCGGACGTCTTCTCCTCTTCGTCCCCACTGCTGGAGGAAGATGGCGGCACATCCTCGCCCAGCCTCTTTAGCTTGGCCTTGTAGTAGGCCTTCTTCATCCTGAAAGCTTTTTCCTTCTGTCGGACAGCTTTCCGCCTTTCCCTCACCAGCTCCTGCTCCCACGCCACCACCTTCATCCTGTTCTCCCACTCCAGGATCTTCATCTGCTGCTGCTGCTCCAAAGCCTCCATCCTCTGCTGGTGCTCCAGTCTGGAGATGTCTAAAGGATCTCCGTCTGACAGCTGTAGCTGCTGACTCACCAGCCTGGAGGCGCCTGCGGGGGAACGGATAAGAAAAGCACTTCTGCTGAACACCCAAGACAAAAACGCCCCTTCACCTACAAGAGCCTCTCTTGTCCACATTGATGAAGGTGTGCAGCTTTTTGTGCTGTTGAAAGGAGTAAAACTGATGGAACCCTATCGAGCTAAATATCAACTGGGCCGTTTAACGAATCCTCTCATTCAAACTAGGCCGTTGGTATGAGTTGCTGCTTGAATAAGCAGAAAAACTGCTTCAGGACTTTCTTTTGCAGTGATTCCCCTTCCTCTGTCACAGCAATCTCACAAAAGGTTGGAATTAGCTAAAAAAGGTCCAAGAAAAGGTTGGATTTAGCTAAAGATAATGATGTCAACATTGAAACTTCAACCCCTTATCTGGTTAATAGGAAATCATCACATTTGATTCAGCCGAATAAAAGTTTTCTGTGTGTCTTTCGAGAAAAAAAAGAATAAATATTTAACAGCTGGCACCTGATACCTGGAACTGAGATGTAGCCACCAGGAAATGTCACATCCTGCTGCTCTGCATTGTGGGAGGTGGAGTTTGTAGTAGGGCTGTGGTTCAGATCTGACCAGTCTCTGCCCGATATTCTGGCCAAGGCTTCCCGCTGGACACAGATGGCCAAATTCTCCTTGCTGTCATCTGCCTAAAATGAAAGTGGAGCATTTGTTACATTTGTTTTTACGGAGAGCTGGGAGTTTAATTTAATTTTTGGTGACATTTCAATTCCACTCATGTTAATTCAGCAAAAAGGAATAAACAAAAAAAAAAAAAAATAATAAAAAAAAAAAATTTTTCTATTTTTAAAAAAAAAAAAAGAAAAAAAAAAAAAAAAAAAAAACACTAAAAACAAACACATTTTTATTATATTTACCCGGTCCATGCTGCCATTCATCTGCCCGGCTTCATTTATAAAATTGCCTGTAAAAAAGGAAAAGAAAAGGATGAAAAGGATAACAAAGAGGGTCTGCAAGTAAATGTTTTTTCTAAATTAGTGAAGAGTGCCTCTGTGTGGTATATTAAGGTATAACACCCCCCTTACAGCTATAGTAGCCCCTCACATCCCCAAAACGCCGCTCATCCATCACCTGTGGGTGGTGTTATGTGGCAATGGGTTATACAATTATATCCGGCACACTCCTAATCATTAAAGACATCACTGTGAATGATGTCTGCATGGATGAGAGACAGTGCGGACTTATTATTTATCAAATAAAAAAACACATAAAAAACTGTTTTCTATAGTCAATTATAAAAAGACCTGAGAAATGTCTTAAAAACACATTCTTTATTTTTTACTTTCTCATGCTATCAAATGCAGATTCTGCTGAGGTGTCCTTAAGCACAACCTCTATAAATCTGGCCAAAATATAAATTTTATATTTCATTAAAAAGTTAACTCTACCCGGGTTTTAAAAATGTGGAGGGCTGGAAGAAAGAGAAACACTCAAATAAGAATGATACAAAAACAAATAAGCAGGTTAAGCCAATTATTGATCCCATATTGATACTTTGAAAACCTTATCTCTAAAAATGCATTAGAAGTGGTGAAACCTAAAAAAAAAAACTTTTCTGAAGAGGGGATTCTAGTCAAAACCCTGAGAGATGAAGAGCAAAGTATTCATTAAAGACTCCCAGGTTTTAAAAGGGCTAAATCTACAAAAGATGCCATTTCTTCTGCCTTATTTGTAAGTGTACACCATAAATCAGTGATGGCATCATAACGTGATGAGTGTAACACACCTCACAGCTCTCAGGTGTTTTTTTAAGCATAAATCAGTTAAATTATTATGTATAAATGGGGTATTAATGAGATTTTATCAAGGACTGTAGGACAACATAAAAATACTGGTTTTACCAGTCTTGATCTCGAATAAAAAAGTATTTCTGTCTGATCCGTTTATAAAGGTCAAGAGAACAGTAAGTAATGAGCTGGGACAGATTAATTGTTAGCTGATATAAAACAACAACAACAACAACTGCTGCTACACAGGCAACATCAGAACACATTGTCCCTGTCAATGAATGAGGATCCTAATAAAAGCTTCTGACCACTGTGTGCCATGTCTCTCGGGGTGTTTCTCCGCTATTAACAGTGGAACTAACTAACCTTCCAGCAGCTTGCGGACGGCCGCTTTGTGGCCAGCTCCCCCTGCGTGGCTGGTGAGAGCAGCCTCGCCCATGGTCTGAAGTTTGATTGATTTACAACAGGCCCTACACCGTGCGAAGTGAATGTCATGCGCGTCCTTTAACAGCCAGTCCTTAAAAGCGTCCTTTGCCAGCCAGGAATCTTGAAATCTACATTTTCCAGGCATAGTTAGCTGTAAAGTTAGCTGGACCGCTACCTAACGACGAGTGGAAACCCTTTACCTATTTTGCCTCGTGATGCGTTGAGGACCACCTACGAAGGACGTGTACATGAAACTTTTGCCTTTATTAACCGATAATACAGAACAACATGCTGTTTACAGTCGCGAAGGATAATCAAAACCGTATTTACAGATCGCATTTTATCGAAACATTTTCAAATTAAGTATTCAAAATATTTGAAAATGACTAGCAGCAATAGGAAAATGGGGCATAAAATGCTAAACAGTTTTTACACAATTAGGTAATAACAGCTTTTACCTGAAGCAATCGTTTGGTGATATATTTTTGAAAATCCCATTTTATTTTGAGAAACTTATAATGAATACAAACAAAAAAATTAGAAACAAACAGACATGATTTTAGAGATTTCTTGTAATACTTTCTGTAAGACATCACAGTCACCAATTTCACGGAAAACCCTTTAATGCAGCACGAGTCTGAAGACTTTGGTCACATGTCTTCTCGCCACCAATAAGATTTGACACCTATGTTTTCTGGCCAATTGGCATTCGGGAAGCCAGAACTGTAGCCTGATTGGTTAAAATCAGATAGCAGGCAGAGCAGAAACACATGGGATCCCTGTTGCTGTTCGTAAATTACTGGAGATTATAGATAACACATTAGCGGCGTGTCTCCGAAGTTTGAGGCTTTGTAGTTGAAAACTTGTCTGTACGTTTTCAAGTGACGAGAAGTGTTGTTAACCTTTATGTGTATATCTATTAAAATAACACGAAGCGAACTATTGATGTTAGCTTGTGTTGCTAACGAAAAGGGATTGGACTCATCGTTGTTCTTGACATTCCTTGATAAAACTGTTGGGTGTAAATCGTAACATTGTGTCATTCAGGGACTATTCATAATGTTTCTCAAGTAGAAGAGATTATTCGATAGAAATGGAGACAGCTGCCCTTGTAGCTCCAATAACATGTTTGGAGTTCTTTAAGGAAGAGTTCTTGTTTACAGGTAAGTCACCTTTTTTATGTTTATTATGTTAAATACAGTAATTTCTGTTTGTTTTGACTCATGTTCCATATACAGAAATATTTTGGATATTACATTATATTATTCTGATAAAGGTGATAAAGGCCTCTGGGAGCAGATCAATTATCCAGCTGTTATTAGCTTTTATATTTGGATTATTGTTGCAATAATGTGGATCCAAACCATATTAAAGGTTCACTCAACACACTTTAAAACTTTACTTTATTACAGGTGAGGGTCCAGTCTTGTCAGTGTACAGTCTCCAGCCTCACCCTAAAGCTTGCACCTCGCTGAGTGTCCTGCAGCACAACAGAATCCACGGGATCAGACAGAGAAGTCAGGACACTTTGTCAACACTGAGCTCTGCCACAGCAGGGTGCCATCAAAGGGAACAGGGTAAGCCCTAGCAGGTTCTACTAATTTGGTGATCCACCAATTACAGAAAGTATTCTGAACAATTTGGATAGTTTAAGTTTTACGAATACCTCTCACTGTCAAGAGCTTGAATACGTTATTTTCTTTCACAAATTAACAGACTGTCCTTTTTACTGTCGATCCCCAGGACAGAGCTCCACCCCAGAGCTCAGCCTCCATGACCTGGCCATATTTGGAGGTAAAGCTGTGGGGCTGGTGAGGTTCCATGTGGACTGTGAGGATGTGAAGCATCTGCGTTTGGAGACCCTGGGTCCCCTCCTGGAGCTGCCCGATTGGATCCTGGATGCCCGCTGGCTCTCTGGACATAAACAGTCGCTCATTTGTGTGGCTGTAGCTCACAATGGCGTCCTCCTCCTGGATGCCGTCAGAGGAGAGGTGGTGCTTCAGTGCTCCTGCCTGGAGGGTTGTTTACTGTATTCTGCACTACTTCTGGTACACCAATCCTGGGCGGATACCGTCTTAATCGGAGGGACTGTTTTCAACCAGCTGGTCATCTGGAAACCCAGCGGAGAAGATGACAGCAGAGTTTTGGGGCACAAAGCCCCAGTGAAGCGCCGTCTGTTGGGTCACACTGGCGTCATCTTCAGCATCTCTTACCTCCAGGAGAACGGTTACCTGGCTTCAGCCTCTGATGACCGCAGCGTGCGGGTGTGGGGCGTCGGTGTGTTAGGCGGTCCGGGTGGGAAATGTGGAGACTTGAACCCGACCTGCTTAAGAGTTCTCTATGGTCACCAAGCCAGAGTGTTCTCGGTGCATCTCTCCCCAGGGAGAGTGTTCAGTGCTGGGGAAGATGGCACCTGTTTGGTGTGGGACTTGGCTGGAGAAGGGAAGGTGGTCTGCGTGCTGAAAGGCCACCGAGCGGGGGGGGTCCGCGCTCTGGCGGTCAGCGAGGGACCGGGAGGTGCCCGGAGATGGGTGGCTACGGGAGGGGCGGACGGAGGGGTGAGGCTGTGGAAGGTGGATGGCAGCGATGATGAGAACTCAGGGACAGCAGGGACGGAGAAGCTGACAGACCTGAAGTTCCCCGCTTACGGCTTGCCTAAAGTAGTTTGCGCGGCAGGACAAGAGGCTGAACGCACAAGCTGGAGCCAGTTCCTGGTTTGCACCGACCTAGGGGTTGTATGCCAGTACAATGACGGAAAGTGGGAGAAATTGTGGCAGGGATCTGATGACTTTAGTTCCTATGTTGTGATGGACACAATAGCTGTCAATGTGAAGGACTCGGCCACCACAGTTACTCTGTGTGCTGTGGGAAACCTCTGTGGGTCCTTACAGATCCTGCCCACCGCTCAGCCTTCATCCGGTGTCCGTCTTTCCGGCGGATCAGGGAAGATCCACAGCCTGATTTGGCTAAGAGGAAAAGAAAGCGTGTATCTGCTGGCGTCGGGTGCTGAAGGGCTTGCGTATCGCTGGCGCGTCAAAGTAGAAATAAATGAAGACTCTCGCCCGGTTTTACATGTGAAGGCTCTCCCGCCCCTCCTCCTGCCTCACTGCGCTAATCGCTGGCTCACCGCAGCAGTTCGCCTCCGGCCCGCTCCCGGGGAGGTGCTGTGGGTGTGCGGGGACCGGAGAGGGTCCCTGCTTCTGTTTCAGGAGGAAAAAAAGACCTCGGACGTCGAGGAAACGAATAAACGAGCTGCAGACGCACAGGAGGAGACGGGAGAAAGCAGAGAAACGCTGCAGGCGCGCAGCGTTCTGTTTGGAGCGCACGACAAACAGGGCGTCACCTCAGTCCGCGAGTTCAGGGGGCTGCTCTACAGCACCGGCAAGGACGGACACGTGAGGGTTTTCCGAGTGCGTCGAACAGGGCGAGACGAAAGCGAAAAGATCGGACCACATGGAACAGGAGAGAGTGTGAGGACGAGCGAGGGGCCGCAGCTGGAGGTTCTCAGAGTGCAGCGGGCCTGCAAGGGAATGGAGTGGCTGGAGGGGGTTCTGTTCCTACAGTCTGAAGTTCCACAGGAGCAGGAGGACGATGCTGTGCAGCGGTGCGAGAGTCCAGAGGAGAGAAACCATAACCTGGCAGAGACGTTTGAGGTGGCAGGGGAGAATTTCAAAGGAAGGGAAGCTCGATTCGTCATTGTGGGCTTCCACGCAGCCCACTTCGTGGTCTGGGACCCGCTGAGGCAGGAGAGACTGCTGGCCGTGCCCTGTGGCGGGGGGCATCGCTCTTGGAGTCTTTGGCCATCGCACACGGGGCTTTGGCCCGGATACGGAGCTTTGGTCTTCATCAAGCAGGGGGCAGTCCTGACCTCGCAACCCCCCGGGGAGGCGCCGGGCCGGGGCGGGAAATCGGGAAGGAGCGGAGGGTGGGGTTTGCGAGAGGGCGTCCACGGGAGGGGGATCTGGTGTGTGTCCAGGCTGGGGAGGATAGGGGAGTCAGGAAATGATATTCTATCAAAGCCCGCCGAAGGTAAAACCCAAAATGTCTGCGGCGAGAGCCAAAAAGGCCACTGGGAGATCGTTGTGACGGGGGGAGAGGACACTAGCTTGGCCGTCCTGGCGCTGCAGCCAGTTTCCGGGATTGTCAAGGTTCTCTCGGTCATCACCGACCACATTTCGGGCGTCCGCTCGCTGGCGGCCGTCCCACGTCCAGCGGGAGGGAGCGACCGGCCGTCTCTCTCCGCCCTGCTGGTGTCAGCCGGCGGCCGCGCGCAGATCCAGTGCTACCGGCTGTGGGTCGGCTGGGACAGGCGGACGCTGGCGCCCTCCTGTCAGGTGATCCAGGTGGCCAGCCACCGATTAGATGAGCGGTGGGAAAAGAAGCGGAACCGACACAAGACCGTGAAAATGGACCCGGAAACGAGGCAGGTTTTGGCATCATTCTTTCACAGTTTATGATTGATGTTCAACGCTCACATTTAACAGACTCTGTCTCTGAGCTGAGGACAGAACATGAATGTTATATTTTGTAACTTCAATCTCTGCCCTGTAAAGTGTTTTATCCTTCAGATTCCGCTGCTCTGACTTGCTAACCACTTCATAACTCTCCTCTGAAGCTCACCTTTGAGCTCGTGTTTCTGTCACTTTAGTACCTGCTGTATGCTGCAGCAGTGTCCTGAAAATGTGAATTATCTTGTCCCAATTCAGTCACATTCACTGTTTATATACTAGTAACAGCTCATAGCAGCTGCAGGATTCATTGTAAATTGCGGCGGCTTCCAGCAGAGTGCACATGTGCGTGCAGGCTTTGCTCATCACACTGTCCATGGACAATGTGAACGCAAACGGGCACATTTTGAAGTGTGTATACGCAGTGCAGCACCTTTTTTACATGTACTAATTGATGTAGTTGCCAAGTGAATCTTATCACAAAGTAGCAATTTACCATATTCTTGCCTGATGTTGCTTTTCTCATTTAAATTCAATTTCCGACTAGTTCTCTTGTGTTTTTAGGTATGTTTCTGTGGCAGTGGTTGAGGACACGGGTGACTGCGTCATTCTGGCTTTGGCCTGCAGCGACGGGGCCGTCAGGTCGGTTTTAGAGCAGAAACCCCCTTCTGAAGAAAAGCACAACACATTCCGAAGGCTTTTTCGTTCACTAAACATGTTTATGTTGGTTAAAGCAGCATGAAAGCAACATACCAGACCAGGCTTTGGCTCTCTCTGCGCTGGCCTTTGTGCCTGCTAGTATTTATATCAGAGAGGTGCATTCATGCATGTGTGTTTTGTTTCTGTCTTTTTAGGTTGTTCTCCGTCAGTGAAGTCAGAAATCAAATTGATTTGTTGTGGGAAACGTTTTACCACCAGCGCTGTGTGCTCAGTGTGGCCACCTGCAGCCTGAATGATGACAGTGGCAACAGGTGGGCTTTCCTTTGCTAACGTGGATCTAATTTAATTGAAACTAATAGAAGATTGCTTAATATTTTGCAGAAGAAAAAAAAAATCAGCGGGAAATTTTCCATAAAGAGAAGAGACGATTGGCAAAGTATGAAGAAAACAATCTAATCATGGTGTGCTTCCCTCCCAGGTATAGGCTGCTGTTCAGTGCTGCTACAGATGGGAAAATCACAGTGTGGCATTTGACTGGAGCTCCATCCCCATCCGCTGATGATGTGAGTGGTTCCACAGCCCCTCCAGTCCCCAGTCTTGACATTCCCGCCCACCAGAGCGGCATCAACTCATTGGCTGTTTGGGAAGAGAAACGGGGACAACAAGAGGGCGGTTGCCTGGTAACCGTTGCTAGCGGAGGGGATGATGGGCAGCTGACGGTGTCCACAATAAAGGTGCAGTATCCTCTTCCTCAGCCTTGTGGCACTCACGATTTACCACAAGCCCGGCCGCTTGGGGTCGAGCTTCAGTCCCAGACGCACGTCCCTCTGGCTCATGCTGCCCCCCTCACCGCCCTGAAGCCGCTGAGCCCAGGGCTGTTGGTCTCCACCTCCTCAGATCAAAGGGTCTGCCTGTGGAGGGTCAGCAGTACCGGGATCAGTCACAGCGGGGTGCTGTGCTCCCACGTAGCCGACGCTGCCGGGCTGGCAGTGTGGGAGGGGGAGGGGGAGGGGGGCAGCCAAAAGGAGGGGACAGCATTAGAGCAGGTAAACAAAGTGCGTGGGGGAATAGGGAGTCTGACACCATTAACGACAGAGAGTGAGATAACAGGGGGAGGGCCAGTGGGTGAGGTTCAGAAAGCGCCCGAAGCGTCCGAGGGCAGAGAACCCACCGTAGCGGTGAGTGAGAGAGGTGACCCACTTTGCGAGACCGGGGATGGCACCGGTAATCCAATAGATCAAGCGGGGCGCCGCGGTGGGGGAGAGGCAGTGAGCGAGGCCAACGGCAAGACGGGTCAGAGGGCTTCCTGTGAGAGCGGGCGAAAAGGGCCGGAGGTGGGATGGGTGCTCGTCTGCGGCCAGGGCCTCCAGCTCCTACAAGTCAGAATTCCACAGATGGACGGAAAGATGTGGAGAGAGAAAAGAGAGAAAGAAAACCTGCGACTTCAAGTGACTGTTCAAAATCAGGCAGTTGGCACAGGACCAAATGAATGACATGGTCACAGTCGCTTTCCAAAGAAACACGTTTTTTAAATTAATTTAATGTTTTTAATGTGACCTGATTATCTACTGCACATTCATCCAAAACAATGTTTGGAATAAAGCTGATTTATTCTTTCTTTCGGGGCATTATGTGTCTGTGAATTAATTACTCTGCATCAAACAAAGGCGTCTGAATAGATGTGCAATCACTTCAATTTCCTCTCATTAATCCCCAGACTGATGGTTTATTTTTTTCACTCATTTCTTCTGGCCAGAAAAAAGGAATGATTTATGTAGTGATTTATCTTTAATTAGGACACATGTCCCATAATAATGCAGAAAAAGCATGTGGTGCTCATCAGGGCCAGCCCAGGAAATTTTCACAGCGCTTTTTCAGAGGAATTTTAAAACCATCTATTTAAAGTATGCGCCATCTGTGGCCTGCTTCAGGGAATGGAACCAAACTGCAGTTATTTTTAATACAGTGTGTTAAATCTGTTCAATCAGGGAAAGAAAATCCATTATTGACTAAGGGGCACCCTGGAATTCCATCACCGGTAACAAGCAGAGGTCCATCAGGAACTGTGTGCCCTGACCAACACTGTTATCTCCGCCTTTACCCAAACAGGGCTCCAGGTTTTTGAATGCAAAAGGCAATGGATTGACTAAAAGGTATGCAATGTGAAACTTTTTTCAAATGAAAATATAGTGGAAAAATTTGGCTACTTAAAGATATTTTGACCCCGAGATAACTTTAAATGTTTCAGAAGTTAATTTTCTTGTAAGCACTGAGACTTTCTATGATTCATAGTCAGAGAGAGCCAAACAGTGCTACTTTTGAACTTCGATCCCTCTAACCTTTTCCCAGGAACTGACAGGCATGCTTTCTCTTCAACTTAATGGCCTGGCACACTGATAATTAAGAGAACTGGTAGAAAGTACAAGAACTGTATGTGTACATTTACTGATACATATGGAATTTTCACTGTTTTGTTCTGACCATTTAAAAAACTGTGATATTTTAGAGTAAACCTATTTTAACCTGGTACACACAAATGTTTTGCATGCTGCTTAGTGTGTTTTTGTAGAGGTTAGAGCCCATGAAGGATCAGAGTTTGGGTAACCATAAATATTTTAATATTTCGGTCTCAACTCACATTACGTTTTGTCAGGCACCCGTCTCACTGCCCGTCTCTCACGCTGACAGAAGAGAAACAAAGGGAGAGAGAGGGGAAGGAGAGTTTGAGTGAAGGGGAAAGTGGACCAAGTGGTTGTAGAAGTGGGGGGACCTACTGTGAAAGAGATGAATGCTCTTGGGATCTTGTTTCCCTTGGTGCCCTTTGTACCCACCACTATAATTTATTAAGGGCAGAGGATGAAGGAGGTACAGTGAAAGCAACAGTGCTGACAAGACGAAGGCGAGGGCAGTGAAGGGGGAGTTCAAATGTTGCCCTGAGCATCCCTGCTGCTTTTGTAAGTCACTGGACGCAGAAGACTTGGATCAAATTGAGGACACGGTGGAGAGTTCTGGACGAGACTCAGTGAGGAAGCTGCTTTCCCAGGTTTCAGTATGTATTTGTTTTGGATCGTGATGTGAGGGAGGCTGTGCCGTGTAGTCGTCTCCAGTCTTCAAACGACACACGTGGGGAGAGGAAATAACTTCAGACTGAGATACCTTCACCATCTGAAGAACAGAAGTGCCAGAGGGGATATTTTCCCTGCATCTTCTTGACAATCTGAGCGTGAGTGTCTGTGTATGAAGGATGTTTTGCATCTCTCAGGAGAGCAATAAATTAGATCAGCTGTCAAAGCTCAGAAGAAGTTGCATTTTACATCTATAAAAAAGAGGTGTACTCACACACAAATTCTCAAAGTGTTCCATCACTGCTTGTGATTGTGTCTGTTATCTGCCTTTTACCTTACCCATAACATTTAACCCTTAAATATCAGCTGTCATTTCACATCAGGAAGATTTCTATTTAATTTTCTTCCTATCAGGAGTGTTTTGGGACGTGAGCGTTTCTCATTTCCTGTTTCAAACTGTCACTCATGTTCAAAATGTCATGCAGAGACCCTGAATTTGAAAACACGGCATGCAAAAAATGTAGAGCGGAGGCCATTTTGATAGTTTAAAAAAGTATCAAACACTTAAAAAACATAATTAGATGGTGCACAGTCATGATTTGAATCATCTACTCAAACTACGTTAACCATTAACTAGTAGAATACTTCCCCTGGAGTTTTGTATCAAATTAATGGCAAGACATCCCACAAGGTTTTTTCATTTTATAAAAAAGGAATTTATTTGCAAATCTGTATCTAATTTACAGTTCTTGTTGGTCATGCATCTTAAAAAAACACATCTATAATGTTTTTTTCCTCAGTCCACTGCTTGCACGGGGATGGCTGCTTAATCATGTCTTTAGTGGGATTTTTAGTCACAGAATGGTGATGCTGATTTTTTCTCTCCACCCTTCAGTTTGGTGATGTCCCGTGAGCGACTGCCCCTCATTGGTTCATTTGGAAGCAAAACAACAGGTGATGAACTTTTAATTGTCTCTGCAAACCACTGTGATAAAAACTCAACCTGAACAAAAAGCCTCGTTGTAAACTGTTGATGAAAAACGGATGCTGCCGTGTCTCAACTATGACGCAGTGTATGTTTAATAGGGTGCTACCTAATACACACACAAATGTGTCTATTTTCATTTTTATCAGATGTACTACTTTGTTGTTATGCCCTGTTTATATAAAAGATGTGACATGGTCAAATTCCCCAACTAGAAGCTACTGAACAGCAGTCCACAAAGCAGTGAGTGACAGTACATTAGGATGAATTATGTTTAAAATCTGACAGTCAAATTTTTTGAATACGCAGATTTCTTATTACATTAATGTCCATCCATCCATCCATTCTCCTCCGCTTTACATTAATGTAATTCAAAGGAATTGATAGTATTATTATGATTAATTATCAGGACATTAGTTCAAGTGAGCTGAATCATTTCTTTCTGACTTGCTGGCTGGTGAGAAGAGGTAGAAATGATTACGTTAAATGCTCATACTGTGTGCTTTGTGTCAATAGCACTCATAATTGAACAAATGTGTTGAAACATACCTCTTCTCATCGTTTTTCATTTGCAGCTAAGCCATCACACCGTTCCGCTGCTTTGCAGCGAACCCCCCAGGCCAGTCGCAGAAAGCCTAACCAGCGGCAGCCGGCAGCCTCCTCTGACCCTCACCCCGGGCCTCCCTCCATCCTCCTCTCAGACACCACCATGACACCCTGGGGAGGCCTGGCCATCTGTGAATCCTCCTTTACCACCATACCCCCTCCGCCTCCACCCCTCCTGCCCCCCGCTCCAATGCCAACACCTCCCACCTCTCCCGTTGTGAAACAGGAGGAAGATGAGGACAGTTCATGTTCAAGTTTCGCCTCTGACTGGCTATCTCCACCTCTGACGGTCTCTCAGAGAAAGGCAGGTATGACTGGGACTTGTGCCTAACATGACTGAACCTGTGACCAGATCACAGGCACAGCTTCACTCTCACCATGCCAGGCCCACTGTGTGCTTGAACCATTTTGAAAACTCAATTCCACACAAAAATTAATCATCAAGTTAAGTCCTCTAGTAAAGCAGCATAAATCAATTGGATTTTTTTCCTCTTCGTCAGATCTAATAACACACATTAATAAACAGATGTTTTGGGCGTTATTCTGGACTTCAGCCAAAAGTTCTTTCTTTCGGTCGTCTTCTAAATTCTAGGTGAAGTGGGGAAGGAGCTGGGCGTGAGGAGGAGAGTGCTCCCGCAGCGCCGGGTCCCTCGCCCCCCCCGTCTCCCGCCGCTGCGGCCCATCACCAACCTCAGCTTCTCCCGAAGCTTCACCTTCTCCTTCTTCGAGCTGCCGCTCCACCAGTCTCCCCGCTGCCGCGCGGAACGTGTCAGAAACCTCTTGCTGCTCCTGAAACAGATACACTACTGAGGACTGCTTAGTCAGAGCAGCGTGTGGCATTTGTAAACAGTCTGATCGTGAAATAAAAGCCTGTACTGAGTGTTCTGTGGCTTTTGGTCTGGCTTTTAACCTTTGAACTTTGCGTACATTGTATGGGTTCCTGACATCTTTTTCCTGGTTTGGTGAAATTTCTGGTGGGGAAAGATTGATTATTTTAAAGCTGTGGAGATCTGCCATCAATGATTAACTTTTTTTTAACATAAATTGTTGAAGTAAGAAACTCCCCAAGTGCTAACTGACTGTTTTAAAAGGACTATCAGATCATGATTTGTTTTAATGGTGAAACACATTAAAACACATTCAGTATATTTATTTAAAGCATTTCTCATTTCATCTCCTAGTGTCTCTCTTTCACTTCACTCTCACACACGCACAGATACACACATTTCTGAAAGCTGAGCTGGGATAATGGAGGCATTCAGGGGCACTGAATGGGGTGGTAAAGGGGAGGAGAAAGGGGTTGTAAACCGGCCGCAATGTGCAGAGTTCAAGGCTGTTCTCCACCTTGCCTGATTCACGTGTGAGAGCTTCTGGGGTTGTGTATTTATTGCCCACAGGCATGTACACTCTCACTGTCTCTCGTGTGAACTCTTTGTACTGATGCGGCTTCTTCCTGATAGACATTAGGTCAGTCTCTCTCTCTCTCTCCGGTTTGTTTTTGTTCACCACACGGTTACTCACGCTTCTTCTTTGCCTTGCAATTGAATACGCACATCTACACACATACAGATACGTTTGTGCGACTCGTCAAACAAATACCCATTGTCCAAACAAGAGCAAAGTTAAACTCCACAGTACAGCCTTTTAACTTTTACAGGGCTTTCAGATGGACAGTGTTGAGCCAAACCGCTGTCAGCACTGTGGGCACAACTATCTTACAGTGGCCCTGGATGAAACTCAGCTGGATTTTCTTGGCCAGCGGGTAGAAAACAAGTCGCAGTCACTATTGGAAAGGGTGAAGGCGCAATGCCGGTGAGTTGAAGTCTAGGTTTAGTGTTCCGGGCTCTCTGCATTGCTAATTCGGGCCCGTGGGTTAACTTATGGATCAACATGATGTAGTAGGTTCTTTCGCCTGAAAGTCTGTGCTCCTTCAGGTGTTCTGCTTCCAGGATGAAGAGCTTCCTGCTCACACTTTTTCCGGTCCTGTCATGGCTGCCCAGCTACTCCATCAGAGAAAACGCTGCTGGAGATTTGGTATCTGGGGTCAGCGTCGGGATCATGCACCTTCCACAGGGTGAGGACGCAGCAACACTCACAAAAACACAAAACCTCTGTCACACTTTGCTTGTACGATGTTGATTTTTTAAAATTTCACACTTGTTTTTGAGAAGAGGATATGAGAACTGCTGTTAAAAGTGTTTAGTTTAAGAACAATTTTTGTATAACAACACACAAACATCGGGCCAGAAAGGTTTGACAAGGTGGATCCTGCTTCAGATCCCAGCTGGGGTCTCTTTGTGTGGTGTTTACATGTTCCCCCAGTATATATATGGGTTCTCTTCAGGTGCCCAAGCTCGCCCCCACCATACAAAAACAAACACATCCGGTTGTTGGGTGCATCCAAATTTACCGCAACAGTGAGTGAGTGTTGCATAGTTGTCTGTTGTTCATCTTTGTGTGGACCTGTGATGGACTGGCCAAACAAAGCCTATTTCCACAATATACCACTACGATGACATATTATGGTATGCGAGTTTTATTGATATAGCATTTTTCTTCGCATTGATCTTCCTCTTCCTTTGTTACTGAATGATCAATATCAGTATCAATCATTTGGATTTTATAGTTCCTGAAAACATGCACCTGACCTTTAAATGTAAAAAAAATTGGGAACAATTCGAAGTCTGAAACTCTCACTCTGCCTGAAAAAACATCATCAAGGCTGAAAAAGGAGTAGAATAATTTGATTTTTTTAAAACTATGATTTATAGTTAGGGTAATGCACATCTATTCATTCAAAACAATATTTTTTACATTTATTTTTCATTTTATTTCTCAGGAATGGCCAATGCTATGTTGGCAGGAGTACCTCCAGTGTTTGGACTCTACAGCTCTCTTTATCCTCTCATCATCTACTTCATCTTTGGCACTTCCAGACATCTCTCCATTGGTACTTTTCTTGTTTTATTTCTGTGGAAAAATAAAACTGAAAAACAGAAAGTTCTCTCAAATTTGACATATTTTAATAAAAAGTTTAATTTTTATTTAACTTTAGATTTGTAGTTTTATTTGACAAAGAAAAACTCAAAGCAAAACCAGAGGTCAGTCAAGTCCTTCACTTCAGAGCTTAATTTCGGTGTGTGTGTGTGTGTGCACTCATGTGTGACAGGTACTTTTGCCGTCCTGGCCATCATGATTGGGTCTGTGACAGCCAACGTGGAGTTGCCTAGCAACAGCGATGAAGAGAGTCAGCTCGCTGTGGAAGCTGCCAAAGTGAACGTGGCTGTACAACTCACCTTCCTTTGTGGTCTCATACAGGTACACACACAGAACAAAAACAAGCTTCATTCTCATGCTCACCACCATGAAAATGACCTTTAACCTGTGGTTCCATGACAAAACCAAAATAAAATTTTAACTAGATAATATTAATGACTGAAGTAGTAGTTGTGGAATTTGGAAAAGCCACTAAATTTAAGCTTTGACCTGACAAACAGGTAAAGGGGCAGTTCTCCTTTTAATTTTGGCTGCCCTCTTACTTATTCTTAATCCTTTGCTTCTTGTGTATGTGCTCGTGTTAGCTCCTAATTTACCTTCTGCGAGGAGGTGGTGTGTGCCGCTGGTTGTCTGATCCTGTAATCAGAGGCTACACCACGGCAGCAGGACTGCACGTGATCATCCTGCAGCTGCCGCTGATGACCGGAATACCAGCACAGAGACACACAGGACTGCTGCCCTCAGCTTGGGTCAGTTAAAAAAGCTGTTTGCTTTTTTGACAGTTATGTAAAGCGCTTTGAAAATAGGCTTGGTGCTACATTGGGCATTTACAGTGTGCCGTGCATTCATCAAAGTAATCAGCACAAAGATATGACAGCTGAGATTTATATTTGTAAAGTGGCCTTTTTATGAGAATTATTTTTTAAAAGTCTGAATAATGTGTGTCTTCCTCAGACATTAAAGGACGTTCTGTATGCTGTGACAAGTATTGTACCCGGAACTCTGGTAGTCTCTCTGGTTTCAATGGTGATGCTTGTTGGAGGCAAGATGCTGAATGATCGCTTCAAGAACAAGTTGCCTGTTGCCATTCCCTGGGAGCTTTTACTGGTGACACACACACACACACACTCATATTTATTTTGTTAACATCACAGAAGAGCCGTTTCATAGACATCATACATTCCTTTCCTTCTTTTGTAAAAAAATGACAATCCAAATATGTTGTAGGTAGAAAGTAGGATATAAGACTCATTTGAGGGGAATATCATCAATTTACGATATTAGCTCAAAACGATTTGAAAACGAACATTTCACAACGACCCCCCCCTCCCTTCCACCCCCTCCAGGTTAAACTCATTAATAGACATGACAGCTTTTCTCACTTCCATAGCAAAGGCCTCACTTGGCCTATGGTGTCACATGACATATCACATGGCCAGGACTAAAATACCATTTCTTTATAATGTGATCATCATCCTCACATATGCCATTTTTACAACTCCCTAAAGTTGAGTGTATGGCCTCTAAAGATGTGATATTCCTCAAAAGTGTGTGTTTTTCCAGACAGCTTTGGCCTTAATACGTAAACAAACCCGTGAGCTTGTGTTTGAGCGAAGAATAATTGCCTTCTTTTAACTCCTCCTAGCCACAGAGGTCCCCACAAAGCTGGTGGACTTGATGAGCACAGCAAATCATGATCACGAACGCTCACGGAAACACACACAGGAGACTCATGTCCATAAGATGCATCCAGATGGACAGATGCCACTGTGATGAACTGATGAATGACTCATTATTATATAATAATCTGTTTTTATCTTTGAAACCACAATTCAACACATACAACAAATATTTGCCGGTGGTTACTGATTAATCGTCATTATGTCCTCTGATCTTTTTAGCTGTGCTGATGACATTTATCACTATGTAGTATAAATCTAATCTTCTTTTAGTTCAAATTGGTCATAAGAATTCAGGGTGAGACATTTCAAATTGTAGGACTACATTTAAATTTTACAAACAATGTATGTGAATTAAACGACTTAATGCAAAAGTGATCTTAATACATACAATGGTCAAAAATTCAAACAATTTCAAACTGATTATATCAGACAAACAAACTTTGAACTCTTTTTCTGAGGCTCAAACAACATGTTTTATTTTTGTTTGGTACGTAATGTAGGAAACACTGTCAGGCTGCCAGTGTTTACCATAATCAGACAGATTATTAATACATATACTTTAAATCAGTATGATAACGATGTGTGTCCTTGTGGATGTGTGTGAGCAAACTGATTTATCTGATATCAAGGTACTCTATGGTTGACAATCATCTTTTCCAAACTGAACAGCTTGTGCAGAAAATGTCATATCCATTGTTTTTCCCTCCCAGATCATCCTGGGCACCATCCTGTCGGTGCAGATGGATCTGGCTGGACAGCACAGGGTCCAGGTGGTGGGACATATACCCAGTGGGTCAGTAGAACTGGGTTATTCTCCGTTTGGCTTTTTTACACAGGGGTATACATGTGATTCATTTAGCATGCTGCTAAAATATTAACTTTGTCATATTTAAATGATGTGTTTTATACTCTAGCCTCACCACTAGTTTCACCATCAGCTCGAACATTATAGCAATTTTCATCATATCGCAAATAACATTATCAAATATCTATGAGATTGATTACTAGATTCAAAACGTACTTTCTTTGCATGATTTCCGAGCTGGTGTTTAAATGAGTCTGTTGTTTTTCTTTTTCCTCCAGCCTATCCCCCCCGGTTGTTCCCTCTCTGTCTCAGTTCAGAGACCTGTTTATTCCGGCTCTGTCTGTGGCTTTGGTCGGCTTCAGTTTCCTCTCAGCCATGGGCTCTGTGTTCGCCCAAAAACACGGCTACCAGGTGGATTCCAGCCAGGTACCCCCAGCTATTTTTACAGCCCTTACTTTAGCTGAAAATGACATCAGATTTTCTTTTTAATCCTTTCTGAATACAAATAATAGATGAAGAGATAGATTAATAAAACAGGGATATTACAGTTATTATCAGTCGCAGATTGAAATGATATGAAGAGTATGTCACAGAAGCATGAGCAATTTCTTCTCATAACACCATTGCTCAGTTAGATTTAAGGTTAGTGTCTTCTGCTCTTTTTCATCATCAATACGGATTCGAGATGACAGCAGCCTCAGTAAATGAACCTGCAAACCTGAAGCAAGGCTTTGCTTCCTCTGAAGCAAAGCCTTGTGGTTTGAAGTGTGTCTGCCTTCCTTCAGTCTTTGATCTAGTTACTTCAGAATTGAATTTTCTGGCCTCATTGGGAAATCTTCTGATGCCTGAAATAGCTCAGAGGTTTTCAGTCACAGTGATTCTTTAAAGCTGGCACTTAAGATCATGCTTCACCTCAAATTACCACCACATTAATTGCTGTTTGTTTATGTGGTCAAGCCCTAAACTCAGGTTCCCCATTATATTTCCAGAAATCCATTCTCACACATCAACCTTGCAGGACATATTTTACTATTTGTTTCCCTTCATCTACCATAAATCTAGTTTAGTTTCAGAACATTTATCCATTCATTTCTGACATAAAGACTCTCATCATTCTATAAATAATATTAATTCAGCATGATGGTATTGTGAGTTTGTTTAATTTTTTTTTTTTAAGTACCTAATTTACTAATTTGTTTTGAAGTTTTTATGAGAATTTGACTAAACAAGAGTTTTGGGTCAAATCACTCATGTTTCTGTTCTGGATATTTTCATATTATCTTATATTATCTTTGTATTATATTATCTTATGTTATTTATCAATATTATCTTTGTAGAAACATTTAAACTTGACAATTGCCGGAGCACAGCAATCAATATTACACCAAGATTCCCCAAGTACATGATAAAACCCCCTGAATGATAATAAAAGTCCCCTGAATAATTTTAATCCTACCTTGTTGAGGCAGATTGTCATTTTTCCTGGGTCTAGTTCTGCTGGGAGTTTTCTTGGTAGAAAGAAGTTATTTATCTCCATTGTTGCTCTCTAGTCCCAGCAAGCTCAGAAAGAGGAGACCAAATCCAATAAAGACTCAGTCCAATCTGTTTTCCTTCTGTAAACAGGCTATTTTTACATACAGGCATTCTGTGGTTCAAACATTAATTCACTTGATCAAAAGGAATTACATTTTGAATTATACAGAACTTGTTCATTCTCTTTTTTATTGTACTTCCAGATTACATATGGTATAAATCACCACAGTAAAGATAAACTGAAGTGCATGTTGTGCTGCAGCCTGAGCTGTCTGTCCCTGCCTCAGGATCTGTTTGCTCTGGGCCTGTGCAACACCATCGGAGGAATGTTCCAGTGCTTTGCAGTCAGCTGCTCCTTTTCTCGCAGCATGGTCCAGGAAAGTATCGGTGTCAAATCACAGGTACCTACTCTACTCTATTCCAAAGGACACCAAGAGCCCCAAGCACTTTCGTCACCTTGTAATGAAGCTCATTTGTCCATTTTTTGGTGTAATATTTTTGTCCTAGATGGCGGGTCTGGTATCCGCTCTGATGATTCTGACCATATTGTTGAAAATTGGTCATTTCTTTGAGCAGCTGCCGAAGGTAAATGGCTGTCTGATCTTGTGATCATGATGTTCTTCTTCACCGGTTAAAGTATTTCCCCTTTCGCCAATTTTATTCAATTTGTTCAGAAAGTTTCCAAGAACACTAACATGTGATTTCCATTATTATGTTTTTGTCGATCAGTAAGTGGCTTGTGAAATCACATAATGAAGATTGCTGGCATTTTTGTTATTGAGCAAGTAAACCGCAAGTTTTTGGCTGCTGTTTTCCATTAACCGCCATTATGAAATAAAGAAGAACAACAAGAAACTCATTCCAGCTGGGTGGGTCTCTGCCAGATTTCAGATTTGATTTCTGTGTGTACCAGGCAGTGCTGGCTGTTGTAATCGTGGTGAACCTACAGGGGATACTGGCTCAGTTCAGAGATGTGTGTCAGCTCTGGAAATGTGACAGATTGGATTTGGTAAGCCTCACACCCAGAAAAATGTAAGTCTATTGCGTAGAACGAGTCGCAAAGTAGTTCTTGTCCTGATCACACATGTTCTCTTTCCATGTTTTCCTTCAGCTGGTGTGGGTAACGACTCTGATCTCCACCCTGGTCTTTAACCTGGACCTGGGTCTGGCTGTGGCTGTCGTCTTTTCTCTGCTTACACTCATCTATAGGACACAAAAGTCAGTAGCCACGACTTACAGACCTTACATTGATCATTTTAAACTAAACAAATTCAAATTAGGCAGAAAAGGCATTCCCTTCCAAAACTGAACATTCATGTCAGAATTTGGTTTACAGTACAGATATTATCAAATCTTAACATACTAATTTTGAGCAAAACTCATTTGCAAAGCTCATTATGCAAGGAAAAAAGTCTTCTCATTTTAAGACTTGTTTAACAAACATGTTCCCAATTCTTAAAATGTAATTTTATTCAAAGAATAGTGTAAAAGTGTGTGATACACTCTTAAAATCAGTAGATTTCAGTATAAAAGACTGTCATTATTCTAACTGTATGAGTTCATTATAAAACAAATGAAAAAGGGTATAATTGTGAAGTCTGTTGGGTGAAATTTATCCTGCAACAATCAAATTTCTTCATGTATTTTAATAGTTCTCTTCTCTTGCCTCTGTAGATTTGCTGTTTATTAATGTTCCACACTGTGATTTTCTGTCTTGTCATCTTTCAGCTCCACCATAATTGTTCTAGGTCGTATTCCTAGGACAGACTGTTATAAAGATGTGGGAGTCTATCTTGAGGTAAACCTGATCTCTTTCACTTGCTATTTGGCACATTTTTGATTAATCAAACTTTGGTGTGGACAAATGCACCTACTCACCATCCTTGTTTCATCCCTTTTTAAAATGTCGATTGACTTGGCAGAGCTACAGATGTGTTACTGATTAAGGGATTGAAATTCTCCCTAAGCAGCTTTTTTTTAGTGAAATATAAACCTCTTCACAACTTGGGTGTTCATGTCTTTTTAAACATTTTAGCTCGGCTGATATAACAGGAAGACATGAGGTCTTTTTCCCCAAACGGGAACTTTTTAAGTTGGCAAACTTGAGTCTTGAATAATGAAAGCTTTGGATTTGATGCCATCTGCCATCCTGCCAACCCAAGATAGTAAAATGTGCACCTGAGGAATGTAAACAATCTACACATGCTAAATTAGCTTTTTGAATTATTCTGGGTTTGAAAGGAAATAGTCGTCAGAGTAATTGTGTTTTTAAGTAGCGACTTTGACTGTTGCTTCCCTCTGACAGCATTTAGGGCATTTTATTAAAAGACTGAGACAGACACATTTAACTAGAAATCTGGTGCATAAAAGATGTTCTGAATATTTAACTTTTTCTTCCATCAAGCCTTGACTCCACAGACAAATTTCATCTTATACTGACAGGAAAAGAGGTTAATTCAGGAAAACAGACCAAAGTCTGTCTGAATAATGGAACACCCAAATGATGTTCCTCAGTGTGAATATAAAAACTTAATGATTCATCAGCACTCACTGTGTTAATGTGCAAAGAGCTTACCCTGTTGAGGCTTCAGTGAAAGGCAGAAATGAGTCCCGCTGACTCCTGATTAACTTAGCTGACTGCAGACTGTGGACGAACATATGTAAAATGTCATCAGTGTGAGACACAACCATGAATTAATTCTCTACAGATTTAACTTTGAAGTACAAATCAAATGCACTTTGGTACTGACTGTATGAGTTCACAATGCAACATTAATCAGATGTTTATAAAGGACGCAGGAGGGTTTTACTTGCTTTATATGCTGTATATTGAGGTCGGTAATCTAAAGATAATAATGCCTATTATTCATCCATCCATCTTTTTTTTTCTTCTAATTTCTAAATCCCATTCAGGGCTGCATTTCAGCCTCTATCATACGATAGGTGAGGTACATCTGGGTCAGGTCACCAGCCCATCACAGGGCCAAATGTTCATAAAGTACTGAAGTCTAATGTGAAGAATAACATCCAGTTCTTCTCTATCCCTCACACTTTATTGACCTAATAGGAAACTCTGAATGCAGTGCAGGTAAAGATATTAGAAAACAAAGCACTGTTTGAGACCCACCATCTGTGTCACGTCAAATCACCAAACTAATCACCATAAGCTAATCACCATAAGTCTGTGGGGGTTTAAGTTATCCGTCAGTTCCTGTCAACCCCATTCTGTTTCCCTCATTTTATTTTTTCCTCTGTCTATTTCACAGGGGCCTGCTGCACAGCTCCACCCTGTGCTCTCTGTCATACATTAATGATGGTGCTTACTGGTTTTTTTTTCTACAAATCCCCCTCAGAGAATTTACTCTGTATTCATTCTTTGTTATCGTCACTGATCTCTTTGAATAGCTTGTAGCTATTTTACTTTTAAATAAGTAGTCTTTTTTTTTTTTTACAAATTTTAGGATTTCTTGGAACTATGTAAGAAAATAGATTTAGTTAACAACACACAGACATCTGAAATATGACTCAGATCAACAAGTGGTTAACACAAAACACCAGAGGCTAATGTTGAAATGGTTTGAGTTTAATGTTTGCCAGCCTGAGGCTGCAGATTTGGAGCAGTCAAATAGTGTAGGTGGGGTATAAGTTTATCATCAAATGGAATAGCTGCACGCTGCCTCAGGGATTCCATTGGTCTATGGGATTTGCTGTTTGTATGCATCCAGAATTTTCTAGCACAATTCTCAGTCTCTTGTAACACTAAATTATTCATTATTTCTAAATAGTTATGTATAATTCATCTGTCCTTTCTAACAGGCAAAGCCAGTCCCTGGGGTAACTATCCTCTCATGCTCCAGTCCAGTTCACTTTGCTAATTCCGAACTGATCTTCACTGAGATCAGACAGGTGATACACGTACACCCATTCCAACGACCTTTTTTTTTAAATGCACACTTATACTTGCTTGTTCTTTCTTTTTACTCTCACCTTACTTCAAACCTAACCTCACACCAAGTCCTCATGCTGACAAAAGTTAGTCTTCATTTTCTCTGCATGACAATTCATTCATATATTCAACTGTCAGTTGAGTGTTTGGTGGTGTGAGAGTACTTACATGGTGTTCCGTCAGGCTGAAATAGAGAAATCTGCACAACGTTTGTAATCTGATGTCCACCCCTTTTATTTGCCCTTTTCACTCTGTGCAGAAAGTGAGTCGTGATCAGAAGGCAAACCCGGCCCGTGTCCAAACCACAACTTCCACCGTGACTTTGTCCTCAGCCCAGAAGCACACACATTCTCATTGCTTGGTTCTGGATCTCAGCTCTGTCACATTCCTGGACTCTGTGGCCATGATGGCACTTTCCAAGGTGAGGGAAGAAAAGTGGAGAGAATGTGTGCCAATGCAAGTTGTATCATTTTTTTTAAATGTCTCATTTTGGCAGGAGTATGGCTAGAATATCCCAAACCATCTCTTTCATTTATGCTTTTTTTTTTTACTCTGGCAGCAGTAAGTGGTTCTTCTGCCACCTCACAGCCTGGCTGCCCTGAGAAACAGAGCAGAGTTTCTCCACTGAAAACCGGAGCGTAGCCCACTTTAGCGTTCAGTCTTGCTCATTTCTGCTGATCATAAGCATTCAGAAGACAATTTTAGATTAAAATGGATGTCCTTTAACTGCATGGGAGATCATAAACGTATGATAAGCATCCTCGAGGCTATACGCCCCATCCCCAGCTTTTGAGTAATAGTTACAGTCATGGTGATATGGCCGTTTTATCTCTTACTCTTTGGTCTAACTGATAAAAACTGTGAGGAAATCCATTCATCATCCTCAGTTTGTAAACAGGTGTTTGTCATCTTCATCTTGCTCACTTGTGTTGCGCTTGTGTGTTTCTGTCACCAGGTCATAGAAGACTTAGACAAGCAGCGTGTCAGTGTGTTTGTGGCAGCGTGCACAGGTCAGCGCCATGTTTCAGGCTCACATGCCTCCATCAGTGGGACTCATCCTCTTCATAATCAGCCAATCACTCCCACACACATTCACACACACCATGGGGTTTTATTGTTTTATTGAAAGTACTTCCACAATCTAGTTTCCCACTGATCCCTTCTTCTCCTTCATTCTGTATCATACCAAAACAGTTGTTCTCATCGTCAGTATAATGTACTGTCATGGTAACATCTGTGGTAGCTCAGTGTATTTATTTACATACCAGGCTCAAGTAAATATTTAAAGCAAAGTAAATGCTCAAGTTTGCATTCCCATCCATCTCTGTGCATCAACAGAACGAGTTTTATCACAGCTCCAGACTCAGGGTTGTGTTCCAGACAGCCTGCCCAGCTCTCATCTCTTTCCATTGGTCCATCACGCTGTGGAACACTGTCTCAGCACTCTGTCCACGTCTCCCGAGGTAACATTCTTTCATTTATGATGTTCAGTTGTAGAATATAAGCCACGTTCTACGAAAAAATTTAAATTTACAATGGAGCTGCTGCTAATTTCCAGTTCAAGAGTAATGAAGAAACCTAGTGTGACCAAAAATAGAGTGTGTTTCTTTCTTCTGGTTTGCAACTTTGGACTTGTTTCCTTGTTTACATCTTTATTCTGTGTCTGAGCTTGGCTCCATGGTGGTGTGGTGGTTAGCACTATCACCTCACAGCGTGGGGGTTCCTGGTCTACATCCCAGTAGCCTTTCTGTGTGAATTTGGACCTTTTCCCTGTGCATATGTGGGCTCTCACTGGCTTTCTCCCAGCATCCAAAATAATGCATGCTCATCATTATAATTATTATTATCATTGTCAGTAGTCATTGTTGATGTCTCTGTATTGACCCTGTGATAGCCCATCAAACATTTTTATCCAAAAGAAAATGGAGTTCCATTGTTTTTTGCTTGATTAAAACTGATCCCTGATCTTAAATTCTTCAATTCTTTTAAAGCCATTAGGAAAAAATGATCTTTTCAAGGTGTTACCATGTTTTTTTTGACAATTTTCATGTCATTCTGTTCGTCTCTCCACAGGAAATCAACATGGATGCAAGTGACTGTTGAACCTGCAAAGTGACCTCTTCAGTTTAATGTCAATAGCAGGAAAATATCACACATTTTTTCTATTTAGTAAAGAAAGCAATCAACACCCAGCAGACTATGTGCCTGTATTTTCACACGTTTCCAGACAATACGTGCACTTGTTCATCCGTCTGTGCCAGCATTAACTATCCTGCCATGTAATAGTTAAAATACAACCGAGGAAAACACTGGGCAGAGGGTGGTGTGTCTCAGCTTTGCTGTTATGGGTTACAGTTACAGGTCCAAGCAGCTAAAATCGTGCCAAATGAGAATAAGATCTAAGTGTTTTATCGTTTGTGTCTAATTCAGGATGCACACATATGATTAGTGGGGATGTAGCACTGTGTGATAAACACTGATTCTGGTTTCATTCTTGTTAGTGTGTGGGTGATGTTTTTCTCTTTTCTCTTTACCTTCTCAGAATGTACAGGAACTGTGCTGCCTACAGAATTTAAAAAGAGATGATTTAGACATTTAGAAACCCTGACTGGATAAATGGTTTGTGTGTTGAAGATGATACTCATGCTGAATGCTTTCAACAGATGAGTTTGATGACTGATTAAAATCAGTGTGTGGATACTCAGAGTTATGACTGATCCTATTATTGGTGTCGTAAACCAGTAGTTATCAGGTGCATGTTATTTTCTATAAGCAGAGGTTAAACTTCAGCATAGTTCACAGTTCAAATGAGGTTGCACATCGTCATGACTGGAAAGGCAGGAGAGGCTTCATGTAACTATTTAAATGAAATTGCTTTTCTTTCCCAAAGGAAAATAATTAACTATAAACAAAAATCTTGTTAGGGTCAAAGGTCTTAGAAAGAGCAGGTTACTGTTCTGGTACAACTGTCTTTGCACACTCACCTGCAGACATTTCACCCAAAAATAACACGTTTGTATGGAATGACATCATTGGATTAATAATTAATAAAATAATTTTATAGATAACACAAACCACAAAATATCATGATGAACAGGTTTGATAAAAACGTATTTAAAAAATTCTCTTCCAGTTTCAGTTTTTCAGAATTTGAAGCCTGGTATATATTGTAAGGTAGTTTGTGCTCTTTTAACAAATAACAACATTTTAAAACTTTTTCCAAAGCTATTTTCAGTTTTTGTAAATTTTCTTTGCAAATGGAAATTGTCTTGTAAATTCTTCTACTGTCTTGCTTTACATGTTTTTTCACAGACAGATGATGCTAAGGTCCAGAATAATCAGTATATACAGAAATAAGCACCATAGAAAGTTGGTGGATGGAACTTTAAACACAGCTCACGGTCAACAGTACAGTAGAAATCATTGTCTTTCAGACAAAATTATCATCAAAATTGCTTCCGAGCAAAATCTGAGTATTGAAATTTGTCCTGGGAAGTTTTCCAGATTATCTTGGCTTCAGTCATCTTTCCAATAGTTGAACAAGCCACAGTTTTACAACTTTAATAAGGTCGGAAACCACAATGAAAATGTTCAGAGAGCTTAATTCTATTAGGGTGCTTTATCATTAACCTAAAATTAATACAATAATCTTGGACATGGTTATGAGTGAATTTTCCATCCTGCAATGGTGTTTATATAATACCTGCGGAGCATTTAGAAAAACAGAAATACCCTTTTTTTTTTAATATTCTTAGTGCTTTTTTTAAAGGTATTTTTTCTTTATTCATTTCAGTTGAAAAACTCACTGAACTGTAAAGGGATGCATCTTCTGCACAATTTAGTGTTGCAAGAACCACAAATATTCAAGAAAAACAAGATAATTCTGTAATGTTTAACAGATTTGTTTTGGGCACAATGTCATTCTCTACTTACAAAGTTTATGATTCTAATCTGAGTCACAAGAAAGAATGCAGCCCCTCCCCATCACCCTGCCTTCACTTCTCCACAGAAGTCAGTGGAAAAAAGTTCCTTTATGTCCCAAGCATTTGCAAAAGTTGAAGATGTTTATGTTTATGTGGCTTTGTGCTTTAGTACTTTTGATTTCAAACGACTGAATCTTTAAAACATAACTTGTATGGTCAGGAGTCTCCACAGTCATTTACTAAAATGATCATTTATACATTTAGTTTTGTCTTCTTTGAGGAATGGGGGTCCTAAGAGTTTATTACAGGGTCATAAAAATGATGTCTTGTAATAATTAACTTTCATAGCCTCCAAAACAACTTTTTTGGTGACCTGAATGAAACTTTTTAGTGTGCCCTTCCACTTAAGATGATACCTCAGTTTAACAAACATTAACTCTGAAAAGATTATACATTTTATTCGTCAAGGGTGAGACAGCTTGGATAAGCTCCAACTGCCTTCTGAAATAAGAGAGAATAGGAAAAGGTTGGACAGGCATATAATTGCAAAAATGTAATAAAAACAAAACAAATGGCAGAACATTACTTGATAACTTTTTTCCCATCTGTTATTAAAAAATAATCAAAATATGCATAAGCCTTAACAAATGAAAGAAGAACTGTTCCCCAACTTGTCCCTAAGTTGACCAGTATAATTTCCTCTTGTGATAATTCACCCTGCGGTCGTGTGGTCGTAAATTCACAAGGACATCCCTGATCGAATGGCTGACTAATTTCATCAAGCAGAGATACAAGACAAGACATGCAACACACCAAATGGACATTACAGTTTAAAGGCATATGATCTCTAAGAAATATTAGTTCTGGACTGCTTTTACCGAATTTCTGACACCATAAAATAGTGTTAAAATAAAAAATATAATTAGCGAAACTATAAAACTTGTTGACAGACTCACCTTTTAAATTATATAACAAGCACACAGAGTCTAACTTCATTATGCCTCCTCTCTTCTCACTTCTTGTGTGGGGAACTTTGCCCTGTCCCTCCTCAACAACGTCCAAAGTCATATCTGAAGTTTTCCCCGAGAACAGTGCAGCCACAACACAGGCAGCAGCAGGTGATGAGAGGAGAAAAAAGACAAAAGCTTTGTGGAGTTTTTTTTTGTGGGGCTCAAAACGAACTGTGACCCCTGAAAATCAGAACCTGCTTTTTGGACCAACTTGAATGTACTTTGATCCAAAAGAAGACTCTAAAGGAGATTTCATACCAAAGTATCACCACCAGGATTGATTGAAAGTAAAAAGGAATATCACGATCAAAGGATTTTTAAAAAAAAAGTTAAATATTACACTACAGTCCTGACCACTGATTTGGAGTTTGAAAAGCAGAAAAAGCTGGACTAAACACATCAGGTTTGAACACAGCAAGGATTACATAAGAAGGATTTTTCCCTTTGTTCACTCTGGGCTTCCGTAGAACGCTGTATTTAAATTGAAATCTTGCAAGCCTAAGTTTGGAATCTTTTCTGAAAGCAAAACAAGGTAATTATTATCAAATGTTTACAGAGCGTCAAACTGTTGCTCCAATCTGGACTTGATATTTTCTTTGATCATCAATTCGAAAATGATTTCAAATTGCTCTCAGAATAACAACACCTGAATGTAGGTCTATCGGACTTTATCACTGATCATTTTCAATACTATGTATATAATTCTGCAATATTAATGGAGTTCTTTGCTGGCAGCTTGGGTTAACCATGGCAGACAGGAGGAGAATGAACTACAAAGTCCACAGGGACATCATGGATGAGGGAACGCTGGATGAGATGGCAGAGAAGACCGACTCGAAACCGTCCCTTTGTGAGAAGATGAAAAAGTCAATGAGGTAAAGACTCCTAATCTTACATTTCTTATCAAAGCATTCCGTAATTAAAGTCTCCACATTGATTTTAATAAAGTAATCATAGCTTAAATTAATGTATGTGAAACATTTCACATCCAGAAAGAACATTGTTTTCTTAATAAATCAGATTTATAAATATGAACCTTCCTTACTTGTTACTGGATTGTTAAATCAACTATTTACTGGCACACCCTACTTTACATGGTATTCATCAATTTTGCAGCAACAGATATAATGAAAAGTAGTTTAAACTTCCAAAATTCTGTTAATACAACAGATTTTACTGGACGCATCAGTGCGCATACTGAGGATTCAGTGCATCTTCTGGCCTCAGTCACAACTTAAACTCAGCCTTCAACATGTGTGCAGTGACATGATAACTTATGAATATATTAAGATAGAACAGAACCACACTGATATGGAAAAGCCTTTAAAATAATAAGACCAACGTTTCTCTTTGGCTTCAACAAACAAACTAGCATTGAAGAATTGTATTTAAGTTAATGGAAAAAAGGGAAAAATGTGATTTGATGACTTCCACCTGCAGACCATAAAGACGTCCTCTGTCTGAAGTCCAACGTCTCCCCCTCTGTGTCTTTGCCTGCTCTGTCCTGACCTCAGGTGCTCTGGACCCAGGCTGAAGAGGTGTCTGCTGGGAAGTGTTCCTGTTGTGTCATGGCTGCCTCGCTACTCCTTCAGAGAAAACACACTGGGTGACCTGGTCTCAGGAATCAGCGTGGGGATCATGCAGCTGCCTCAGGGTGAGATGGACCCTCAGTCGGTTGGGACGGGGGGGGGGTTTGAATTGCGGAATCGAGAAAGATTATCTAAACCCCACAGGTCCTAATCAGCTTTCTTTCTTACTACAGTAGCACAGAAAATCCCTATTGTCTCTTTTTCCTCTGCAGGTATGGCCTATGCTTTGCTGGCATCAGTCCCTCCAGTTTTTGGACTGTACTCCTCCTTCTACCCAGTTCTCATCTATTTCATTTTTGGCACCTCGAAGCACATCTCAGTTGGTATGCATGTTTTCACGTCGTTGTATTCCTTTTTTCTGTCCATGAGCTATTTTTTATGGATCAAAACAATCCACTGCCATGCATCAGTTACCAGAGACGTTCCTCCTTTGATACAATCATGTCAAGGTGTAGAGAGCCTTTTTTTATCTTCTTCTGAAACCGAACAGGAGCTGAATAAGATTTCTGGGCCTTGCAGCAGTGGTAAGACATAGCAGTCTTTCGAATCTCAAACCTGCTTGAGGCTACATCAGCCGTAGCTATTGTAACAGAACATGATGTGCAAGATGTGTCTTGTATGAGAAAAACTGCACATTCAATCAAAGTTCCTGTTTCCCCATCCAACTGAATAAGTTGCCCAACGTGTGACCCAAACGACCCAGTTCTTGCTCATCTGTAAGTCGGTTTCGGATAAGGAATGAGTCAAAGAAAATGCACATCTTTAATGGAGAAACCCAAGAGAGTGCCTCTACATTTGTTCACTAGGCCCAACAAAAGCTAAATGGCTGTTCTGCATCCATACCTAAGTGCCCTGCAGCAGATGATAAGTCTGATTTGGGGAAATAACAAAGTGGAATGCTCAAAAGAAAAAGAAAAAGTAACCAAAACAAAGCCTAAATATCTGTGACAGACACACAAAAGAGTAAAACACTGATATTCCTGCTCTTCGAGGACTGTCTTCAGGACCTGAGGTGGTTTGACTGACAATGATAGTTACCATTCAACATTATTCAACAACCACAATGGAGCCTGAGATTTACATTTCCAGTTTAACTTCATTATAACCAGCTTATTGTAAGGCTTTGGTCACATTAAAACTGTATGGAGTTTTAAAAAACAAACTCTAGTCCTCATTTTCTGTTTCAAACAATTGACTCCATGGCTTTAAAGTGAGAAGCAGTGATGAAGCTGTGAAAAGAAATGTTTGCTGGATGGATTTAAGTCTCTGTCTCTCCTCTTCAGGAACGTATGCAGTGATGAGTGTGATGATAGGAGGCGTGATAGAGCGACTGGCTCCGGACACAAACTTTATGATATGGAGCAATGAGACCAACTCCAGTGTCATCGACATTGTTAGTCGTGATGCAGAAAGGGTCCGAGTGGCTGCAGCCGTCACCTTTATATCAGGAATGTTTCAGGTAAACATTAAACTACTGCAAATGAACTAAAGCAAAGAATAAACGGATGTGTTGTTCAATTCAATACATTTCTCGATGAAGACATTGAGAAGTTTTTTTGTTATAGCAATAATGGACCATTACAGATGTAAGTTGCCAGTTTTATGAAATCCATACGCTTCTTCATTTATTGTATGTGTGTAGATTCTGCTGGGTCTGGTCCAGTTTGGTTTTGTGGTGACCTACCTGTCAGAGCCACTGGTCCGAGGTTACACAACGGGAGCTGCCATCCATGTCATCGTGTCCCAGCTCAAATATACCTTTGGTATCAACCCTGTGAGATACAGTGGACCTCTCTCATTGATATATGTAAGAAATGTCCCAGATTGAAAAATTCTCACCTTTTCACTGATGTCCCCTGAAAAACATGAGCATGAAGTGATTGAGGGGACAAACCTGAAGCACTTATTAGGTATACAAAGCAGAAACACACTGACTCACATTTGAAATAAACAAAAGATTATGTTCATTTGCAAATAGCCTTGGAGTCACATGCCAAATGTTGATTGTCAACCCTAAAAATCCACAGTTTACGCTGGGAAACAGGATCCTGTTTCATGCTTACTGATTCTAACCAGTTTATAATCTTTGAGGTTTGCATAAGAAGGCTATTTTCCATCATTCATGTGTCATTTTTTCATGACTTTCCTGTCATGCTCCTTCCTTACACTTTACATATCACTACCCTCTGCTCCTCTGCTCAGACTTTGGTGGAGGTGTGCTATCTCCTCCCACAGACCAACATAGGCACTCTAGTCGTCAGCATCGTTGCCATAATCGGCCTCATACTCGCCAAAGAGCTCAACACATACCTCAGTAAAAAGCTGCCCATTCCTCTGCCCGTGGAGCTGCTTGCTGTGAGTATACGCAGGCCTTTAAAAGACATGAAAAACATTTGTGGGCAGCGCAATACTCCTGGGTTCTCTTTTTTTCAGCTTATAGTTGCTACAGTAATCTCTTGGCAAGTTAACTTGGAGGGCAAATATGGAGTGGATGTCGTGGGATTGATTCCCTCTGGGTGAGAACCTCCAACACACAGAAACGGGATCGTTTGCGAGAACTAAAGATAAGTTATGTTTGTAATGATCCTTTCCCTGAACGTCAGCCTTCAGCCACCTGTGGTCCCAGCTGTCTCCCTGTTTGGCCAGGTGATCGGGGACGCCTTTGCTCTGGCCGTCGTTGGGTATGGCATCGCCATCTCTCTGGGGCGAATATTTGCTCTTAAATACGGATACAAAGTGGACAGCAACCAGGTAACAGGGAGACAGTGGATTAAAAAGACAAACTGGATCAGTGTGCGGTGTATAACCTTTTTTTTTCCTGGCACAGGAACTAATTGCTCTTGGCTTGAGTAACTCCGTTGGAGGATTTTTCCAGTGCTTTGCCATCAGTTGCTCCATGTCTCGCACCATGGTTCAGGAGAGCACAGGGGGGAAGACTCAGGTTTGTATGGATACTTGTTATTCTGTGAGCAAGTCTTGTTCCTACCTGAGACCAGTACTTTTTGTTCAAATACACCTCTTCAGATGTGCTGCAACAAGGGCTAACTCTTACTGGAGGTCACTCCTGAAGGCAACAATGACTCCCTCTGATTACCATTGGTCTTTATCATTATCTATTTACTACCTAAATCTATACATGTAAAGTCACTTTGGGTATCTAGAAAGTATCATTAGCCTTTAACTGTTAATTACAAAAGAATTAGAAAATGAAAACAGATTTAGGCTTTTAAACATTTGATCCATGACGGCTGTTCACTGGTGGATTTCAGCTTTCTTTTGCTTTGCAAAAGATTCTTTGTAATTTGTTCGTCCTTGTTAGTGCACATTATCCGCTTAGAGCCTCTCTAAGGTATTATCTACCTCTGTGGCAAATAAATCCAACTGTAAAGCATTTGATTGTTTTAAAACCTTAAACATTTTAAATATAGTATCATGGAAACATGTTTCACACGTTAATTCTTTGTTCTGATGTATATAAACTGATTTGCTTAGAGGTCAAATTGATGTAGATTTATTACCATATTAATAAGGAGAGGTCCATTAGAGGGGAGAGGGGAGCTCCAACATGTGCTGCTCTGCCTCCTCTAACAAACATGGTCCAGTTCCCACTGATAACCACTGCGTCAGTCTCTTTATCGTCCCTCCCATCTCTTTCACATCACGGGTGTCTTATCCTCCTCTATTCTCTGCAGGTTGCCGGAGCTCTGTCAGCAGTGGTTATCCTTTTCATCACACTCTGGATCGGATATCTCTTTGAAGCGCTGCCCAAGGTACTGTGTGTGCCTGTGCTCACGTGCTAGCACGGACCATCACGAGCACATGTGCAAGTCTGAAGAGGAATGTGTGCAAAATTCTGAGGCCTGCTCAATTCCCAGCTCAAGAGCAGAAAAACATTCCGGAAGATGTGTTGCTTTAGTGTGACTAATGTGGTAGATCCGCTTCCAAAACTCCTACTTACTAAGAAAAAAGGAGAAGATGAGAGATATGCATTAGCAATCTCTGCTAAGGATTCTCGCTGTTGAACATTCATTAACAAAAATTTAAATCCTATAGTTCAAAACACAAATCATATAAGAACTGACAGTTTACCTCATGCACCCTGAAGCATATAAAAACCTAAATCAATGAAATATTGAGGCCTGATTTGAATGGGAGATGTTAACCTCAAACATATTTCAGGGTGCCAGCACTGCATGATGAATTGCTCTCTGCTTAATTTTGCAGGCAGTGCTCGCTGCCATCATCTTCGTTAATCTTCATGGCATGATGAAGCAGTTCTTGGACATCCCTGCTCTGTGGAGGAGCAACAAAACAGACATGGTGAGTTGGCAAGAAACATCGCGCATGGATGGCGTTTGCCTCATGGCAACCAAACCTTGTGCTTTCACAAATTTTCCCTTTCTCAGTTTTTATTTTTGCTTTTTTTTTTTTGCTCTGTTGTCACTCACATTTGCCATCTTCCTCTGTTGTTGTTCACTATAACACTTGCTAATGAGAACTCAAATGATCCAAGTTGAAAGTAGTCCACTTTCAACTTTTTGGACTTGCTTGTTACATGAAATGCTCAGCATCATCTCGTTTTAACACGTACTGCTTCATTACTCATCATTCTGTCTGTCACCAGCTGGTCTGGCTGGCCACCTTCGTCTTCACTGTGTTGTTGAACCCCGACCTGGGACTAGCTGCTTCCATTGCATTCTCCATGCTCACTGTCATTTTCAGGACACAGCTGTAAGGAAACATTTCTATACACACAACCACACGCACACACACGGTTGTACACTTGATGCTATACTGGCAGTGGATGCAATACCTCTATGTGCACATTCAGCAGTTTGAACATCACATTGAAACATACGATATTCCCGAAATGTCAAGAATTCATTTTTTTCTTTGTATTTTAGACCGAAGTACTCCCTGTTGGGACAGGTGCCAGACACAGATATTTACAAGCCAATGGATGAGTATGATCAGGTACTGTATAGTATAACCATCCTTAAAGTTTGCATTTTAATAATCTTAGACGTCATAATAAACTTCCTCTGTGGCAGTAGCCTGATGTTTTTAATACGGGGTGAAGAAAAAAGCTGAAGAATGAATTAAAAATGAATGTGTTACTTATTCTCTTTTAATTATATAATTCAGTCAGTGCCATGTTCCACGTAGAAAGAGAACTGCTCATTACTTCACTGCACTTGCAATAGTTCATTCGAATGTTTCTTTATTTTTTTCTTAAAAGGCTTTTTAAAATCAGAAACTTGAGAGGACTACCAGAAAAGTTTCTGTTCACAATTTTTTTCTTCTTTAGTTTTTATTTTGCATATGAATCCTAAATTTACCCAAAGCAAGTGAGGGTCACATGATGAATAAAGAATAGATAAAGAATAGATAACACAGATTAATGTTTTTCTGTCATATTTTGTAAACTGGTTACTACTCACCCTCCGTACTCTTTACTTTTCTTAATCCGGTAGGACAGTTAGGTAAAAACATCACTAGGATTTAAATGTGATCTTCAATTCATGGAGCTGTTTTTTCCACAGTGTCTGTAAATTTACTGCAAGAATTTCTTTATAATCATGTGCCAACAGCTAACTGTTTGCCTTTTTGATTACTCATCTTTGAATATGACGTTGTAGTTCTGCTTATACATAAAATTAAGAAAACAGTTTTGTTGATGCTCACTTCATCAATAACTGATTTTAGGTGAAGCGGGTGCCAGGAATTTTAATCTTCCGTTCCTCTGCCACTCTCTACTTTGCAAATGCTGAAATGTACCAAGAAACACTGGAGAAGAAGGTAAGGATACAAATCCACAAACACCCCAGACATTTTTCTCAGAAATCTTCTTTTAGGTCCCAACTATGTCCCTTAATTTTGGGTTTAATAGACCTGATTCTATGAAAGCAGAGTTTGATCTTAAGGGCAGTTTAGAATAAGTGAAATAAAATCTCTGCTCAGATTCCTCTCACTTTCAAAGTCAATTTATCACCCCAGACAACGCAGACAGGAATATTTCTCCATGTTTGTAGATTGATGGGGGGTGCCTGCAGTAAAAAACAGTATCAGAAACACAAGCATACCCCGGTGGGCACACAAACCGGGATTTCACAAACTAAAGACAGCAGTTGCACGCTCTCTCAAAGGAAGAGACAACCAGCTCCAGCAACAATCTATCTTGTCAGAGTTTCCGTGCAATTAACTCCCATCTTACAAACATCATTTCTGACACACTAATAACTGAAGAGACATGTCTCCAATTCACACATCACAGCCGTGACAGACATTGTTCGAGATGTCATCCCACCATTTTCTCTTGTCCTTTCTTCTCTCCTAACTTTTTAAAACACCCCATCCCCCGCTCCCCCGGCCGCCCTCCCCCAGCCTTCTCCTCCTCTGTCACATCTCTTTGGATTAAATGGGAAGATAAATCGAGGCGAGGGAGACAAAAGATGACAAAACACAGCGAGATGGTGGGGTAGCGGAGACAGAGCCAGGGAGGTAGATAATGGAATGTCTCATTCGTTAAAATGTCAGCGTGTCAGAGCTCCGGGGTTGCTCTTTAGCTTTCGCAGTTTTGATGCTCCAATATAAACTATCATTAATTAGTCTGGCAGAGACTGAGGGATTGTTTGCAAGGTGAGAAGTTGCTACAAGTCATTTCTAGTATCTGATTAATGGCTTCGGCTGCATTGGCCTCACTAGTTGTGACAAAGATAATGGCTTGAGTAGGGTTCAGTGCTCTAATGGCAACGATAGGTGACATCATAGAATTTTTATATTCATCATTATGATTTCAATTTTGGTTAAAAAAAAGAATGGTTTATTATTATATTATATTGATAAAAAAAGATAAATATTTGGTAGTTTTATTCATTGCTTAACAGTATCTTTTTTCTGACTGTTTTCTGTTACCTCATTGGTTCCACTAGGTTATATCTGTGTTTGGTCAAACACTTTCAGAGCTACGAATGTAAAGCAAAGTAGAAAAGGAGCCGGTTAGAGTATATACTGAGATATTTAGGGCAAAAATATTTTTTTATTTTTCTTTATTTATTTATTTTTTGCTTGCTGAAATCATTCCTCGTGCTACCCGTCAAAAAAGACCCTAACCTGAGATGGCCTCCTTGTGGTCTACTACTCTAGTGGGTATCTTTCATTTAAAAAAAAAAAAATCCAATTATGGAATGACATGCTAAAGCCAAACAAAAGGCTCTGCTCAATGTTTGAATGCATTTATTCAGAACACCAATGGTCTTATTTGTGCCGATGATCTCCATTACAAGATTGTATTAAGGGGATGAATAGAAGGGTAATTACAGCACCTGAGCATCTGTTTCAAAATCCTTTGTCCATTCATTCGATTCCCTTTAACAATTTAAATGCAGAATAGCTGTTTGCCTCTGGTGCATTCGGGGAGGGTGTTGTTTGAAGATTGGTATGCAGTGTTGCTTTAAAATGCATGAGAAATTAGATGGAAAACCTGACGGTGCTCATTTTTAACTTCAAACAGGTAACATTACAGCCAAAAGCCCATCAGGAAGTAGCAAAAATACCAATAAGTTTGTTACACTAGATTTTTCTTCTTTTTTTTCTTTCCTATAATAACTTTTGGTTGTATCTCATATAAGACTGTAGACACCTGAGCTGCAAGACCTGTTTGGCTGTTTATTCTAAATGTAGGAGGGAGTTCAGCAGGTGTGACCTGCTTGACTACCGCAGTAGTCAAGTAATAAAATCTTTCCCCTGCTTTTGTTTGGTTGCCATTCTCCCATGATTCTAACTGCATTTTACTTTCTGCAGGACATTTCCCTTAAAAAATATAAAGTATACCTCAAATGTGGCTTTTTGTTTCCTTCAGTGTGGCATTGACATTACCAAAATCCTGTCGGCGAAGAAGAAACTCGAGGCCAAAAGAAAGAGGCAAGAAAAAAAAAATGCCAAGAAAGTCAAGAAAGAGCTCAAGAGGGGTGGAGAGGACATGGTGAGATCAACTTGAGACTTGACAAAAGACGTTTTTGTACCTTGGGTTGGTTGCAAAAAGTGGAGGAAAATCCTCCCAAAAGTAGAACTTCGTTGAAGCAGATTTTCATGGTCAGTGACCTCTGGATCTGCAAATGTATCGATTCTCATTTACATCCCTGACTCACATGAATGGATCCTTAGCGCTTTGCAGAACTTGGCAGAAAACTGCTTAAAGATCCATTTCATTTAATCAAGTGTGGCAAATCTTGGGGGCAGGCGTCCCCAAGGATCGGCATTTAATAACAGGTTTTTATTTTCATGTTCTGTGTCATATCTTCTCCAGGAGGGGGAACAGAAATTAGAGAACCACTATGACGTTGCTGTCATTGATGTGGATGATGAGCCTGACCCCTCCCTACCAAGAGTAATCATCCTGGACCTCAGCCCTGTTAACTTCCTGGACACAGTGGGGGTCAAGGCACTACGAAGTGTAAGAGTCTAACTGTGAGAATTGCAAGGCTACAAAGACAAGAAAAACTTCATCTTGATTATTGAAGAAGAACTTACTGTTAAACACTAAAGCAACACATCTAGAAAAAAGTTAAACTTTTTGTGAGCTAAATTAACCTAGAGTGATTCATTTAATGATTTGACAAATATGCAGTAATTATTTCTCTACCCCAAAATAAACGCTTAACCAGTGATGATATTTTTAAAGCCTGCTTTTCTCTTCTCTACCAACCACTAGAGCTGTTCTCTCTCTTTCTTTATTCCCTCACGCCTTCAATTAGGGTAAATATGATTATCACAATGATTCAATTATCCTGGATCAAATGTTTGCTCTGTGTTTGTGTGTCTGTTTTAGATTCGGAGGGACTACGGTGAAATTGGCATCGAGGTGCTTCTTGCAGGCTGTCAGAGTAAGTCCAAATTTTTCATATGGATGAGTCTTTGGAAATGTCTATATCTCTAAACAATTGCATAATTCTCTGGAAGCATACATTGCTCTACTGTGAAAAAAAAAAGATTAAAGCTTTTAATCATGTGAGTGCACAGAGTGTAGACTGGAGACTCACACTGACACACATGTGATGCGCTTTTCCATTCACATTCCAGGATTTAGCCACACACAGTTTAAGTTCACAAAATAACAGCATTTGTTTTTCTAGCTGTTTGCTGATGTTATTGTAACTTTGCTATTAAGAAACCACATTTTCTCATGTTTTTTCTATATATGGTGTGAGGCATGATCCTGGGTCACATGAAGATAATAATTAATCGTCTGCACAGTCTGGTTGGTCAGTTATATTTAAGCGTCTCCTCTTGGTGTTTATTTTTACATCCCAGCTCAGACCCTCAGATCTGGCTTTTTAAATGAGGGAGAAAAAATCACATTAATCTCCAGGGGGGGAAAAAAAGCAGTACCGCACTATGCTGGGTGTCCTCCAGTTTACTTCAGAGATTTGGCAGCTCTGAGTAGCTGTACACACTCGATAGCCTGTACTGAGAATGCCAAAAATATCCATGTAGTCAGGAATTAGAATGAGATTCATGAAACTCGCGCCTTATTGCTCATATCAGCGATGTTGTCCTCAATCTGCATTTAATCAGTTATTTTCCCCAAATCTGCCACTTTATCTTTCTGTAATTATGCATCTCCTGTCTTCTTATACTGACATGCTACTTGTGCCATCACCTCAGTTTCCAGCATTCAGTTCAAGTCTCTGTCAGGGTCTCAGCTATGACCTGTCTCTCTCTCTCTTTGTGCGTTTAGCCTGTGTGGTGGACAACCTGCAGAGTGGGGGTTTCTTCAATGAAAAGGTGACCAAGTCCTGTCTCTTCACGACCGTCCACGACGCCGTTTTACATTCTCAAGCATGCTGGACCGAGAACCAAAAGGAGGAGGTACTGTACATGAGCCTGCACATCCTCAAACATCACATTTAGAAATGAAAAAAAAGTTTTATGTCTACATTTGAATTCGGAATTTTACTTCCGGGAACTTTGGCCTGACATTTGCATCTCCTCTGCCATTTCTTATCATTAGGATTAAATCATTAGAAATAGCATGCATTACTTTACCAATAGTGAAAAGATCGTGCGGTTGGATTTACATGTGTTCATTCAATTTTGAAACACTTTTAGTTTTATATCATTCTACACAGGTATGACACAGAACTAAAAAATAACACAAGAGATAAAGAAGATCAAACTTTATAGAAATACTTAAGTATGCGGAAGAAATTGGAGTCAGGTGTTGTGAGTCAGCTGATTGGAGGCGGTATGTGTGGACTGTGAAAAACAGGGACCTGTCAAAGCCTGAGAGTTGGGAGATTCTGGGAGTATAAAAGGTGATTTATGAGAGATTGGTCATAACTGTTCAGGCTGGAAAAGTAACTTTCTCAAATGAAAAAAGATTCTACTAATGGACAATTAGATGGGTTTATCAACTTTTTTTCAATTCTACTTCCTGGATAAAACAAGACAGAGAGAAAAACCTTGCTTGTGAATAATCCTATTTATTCACTTCTGAGTAGTTTGATTTCATACAAAAAAGAATATTTGCTAAAGATACTTAAATATGTTACCTTTAAAATAAGTAACAATAAAACAGACATTCCCTTAGTTTGTTATAACTTTTAATATTGTCAAAAACCATTACAATAATGCAGCTAGCATTATTAAACAATAAGCTTAGTTTTCAGAGCAAATACCACTATCATTTATTACAACTAGTCCTTTTTTTTACCTTTTTGGTCCAAAACCGATATCCTTGTTCTTCTTTGGTAGGCCACACCCGTATGTTTACTCTACAGGATTTTCTCCTGACCATTTCCGAGCAGAAGTTGCAAGTCCTGTTTCAGACTGGATTTCTTTACTGAGAAAGAGTGGATTTTCTCCTGCGCAGAAAAACAACACTAACATATGTACTCTTGTACTGGCTTGTGCTGACACCACATCACAATGACTCATGTCCAAGCTGCTGGTAAAAAGTGGGATTACAGGAAAATCTGTCAGCCCCTAGAATTTTCAGCATCGCAAACGTCTTTTTTTTGTTCGTTTTTGTTTTAGTATAGCATTTTCCAGTTCTGTTAGTTCAGTCTGTAGCTTTTTATGTTTTACACTTTTTTTCTGTCAAGGACTACCTTTTATGCTCTTGGGTGTATTGACAGGTGATTATTCTGTCTGCTGGATGGAGTGGGGTGGGCTCAGACCCTCTAATTTTATTACAACTATTCAGCTGAGTTTTTCACTTCTGGTGTGGAAGTAAAGCATTTAATTCATCTTAATGGACACTGACTTATATGTAGTTCCCTTTTCATTCATTAAGCCCTACCCTGTTAAAATTGCAATTTGATTAAATTAAATTGATTTGATTAAATTGAAGTTGCTTAGTAAAAATAGCTGTTTAATGTGTTTTGCTGAAAATGACTTATGTTTTGTTTATGCCCAGTAAAGCACAGCACTTTGCATGTTTATCTCTTCGGTTTGTGCAGCAGAGATGCACTCCACTCCATTAGTATCTGTCTGATTGCTTCTATGGTTACATGTGTACAGCATCTGTACGTGGATCTTTAATAGCATTCAAACACCTGCATATTGTTCAGAGAAATTACATTGGTTGGTGTAGCTGCTCTAATTTAAGATCTTGTTTTTGCACATGGCTGAATGTTTCTGCTCGGCTAGAGGAATTTTTTTTCACAGAACAAATAATATTCACATCCAAATACAATTTATCCATGCAAAGCCCCTTCATTGGAAGACAGACAGCTAACAGGGAGACACACAGAATTGCCACTGACACATTTTAGGTCTCAACATTCTGAATGAAGATGTGAACTCACAATCATTATTTCTGAGTTTCAGGTTTGCGGTTTTGCACTAATTAGTTTCAGACAGCCAGGCTGTTTTCCCTCCTTCTTTTATCCTGCTCCAGTTGCCTCTTCTTATCCTTCCTGTTTTTTGTTTCTTTCCACAGGAGTTATCAGCAACACATTTCTGAGTCCTGAGAGGACCGATGGAAGAAGCTATATGGACAGATGCTATGTTTTGGCGAAGTTTTATGTCTGGGGCTCCCGTCTGTCACAAACAGAGGCAAACAAACCCACAGTCCAACACTTAAAAACACAGATGCACAATGCAAAAGTGTGTGTGGGGATGTTGTAATCAGATAGTGCAGCTTTGTATCGGCCCTGTAACTGGCATGAGTTCAATTTATGTGCTTGGCATTCGACAAAGGACTGTTCGATAATCCTCATAGTCATCAAAAGTATTTCTCCCTTTCAATATATGTAAATAAATATAATGTATGCAGCCTGTGCACATCAGCAAAGGCTGGGCTATGGATTTTGTTAGTACTGTACATTAATCATAACTTAAAGAGCAAAATCAATCAATCAGTCAGTCAAACATCAATAAATGTGGATTCATCTCAGCTGTTACGTTTGTTTTGTCCAAAATTACCTGTCTTGAAAGTTAACTTAGAAGCCAAAATAAATCAATTTGAAATTGCGAAAGAGCATTTTTCTTTTCAAAGGAAACCTCCAGTTGCTTCTGAAAAAAATTGTGAAAATGAAACTTTTTTTTATAAACATCTTTTACCGTAAGATCTTTGCACACTTACCACTCAGACATGGGTACAAAAACATTTTTTTTTTTAAATCACCAAATCGCCTCTTCTTACTTGGATTGGTTTATACGTGCAAACAGTTAGAGAAGAGGAGAGAGATTTATTTTATAGAATTCCCCTGTAAAGATCTGCCATCACAACAGTCTTTTGTTAACTAAAACCAGGTATGATGAGTCAGGTTTTCCAGAAACCACTAAAGTGCCTTTTATGTTCTTTGGCAGAAAAAAAAGCCTTCTGCTAACAGTTATTTGCTCAATGAAAAATACACGCCCAGCACACTTCTCATAGAGACAGCATGCAGTTTGTCAAAACGCTAAAAAAGGCCATGTTTTCTTTTTTTTTCTTTTTTTTCTATCTCTTGTGGCCACTCCGAACATTCCCACACCATACATAGAAACTATTGCAGCACTTTCAGAACTCTAACCACTAGAGGCCACTAAAAAATAGATTCTGAACCCCTTTTAGGATCTGCCTTTGCAATGACAACAGTCCTTGTAGGAGATTTTGTCATTGTCTGTCTCTTGTAAATGTACAGTGGACCATTTATCTGCATGCTAAAGAAAGTAGGCTGAAGGGGTACTGTGCTAATTTATGACTACAAGGGCTGAAGAAGAATCAATAATCAAGAGTGAAAATGCTTGCATCATCACTGAAAAGCCCCCAAACCTACTCTAATGGACTGCCAGCAGCCCTTCCATTCCCTTTACCAGCATCCTGTCAATCACTATGCAGCCCCACCCTCCAACACACCCTGCTTTATCATAGGTTTCACTCCAAATTCTGTTCTCATTCATTTTCAGCCTGGCTCAGTAGCCTTTCATTATAAGTGTTACATGCCTTGGTAATGATGAAGTCCAATTCAGTCTATTTCACCAGACTCAAATTCAATCAAATGAGTGAGAATCCATTTTAGTCCAGTTTATACACACCATTCATGAAAATTGCAAGGCAGAGGAAACTGGTAGATGACATTTAATCTTCTCCTCCATTCACTGTTTTCTGCAAAAAAAAAAAAAAAAATAGCACCTAAAGCATGGTCAAATGATGAATTTCCAAATTCTAAAATGCTTCAACCAAACTGGTTTATGCCTGAGAATGGAGAACACGGAGAACTGGTTAGAAGCGTTCTGTTGCTTATATGGAAACCAAACACCTGTTATTCACTTTCCTCTACGAGCTTTATTGTCTCGTTCGATGAGAAACTAAAATAAAGGACGAAAGACAGAATCCGGTTCCTTTTAATACATTCGCATCATGATGTTGGTATGCACACATGTGAAGCATGTGGGCTCACGCATGCTCTTTATTTCCCTGACAGTGGAGGAGGCTGAACTGAACGAGACCAAAAAAACTGCATCTCCGCCTCTTGTGGAAATATGTATGAGTGAGACAGAAAGTGAGAGAGGGGATAGAGGGTGTGTGTGTGTGTGTGTGTGAACACTTATTTAGTTTCCCCTCAAACGTCGCTGGCTGCATTCTGGTCTTGACGGGTGGCCCGCGGTAAGCGACTTCTTGGAAGAAAGAGAGGAGGAAACAGAAGCTGAAACTTCGCCGCTGACGCTCCTGTCCAGGTCGGTTGATCTTCGTAATCTTGTAATGTTCTTATCGTGGTCAGCGTTTACGCCTGGTTCATTCTCATCAGCAGCAGCACGTGTTGCTCTGCATCTGACCACTCCGAGTTTAGGGTTTCCAATGACCGTTTCACACCTTCTCTGTTTTCATTGTTCCAAATCCCCTCAGAGCTCTGTGCTTTGGTCAGAGCCCACAGACCCACTCATGCAGTTGATGCTGACAGTGTCTGTGTCAGCATCCAAACCAGATTTATCGATCCCCGTGAGGCTGTAATGTCAGCATAAACCGAGCCATGGTTTAGTGGTCTTTAGTAAAAAGAACTGAAGTGACCTTCTGCCGTTCTACTGCCCGCTTCTAAAGCGTCCCTCCCTGTGCGTAAAGGTAAGGTTTGCAATACAAACAAAAGCGATGTTTTACGCACGCAGCTTTTTTTGTTCCTTGTTGTTGTTGTTACGGTGCCAAACGCACACTCCCATTGTGTTTAATCCCCACGTGCGTGATTAACACGTTCAACTATTTTTCATTCAGTCATTTTTTGCGATCCGTGATCATCCAACACAGCCGTGGATTGTGCTTCTCTGCACGGAACTGGCAACAGAAATAGACCTAATAGTCTATTATCGAGGGCAAAAAATCGATAGAAATTTAATTGACTCCCGTTGTGATGTCCTGGTTGTCGAAATGTTACTGACTGACATGAATGGTGGAATTCACACAACAGCAGCCCGGAGACAGGCGTTTGAAGGTTCGAGCATAAATTAAAGATTTGACGGACCAATGAAGGCAGTTTGATTCAAATACAATTGATTAGATACCACTTGCTGTGACCTTTAGCTCAGAAGAAGGGTGAGCTTTGTTCGGTCAGAAACCTGTAAGACGACACCCGGTCACTGGCTATTTTCTACCTCTAAGTGGAGGTGTGCCGGGCGGAACGCGCAATGGTGCGTGTGCCAATCCGGGTTTGGTATGTAGAACTAAACAAGAGCCCCGGGGGGGGGGGGGTGTGAGAGATGCGGAGGCAGGTGTGTGCGCGCGTGTTCTCCTCAGTGTGCAGAAAGTGATGGTTTGAGAAAAAAAGAACATAACCATTTGGCGTAGCCTTTCGTCTGTGTGGCCAGAGAGAGAGAGGCTGCAAAAAACCACCGAGGTTTAGCACCCAGCTGGGCATATGGGGCTCGTGACGTAACACTAGTCGTTCTGACAACATTGCTCCTGCGCGCGCGCGCGCGTGTGTGTGTGTGTGTGCGCCCCCCTGTGAGCGCGCAGCTCAGAATTAGATCCAGGCTAACCCACATAGGCTGCCGTCCGCGAGCCCGATCCACGCGTCAAAACAAAACAAACGAACAACTGAGAAAACAAAAAGATGAACGCCCTGACGGCCGCGTCCTGCCTGCTGGTGGCCGCCGCCGGCTGGCTGCTGTACGGCAGCGACGTGTGGTCATCGCTGCCCCGTGTGTCCGTTGCAGAAGAGCCCTCCATGCCGGAGCCGGGGGCCTCGCCGCGGCGCAGCCCGCAGGGAGTCCTCTACGCCCAGCTGCAGCACATCCTCAACGCCGACGGCCTGCACCTGTTCTGCCGCTACTGGGAGCCCGCAGGTCCGCCCAGGTGAGTGGACACCGGAGCAGGGGGGGCTCGCGGAAAATAAATGCCCTCGCGCGTCGCTCAGTGTGTGTGTGTGTGTGTGTGTTGGACGGTGAAATGCTGCACGCAGTTCGTTTAAATCCACGTGCTGCGGTGTGATCCTGTGTGGTTTTGTCAGTGTTCCCAGCCACATATGCTGCTTTCAGTGGGGGAGTCACATGACCTGAACACATGGGGCCCTGTAAACACACACTGTCCGTAACTTAACTGACCATATGCCTGCGTTTAGGTGCAAAGCAGCCTTTCTGTGTATAGTAATACACGCTTTTACACCTAAAGTTATACGTTAGATAAAGATGTCAGTGTTCCACAACAGGCTGGAAGTCAGTGATCAACACTTAACACATTTCTCTTATTCAGTTACTTGATATTTTCATTAGTTTTTAGGACTCATCTGCCCTCTTTGATGCTCTTTGAAAGTACAGAAAGTATCAAAGTAGCTGTACTAAAGTCTCATTGTGTGACACATGCTCAATCATATATTTTTAACCTGGTTATTTTCCTAATAGCGGGGACCACCAGATGCTCCAGAGACTCATTCTGGGTCATGACCCCATTAGAATCTGTTGTTTTGCCACATCGTGGTTTGACTATTCATTGTTGTTTGTACCCCAAGCATCGTTGAATTATCATATACATTGTCTTTCTTTTTAAGACTAAAGTTAATCGTTTGAAACTATAATCCCTCATTGCTCTTCCTCTAAAGCAGTACAGGGATCATCACAGACACTGCTTACTGGAAATCTTACAAGAATGAGGAAACCTAGAAAGACGGGGCAGACAGCATTTTTGTTTGCAATGCATAGGCTCTATCTATGGAAAGCATCAGATTTGATCTGAAAGCATGACTGCAATCTTGACTCAGCCACGTCCTCACCTAGATTACATCAAACCGCAGAACTGGATAGATTGGTCGACTTTCTTAAGTAAAACACTTTCAAATGATTTACAGTAACTGTTAAAGTTTCCACAACCTCCCATTAGAGGCCCCTGTGGTATGTGCTCTTAGGATTTTGGAGTCCACTTCCCCTCCTGACATGTGGCAGCAGCAGTGTATTAAGCAGTCCGGAAAAGAAATGCAACACAACACAGATGTCACACCCTCTCATGAAACCTCATAGTCGCATGCAGTGAGTGAGAGCGCAGAGGCAGAGTGATGGGACGGGAGCCGAAAGCCCACTGAACATCTGGAATCAAGATATTACTGTTCACACAAAACACACACTGGCTCAGACAGGGGCTGAGCGATGACTCATTAACTCAAACGGTGTCTGTGCCTCTGCCGGGTTACTGCTCCATAAACTGCGGTTTATGGTTTACAAGAAGACGTGAGTGTGTCTGTGTTTATTCCGATGTCATCTGCGGTTTACTGAGTGCTTGTGCGCGGAGATGTTTGCACAGCCGTGTGTTTAGATCGGCGTGTGTTAGCCGATGTGTTCGAATGCCAGATGAGACAAACACTGGACACTGTGCACTAAAGCCTTCACACTCATGTATGGCATCTTCTTATCTTCCTGCCTGTTCGTGCGGTTACAATTTCAACATTGAAAGATATTGAAAATACACAAAATGTATAACAGAGTCTTAAAGTGTCCCCTTTTTTTCTCAGCTACCCGAAAGACCGCCCAACAAATAAACGTGTGGTGGCACAGTCCATAATATCAGCTATGTGTTTCTCCCACAAATCATGGATGGAGGTAAAGCGCCAATTCACTGCAGGATTAAAATATCTGCAGAGTCCTCAGTGTTGTGAGCTGCAGCGTTTGGAGGATTATGTAAGAGTTTTCTCACTGGAAGCCAACCCGTGAACAAGCAAGCAGGCCCATTTGACGCAGACATTTAGGAGTCCCTAAAACTCTCGTCGTGATATATGCGGTATAACCTGCATGAATTTATAAGTCTGGCACAATATTCCACATCACTGTGTTGTGCTTTTGAGACTGGATGAATCATTTTTCCGTTTGGTGGATGATTTAAATGCTTTAATGATTTAATGGTTTAAATTGTTTAAGTAGGAAGACCACAAAAGCTTGGTGCGGTGTGGTGGCTAGCACCATTGCCTCAATGTAAAAAAGAACCTGGTTCGAATCCCAGCTCTTATGGAGTTTAACCTAACTCATCAGACCCTTTTTCTGACCTCAGCATGACTGTATCTGTGGAGAAAATGAATACATGGAGCATGACTTTTTTCGTTCTGTTAAAAAATGAAAGACATTAACAGAATGCTTTGGGCCATTTGATTTTCAAACAAATGTTTTTGAAGCTATCCTAAATTCTTCTCCTGTTTTTACCAATCCAAAGACTCACAGCTTCCACAACCTGCTGCATTCGGATTAATAATTTAACTTTAAGTGTCCCAGAGTGTGAGATCAAAATGAATGAAATTTTGCTTTTAGTAGATGGAGCTCAGCTTGAAACTGAAGCCATTGCAAAGTAAATATGCTCACTGAATCAGACTGCTTGCTAAAAGCAGAAGATTTTTTCACTTGCAACAAGCTGTGGTTGATCTTTTTGGCCTCTGATAAGAATTTTCATCACAGCCTCAGTGGTAGAAGGTGCAGTGACCAGCTCTGAAAATTAAGAAAATGTCAAGATAAAATATTTGCTGTTTGACACAGTCTTCAAACGGCTATATCTGGGAGGTCAGAGCGAAACGTTTGCAAGTAATCTGCTATTGTTCATGTAATTGGAGTTTTCTAATGTAAGCTGTATCAATTGTAAAAACCCATGCTTTGCTCATTACTCCAGTATGCCAGACTTAAACTTCAACACCCTTCTTCACATGAATTTCCAGCTCATTTTGTACCTGATAGACCTTTACACAAAATAATTTCCTTTAGAGCCAAATGTCTAATAAGTCTATGCAGCACGAATAGCATAACTTCATTAGCACACCATTACACATGCACATTAAGAAGCCATTTTCTATCATTACCCCCCTAATTCTAACAGTTACACAGACTCCTGCAATACCCTGCAGTTTGTAATCTCTCCTCCTGAGAAATTGAAAAAAGACATTAATGGATTCTTTTTATTTTGACTTATTTATTTATTTAAAAATACATGCTTAAAAATATATTTTTATGAAGCAGGGATGTATGCAGTTATTTTGTCTACCACCAGCAACTTAAGCCTTGGGTTGTGCAGTATATTGAACAGTTAGTACATAGAAACAACACTTTCTTGTAGCTTTTCTTTAAGTATGTTTACTTGAAATTAACCACTTTTTTAAAAAGCTGATAAAACTTATTAAAGTAAAGTCTGAAAATGATACCACCAGTGCTGTGACCATGGCTTCAAGCCTGCTACTGTTTCTTCAGGCTAACGGTGTGTTTGCTTAGCAGTGGAGCAGACGTTACTGTGAACAGGTTCAAACGAAATGTCACACTCGGTGTGACTTTTGTTTGACTTCATCCAATGCAGGAAAAATTAACGGTTATAAAGACGAGGAGGATGAGAAACACCTGTCACCTGCCTGGAGGTGAAGCAAATACGCTTTCATACAGGACAGTCATTTAATCTTGTTAGAAGTCTCACTGATGAGGAAGCAGGTGTGTGAATTAGTAACAAAAGCTATACTTGTTGTGCTTGATTTAGAGTTTAGATTATGTATGCCTAGTTGAGAAAACATTTTCTACAAACAGACATGCCCCTGTTGAATCATTTCACGTTGACAGTTCCCTTGAAGATTGGGGTCATCATGAAAGTGAACTGGCCGCCTGTCCACCTTTTGGATAGCATTGAACTCACAATACTATCCAAAAGGTGTCAAAAAGGTTTGGCTATCTAACTGGCAAATACAAGAAAAGAATAACTAAAATTACTGTACTGTATCAATACCCGGTTATAGCAGAGTAAAGCAGAACATAATTCAAATTGAATTTAGTACAACAACCAGCAAAGCATCATGAGAACTCCATTTATCCCCAATGCTAACTAGTCTCTTACCAGCTCTCTTAGAATGGTAAATATCTGACTAATTTGTACATGTCATGCACATTATTTGTTGGTTTATTATCTTGCAGGAGCATGACGACAATGAAAAAAGTGCTGCAGAGTCACACCGAGTGCACTAAGCATCACAGTGGTTCTCAGGAGAGCATTATTTTGTCGATGCAATACTCTCTGTGCAGTGAAGTGCTATCCACAGAAAATGGGAACCATTCCTTTGAATTTGAACTTTGCAACTTCTGAAAAGGTCCTTTCATTGGGAGCAGGAAGTGGGTCAAAGGTAAAGAGCCAGAGTGGGACGTCTACAATAATTGACAGAGCTTTCGGCAGATGTCACACGAACGCGCACAGCCTTAGATCTGTTTAGGCATCGAGCTCATGTAGTTTCTCTTAGCGTTCTTTTTTGAGCGCAGCTGGCAGTCACAAGCATGCACTCAGCGTGTGTAAATGGGTCATGCTGTTAACAAGGTTTTCTGCGCTCATGGCTTCAGTTTCCTTTCATGTTTGTGTTTCTGCTGTGTCAGGTTATTTGATTTCGTTTCCACTGTGTCCGTGGAGTGCTTTACTTTACGCAGACAAAGGACCTTTAGCATAATGGACTCCTTCCCATTTGGGCCTGGCCGACACCAGGTGCTGGCTGTGATCGTTCCATGTGAATCACAGCTAAAAATGGCCAAAAGACTCAAACGAGAAGTGACTTCAGGTCAGTTGATTGTTACTGCACAGTAAACTGTTTTTGAATGAGGAAAAAAATGAAAATGTAATCCCAAACAAGTCAGCTGGTCTGTGGTATCTATCAATCTCTTGCGTGAGAAACATGCTGATGTCTAGTTTGTCTGTAATTTCATACAAAGGAGGAAATTGGCAAGGAAATATTGGGTGTATTTTTTTCCTGAGTTTCTTTTCTGTGAAGTCGGTATTAATAAGTTGCATATCAGATAAAATAAACAGGGAGACAGGCTGTGGGTGTGAATCCACGTCCTTTTCAGCCTGGCGGTGGACGGTAACCAGCT